ACGAACGTTATCACACGGTCATCCCCAGTCTTCCCGGGGAAGCTGAGCAGCAGTACCAATAATACTCACTGGCGGCAGAGGCAGCACTTTTCCCTCCTTTCTTCCTTTTTTCCCTCTTTTTTTTATCTTTTTTTTACTTTCCGATGCATCCTTCCTACCAAATTAATTACCCTATCAGATCGACTTAAAGATTCTTTTTCTTTTTAGATCACATTTTTCTCCACCTTACGAATAACTGCTTAATGGACAAGAATACATTTAATTCACTATTTGAGGTTAAATCGAGGTTAAATTTGACATTCGAATAGGATTGTGAGATCTGTGACATATATCCAATACATGCATATGTACGTATGTACATACATACATATGTACGTACGTATTCAACGGACACCTACGTCCTGGCCGAGTTTGATAAATCTCCTATATATTTTCTCCTTTCTCCGAGTAAAACAACCACTTTGGCTAATGAAATAGTATATATCGAACAAACAATTAAAGTAACCAGTAGTGAAACATGTATTTATATATAGTAAATATTCAGAAACAACTATCGTTATTCTGAACTCCACGTGGTATCTTTCTTTACTTCATCTTATTTCTGTTTATTTAACTCTTTTCCTCCATGTACTCCTCTCTCTCTCTCTCTCTCTCTCTCTTTCTCTCTCTCTCTATCTATCTATCTATCTATCTATCTATCTATCTATTTATCTATCTCTATTTTCCTCTCTTTTTCTATGCCTTTCGATACGTAAAACGACTTGAAGAGTATTCTGTTCAATTACAGACTTATATATTATGTATATCCGAATCAATGAAGGTACATCGATTCAATGAACAGGATGCTCACTCTACACAAGAAAAGCTCTCGATAGTAACTGCGGAAACTATGAAATCATCAATAACAACCAGTTTCTTATAGATTCTGATTTTTTTTCAAAACTTGCATCTCTTATCAACATACATATTCTGTTTCATCTACCGTGGATTGTATTTTGTCGATAATATAGATGCACGATATATCGATAAATATGTCTGTTTCTTAATGTTATAACATTTTTTATTTCGTTGACATAACTATCGTAATTGATAAGGTAGTAAAATTTTGAACGGAATTGCTTCACTCCGGTTATATTAAATGATGATTCTTCTTATGAAGATTCTGAAGAAAATCATTAATTTTGTCTTTGAAAAATTCATGCTTTAATTATTTCCTTTCAAATGCTCGTAAGATAATAAATTATATTTCTATTTGCCGAAAGAACTTAGAGATAAAACCTATAGATGGAGCTAGTATCGTTTTAATAATGACATTATCGATCGTTCGATTAATTATCCAACAGCATATTAATATCTATTTTGTAGGTATCATCATTCTCTATATTCATAACTAGATGGTAGCACTATTAACATCAACGTTGATCATTATCGTTTGTTCATTCATTTATAATAATTTTTGAATTGACGAGTCATTCAAAAAAACAAAAACTAAATAATATTAAAAATATTTTTATTTTAATATTTTCTTACTTGAACATTTTTTTATTATGATTTATAATGATGTATAAATTATCTTGACGCTTTTTGAAGATGCGTTTTTCAAACATCAGGATTAATATTCGGTCTGGTGGTGATGGAAGCTGCTACTGTTCCCGACTCTCCCTGTATATCTTCAAGCTGCAGTGGAATGCGTGATGCGTCACTTACATATGTATGTATGGGGAACCACATGTAACACGTAATCGTTTTTCATCTAACATCGGTGTCGTTTCATTACACATGACGAATTTGAGAATAAAAAGAGAATTCCAATTTTATAAAAATTTATATAAATAATTTCCTTTTAAAGAAAATTTTATATTAATATAATTAATATAATTAATATATATTAATTATATTTTATAATTATTTTGAAGAGTATTTTATATTTTATATTAATTATATATTATAATTTTAAGAAAATTTCATATTATATTATTTAACGTTACATCAAATTATCGAAACTCTAATTATTATTATATGTTCTCTGTAGTATGTTCATCGCATAATTTAACGAATACCGTTTATTGATTTTTCCTTTTTATTTGCGAGCCAATAAGGCTATACTTTGTAAAATATGGGGTATTTCGGAATTCATGTTGCCAGCTAGTAAATTTGAATTCTACAAGAAAGTTTACCACAAGAACGCGAAGACGATATAATCCAGGCCGATAAACGACGTGCTCGGCTCGACATCCCCATGTTGACCTTTTTCTTATCGACTTGAAGCTTCCACCCCCATGAAACTCTCCAATTCGTCAGAAGCAATTCGTCATTAGAGTCTGACGTTCAATTTCTAATTATCTCGGGAAAAGAAAGCGCGTTTGACAAATTATATGTTATAAATAAACATTCTTGTTCTATTGTATCCTTCGCGTAGAAAGTAACTGTATTATAACAGTCATTTTCTTAATAACAAGATATATGTTCTGATCCTAACGGTTAAATAAAGAATTTGTATCTCATTAATGCTATCAGATATTCCGTAATATAATAAAAACTTAAGATTATTTATGAGTCCATTGAGATGTAATCTAGGTCCAGATCGTAAATCAATTTTATTTTTATTCATTCTCCCAACAATACGAGAAAGTTGAGAGAAATCATTTTATGAAAAAATATTTCAATATTATCATTAAAAGCATATATGTTTCTCTTTGGTCGAATTTCATAAATCTCTAAACATGTACATATTCTAACTCAGTGTTTCTCAATCTTTTTTCCATCCAATGCAATAAATTTGTTTGTAATGGTACCAAGGTCCGAATATTTATATATAACAATTTTTAATAACCTGATAGACTGAAGTCATTGTATATTATTTTAACGATACGTCTGTTACCGCGATATTCTCGTGAACTCGTAAGAATATTATACGAAAGAACTTTCTGGAAGTGTCTTATAAATTAATCACTTTTTTCGTCTAACGTAAGGTAGCAGCTATCATTTCGCGACCTATTAAAAATTTAACATGGTCCATAGGTTGAGAAGCACTGCTCTAAAGTACGACGAAAAAATAATGTTAACACACTATCCAAAACAAGCGACTTACGTAAAATGAAATTTCGTATATGTCGGCGCTAGTATTCACGAATTAATCTCTTGCACGATAGTAAGAAACGAGATACATACAATATACATATATACATATATATATTTATATATATATATATATATATATATATATATATATATATATACGCACATACATACATCTAGGCACGTAATCGCATTCTAACCGAACGTACGTACGATTTCAATTATACTACAAATTCTTTGACATTAGCTAATATTTTAGGAACGTTATCATTCAAGAACACCTGTTACATTATTATCAATCTTCCATTCCTTAAAATATGATGTTCTTTACGACACGATTAATGAAAAAACACTTGTACATACTCTAACGTTTTCATAATTCTCATTATACAATTATATTTTTATCTTCGTTATACAAAATTGAAGAACTTTATTTACGAAGTCAAAAGAAATAGCTTACATGTGTTTCTCGATCTGGTTATAGTTTCAGGATAAGTTTGAACATCTAATAGAAATATAAAGAGATTTTTAATCAATTTTCATCGTTAAATTGTATTTCATTGACGGAAATATGACAATGAACGGAAATCGAAAAGGAATACGTGAGCTTGTAAATCGTTATGTTAATATCGTCTGATAGCACGAAGTTCGGTAGGGTCGTCGGGTCGTTGTGACGTCAGCGGATACGGGGACCTCGTCCAGAGGCGAGAATCGCAACAATATGCGTGTCTAAGCACGATTCGTGTTGAACGTCGAGTTCACGGGTCGTCCTCATCGTCCTCGTTGTCCTTCTCCTTCTCCAACTCTTCTTTGTCGCGAATGATAGACAAATATATGTAATTTTTTCCAGACGAAATGGAATTGGAACCCTCAGGATAAAATGCGATAAGAAATATCTTAAATGAATTCAAATGGAACATTCTAATCGTTCATGATTCTGTTGTAATAGCGATTGATATTCCGCTGAAGTTGTTATATAATCGTTCGTAAAAAAAGAATAAAATGTATCTAAATAGGCGATAAAGAACATGATGTTATGAAAAATCTGATTTTAAAATCGTAACTCTAATGAAAGACTCATTACCAATCGTATCCTTTTAAGCTTGTGACATTAAAAGAACGTTTGGTGTAATTAAGTATAGTTGAACGAAAATTCAAGAATTTATACATGTTGAAAGAATTTTCTAGACATTTATTATCGAGTTAAAGCCGTATCCGAAATTTGAAGTTTCTGCCAAATTGCAAAAAATTTGAAAACTTTTATAGGGTCTCCTAACTTTAATAATGAATCATATCGATGGACGTCATCGCTGGAAATTTATTATGTAAGAAGCCGATTCAAATGACCGATTCAAATGACCAAGTTGTTTTTTTCCAAGTTATTTTTTTCTTGTAGCCAAAATATAATTACTCGAGCCGATAAGAGAACTCGATATACGTATTTCATCCAATTTAAAATACTATTTTATTGGCGATAATCGAATCTATTATATTCTCTATCACGTGTAACATATTTACTCCAACTTGTATTTTTAAGATCGAAAAGCAAATTCAAAATGACGATAAAATATATCCTCGATGAAATTTTGCATTTGCAAATGGAATCTGCGAATTCCCCTATAAGAGATCTCATTTCCATATCGAAGTTGAAGAAAACGTGAGTATCGAATGGATTCGTCCCCTAAAAATCGTCGACTTTACGACGCCCCAAGTTAGCCTAACCCAACATAATACTTTACCTTTTTTCCTCGTATCGCGAAAGATAGGGAAGAATGAAAAATAGAAAGAAAAAAGTTATAGAGAGAGAGAGAGAGAGAGAGAGAGAGAGAGAGAGAGAGAGAGAGAGAGAGAGAGAGAGAGAGAGAGAGAGAGAGAGAGAGAGAGAGAGAGAGAGAGAGAGAGAGAGAGAGAGAGAGAGAGAGAGAGAGAGAGACAGACAGAAAAAGAGAACGAGCTAGGAGATGAATATCGATGAATTTTTGCCGTAACATAAATATTCAAGAGGAACACGTGCAGTATCCGTATACGTGTATTTAGGTACATAAGTAAATTTACATGAACGAATCGTAATTATTTCATTATCTTCGCATACGAATTAGGATTATGTTGTAGATTTTTCTTCTTTCTTATGGAATCGTATTAGCCGTGACTTATTGCTAAATTAAGAAAAAAGATCATTTTCTCTCTCTCTCTCTCTCTCTTTCTCCTTTTCTTTCTCTCTCTGTACCTTGAAATTGGGTAAGATAAGCTAGAGAGCCTGGAAAATTGCTAGGATTAGCTTCGATATATACATTATAATAAAAGCGAACCCTGGTAGTTACAAGCTATGTAAGTTGGGTAAATCGACAAGAGTCCACCGGTCCTCTTGATGACCCGTGAACCGACTTGATCTTTCATAGTTACTGCTCCCTCTCCCTTACAAGTTGACTCCTTGAAACCGATAACCCGAGATATCGTGACAGACACATACGACTCTTCTCGATATCGTTCTCTCATAATAAATTGCTGCTCGTGTTGCCAACCGAGTTGTGCTCCGGTTTTATCGTCTTTCCCTTCCTCGAATATTATAATATTCTTCCGTGCCTCTTCTATATTGAAATTTTCTTTTTCCTTAGTAAAGGAAATATAGATACATAGATACATTCATATATGCATATTGATATAATCATATTGTACTTTACAAATTGTCAATCATCTTACATTCTTTTTTTTCATCGTCTGAAATTATTTGAAATTATTTGCTATGCTGCTTTCGTTGAAATCGAATCACAAGTTCGATAGGAGTCTTGGAAGAGCAAATAAATCTACAAAGCGATACCGAAATCGCTCATAAAGGAATCGGACTCGAATGGCGTAAACATCGAGTGCAAGCAATGTCGATATTGCTGACAAAAAAAACGAACTTAGGACGCCAATCGTATTTGCAGGAAAACGTTTAAAAATGATCTGATACGACGTATAAGTATGTTTGTTCGACCCTAAACCTGATCTGCAAGAAATGACGCAAGATTATGTAAAACTTAAGATCTAGACGGAGAGAGAGAAAAAGAAAAATATAAGACTTACATATGTAGCGTTTAATAAAAATAAGAAAACTGATTTAATAAGCGCATAAATTATTTTAAAAAAAATAATTCCTTTAGAATTATTTTTCCATTAAGTTACACATATTACATTACACTCCAATCAATTAATTAATCAAATATTTTCGTAGAGTTATTTGATGTTGATCCAAACAAAGGTAAATATATAAAAATCGATAAATAGTGATAATTTATCTAATCATTATAGATAGGTATATTTAAGAACTATAGTTGATATTTTGAACAATTTCTCGAGTTATCTCGATTATCTTTGAAAAATAATTATTATTTAACTAAAGAAAATATTATGTACCTTTCGATAGGAAACGATGAATCGTTCTCTGTTATCGATCGGCAGAGTGAATATTTTCGTGAAGAGTAACGATACGTAGGCTAATGAGAAAAGCTCGGATGACTTTATCGTCCTGCTAGCTTCACTGGTAAAACTATACGGCGATCGGGGGATGTACGTTGCTGACAAACATGGGAGCGCCGTAAAAAAAAAAAAAAAAAAAAAAAAAAATAGAAAAAAGGGAAGAAAGAGGAGGAGAAAAGAACGACGAACGTCGATCCTTTCCTACCGCGTTACACGCATTCTACTCTATTTCTATCTAGGCGTGGCAAATGTGTTCCTTTATGAGCCAAGTGTCAGACTTCCGGTATACATATTACAGAAATCAGATACTTCTGCACGCCAAACGCGCGATATATGCAAGGAGTCGTGCCGTGCTTGTTACTTTTTTTTTCTCAACTTACGGACAAGCCAAAATGAGATTATATTAAAAACTATTTCAAAATATTGTTAAATAATATACATGGAGATACGAAAGAATCTGAGAAATATTTTCACTTTGAATTAAATGTTTTCAAATTGTAATAGAAAATATTATAAATTTCTTCCAATTGAAAAGATGGTGAAGAAAAATGAAAGTAAAATTTGTAACAGTAGCAAAGTGAGAATAGATGAGAATCTCAAGAAAAGGCTTGCGATGATAAAGCTGAACGACTGCGTGACACAAAAGCGAACCATGAGACGGGGGTACGACGATGTATGGTGAGCCGCACCTAAATGCGTCCGTAAAGTACTTCTCTAAATGCGACCTTAACGACCACCGCGAAGGATAAAGAGAACGGGGAACGGCTTGCATGGATTCGGGCGCGGTCAATGTCGTTTAGAGATGGTGGCTATTACTAGTCTCTTTTATTTCTCTCTCTCTCTCTCTCTCTCTCTCTCTCTCTCTCTATCTCTCTCTCTCTTTCTCTCTCTCTCTCTCTCTCTCTCTCTCTCTCTCTCTCTCTTTCTCTTTTTCATTTTCTTTCTTTTACTTTTTCTTTTTCTCTCTCCTTCCTCTCTTTTCCAACTCTCCGATATTTTCGTCGTGGCCTACTAATATACTACGTAAAATCGTCCTCTTTCCATGAGTCGTACTTTTGAAGATAACTCTTTGCTAAATTTATGAAAATTGGTGAAAAATTACGTAAAACGTGAAATTCAAAAAAAACAAAAAATATATATTCAAACATATGTGTGTGTATACCTATGTAGTTGTTTTCTATTCCTTCCGGAAATACTTACATTCCTTTAATTTTCTGGATCTTATTATCATTTGAACTTTACGAATCGTTCGATTGTTTGATTTCTTCGATGTTGACCTTACTTCCTTTTCTCTTTTTTTCTTTTTCTTTTTTTTTTATGTTGAATATTCTTTCTATCGATGTACTTACACAATTATTTCACAATACATAGATAATGGAACGTGAAAAATTACTTCCAGATTGCACGACCGTAACCTATTTTGTCGGAGCACACGTGTATACGTACCGACGGATTTTCTAATAAGCAAAACCGTTCTAATACTATTAATAGCTTATTCTAAATGCAGAACGTGCTTGATATTCTTTTATTGCGATCTCGAGAGAAAAATCAAGAATAGTTTGAATCAACAGTTAAGAAAACGATTTCTGATATAAGCTGATACGATTTTTTCGATTTTTAGAAAATTTAAAATCACGATAAAGAATATAAGAAAAGAAAAAAAATGTCTATTGATATAATGTCATATGTTATGAAACGTGATAGAACACATGATGTAGACTAATTAAATATTCATTAAAGTCGAACGCAACTCGACATTCATGAACTCTATCCTTCTATATATTCAAGAAAGATGAATTTGCAAGTGAAATAATATGCTTTTCGAATTCAAAGATATTCATATTTAATCACATAACATCCTTCTTATTTATATAATTCTTTTTATTTTCTCGTTTTTTTACTCCGTTTGAATATCATGTATTTTTAAGTAATCAATTCTTGTTTCTTTTTTTTTCCAAAAATCATGTCTAACAGTTGGTATACAAATTTTCACGCGCCGCGATAAGAACTTCCTCTTTTACCTACTCCGAAGGGACCTACGCCCTCTCATAGGTGGATGAGTAAACTTTTTCATTAGTGTAATTAACTTAAAAAATATAAGTAATGAATTGTGAGATATTAATCTAAAATTTATTATTTTATTCATATTCTGATCTTCATACTTATATAAAGAATTTTGTTTAAATAATATAATAATCTTTGAATATTTTTATATGTTTTTAAGTTTCAAATATCGAATTTTCTATTTCTGGCATTTCGAAATTTCTTCAGAGATTATTCCGTATTTATCGATAATGCAAGTTACAATATTTGGAATATAGGACACGAGAAAACATAGGGTCGACAGGGTCGTACTCAATGATAAGATTACTACCAACGTTGGTTATAAACACGTTGGTTGTGTAAACGATACCAACGGAGAACAGAAAGAAATTTCATTTCATGTAGTAGTAGCTACATATTATTATTATCTTGTGCATTTTCTTGTTAGCATGTAATATTAACTTATTGCTCGAAACAGATATGAAAAGGTCATATCATAATCTCACTACGATGTTCCTTTTAATTAATCTCATTTCGATTATATAGTGTCAGCAGTTATTTTTATTTTATGATAATGAGATCATGAAAAAATAGAATAAGATAGTTTCGATTTAGAATTTATCACGATCGAAATACTGTATGTATTTAAAATATTATATTACCACAAATTTGTTGACTCATCGGCTGATTATTGATAGCGTACAGTATCGTAATTGTTGCGTTGAAAAGAACGAATCAGAGTATCAATAAGAACTACGTGGCAATTGAAGCTGATTGGTTGAAGTGTTCGGTACAAACCAATTACATACGCCATTCACGCATAATGCACTTTTTATCGAATGCATATATATATTATTTAATAAATGTACATACAAATTAATGAATCAAGAGTAATATATATTTGTACGAATTCTCCGAAGCGAACATATATATATATATATATATATATATATATATATATATTATAAATAAATATTAAATATTAATTAATAAATACAAAGATCAATAAGTTCGTTTAATCACTACTTCTTTTTTTTCTTTATTTTAAAATGAGCTACTTCTTTGTTAAACTCTTTTTGACTTAAATGTATTGGACTAGTATATCATTTTCTCAAAGACATTCTGTGTACGGTATAGTTTTAGTCTAACTTAAGTGCCTTTTCAATATTCAGAGTCAATAAAGTAGTATCTTAGAATGTATTACTTTATGCTTTGCCACCTGCGTTCTCTCACTTTGATAGCACGTTCCTTCGATCTTTCCATCTGTTTTTGTATACATGTAGCAAGGTAGACGTTAACTCAAATATTTATTTGTTTCATATTTTATTGTTTCTTAAATTTATTTTTAGGTAAGTGAAAAATGTTTATATTTTTTTTCAAATGAATTTCCATGTAGTGAATAAAAAAAAAACATTGTTATATTGATATTATTCGTATATAATACTGTATTACTTACATAACGCAATATCTTTCGCTAATAACATTTTTATTCTACTTAAGTTATCAAAGCTTTTATTAAATGCACGATCTTTAGTTTCGCGTAATTTTACAGTAATGCCAGAATACGACATAGATTAAATAAAATTAGAGAATGGAAAACGTTCTTACTTCGAAACGCCATCTGGTGAGTGCACGATGATAATCCTGATTCACATTTATTTATGATTTTTCTTATCTAACATATCATAACTATAGGTGTGAAAATCATTTTTGAATTCTTCTATCACCATTTTTTATAACAGTAATTAAAACATATAATTACATGTTTTAGAAATTACCATTTATATCATATTTACGAAGGTATATTTATCTTTTTCTGTTTAACCTCTTCGGTACGATTGTCAACTTTTTTCTATCTATTAAAAATAAATATTTGAAGAGGTTCATTTGGCTAAATTTAATGTTAATTAAATTTTATTATATAAATTATTTAATGTATAAAGAGAGGAAAGGGAGAGAAAGAAAGATATCATAAGCTTCAATGATTGAATAGAATCCAATAATACACTCATATCTACATATTTGATTTTATATGGCCAATTTCTCTTCTTAATTAAAGACATGGATTGCATCGATATTTATTTCTCATATATATATATATATATCGATACATATATATATCGATATATATATATCGATACATATATATCGATATCTATATCGATATATATATATATTATGATTTAACGAATAGTCAATATCTACAAATGTTTGTATTTAAAAATAGCTACGTTCTGAAAGACTAATTCCTCGCCAAAAACATATTACATTTTACTGTTCTTACCAAACATCATATAAAAAAATCGCCATGTAGAATTTCGGCACTAAAAATCGGTGAACGAGAAAGGATGGAGGGAGAGAGGGATATCGACACACGTCTGGTATCGCATTCGATGCGATCAATGCGAAATGAGCCGAGGCTCTCGCGTGGCCTTCTCTTCTCGGTATCGCTACCCAAGAAATTTTTCTCGGACGTGTGTAAGGTTTGATGACATGTATAGTACCGGAAATACGTTTTACGAGACGGTTTGTCTTCCCTCCATCGACTGTTAAACCGTAATAGAGAGACAATTAACGGTAAAGCGAGGAGTTATTCCGATTAATTACTGCGTCGATGATGCCGCGTGGATGAGGCAGTCATTGTCCGATCTCGCCACCTGCACCGTTTCGTCCTCGACGTTGCGCCCACGTTCTGTCTCTTTCTCTCTTTCGCGATCTCCCTACTCGTTGCGGTCGTCGCAAGAGAACGTTATCCCCCCTCACTGAACTTTACGAACTCCCTCCACGTTACGAACAAGTCGAAGGAACGCGGTGGCGCGTTGCTCTTCGGCACCAGGGCGCCTGTATTCCCACTCCACTAGCTTTCCCCACCACCGTCGATCTTATCGGCTTATCGCAAGTCTGATTGGCTGTTCGTGACGGCAACGCGCGCAGCAACGGCGACTTGACCAGAGTCCCCCGGTAGTTTCCACGCAGTTCAGTTCACATCGTTTCTTTTATCCGGTTGGTTGTGTTCGCGCGTGATTTTCATCCGGTCTGCTTTTACATATTACCATGCGACGACTTTTCGCTTATATTACATCGTGTTTTTGCTCCTATTACCGTAGAGATCATTCTTTATTCTTTTTAATTTTACGACCGGCTCTCTTGAAACTTTTCAATAATTTGTCATGTTCTGTTATTTAAGAGAATCCAGTAGACCATCTTCGATATTTTTCCATGACGATCCTTCTTGTCACGTAAGTGCTGTTACATCGAGAGAGAGAGAGAGAGAGAGAGAGAGAGAGAGAGAGAGAGAGAGAGAGAGAGAGAGAGAGAGAAAGAAAAAAAGAAAGAAAGAAAGAAAGAAAAAGAAAGAAAACCGACCTTCGTACTCGTCCAACTTTTGCCCCGTCCTTCGCCTCTCTCTCTCTCTCTGTCTCTCTTTCTTTTTATCTCGTTTATACGTATAGGTCTCGCGCGCGTGCGTTCTTTCCCTCCTTTCCCTTCTCTAGCACCTTACCATACGATCACCACCACTACCACTCAGAATTACCATCTTCTGCTTAACTTCTTTACTCTCTCCTTCCTCTTCGTCTTACTTCTCTCTCCCTCTCTCTCCCTCCCCCCACCCTTCTCACTAACCCTCTTCCCCTTCTACCTCGTCCTTTTCCTCCTCGATCGTGTCCACGCTTCCGGCTGACAGTGCGGTTTTTGAGTTCGTGCGATTAGGGGTATGTTCCTTCTTTCTCTCTCGTGAGTTTCTCAGTGAACATCGCAAGCATTCATCGAGCATTCCAAATACGGTAGGAAGTCTTGGACGGACGTGTGCGGTCTCTCTACGGAAAAGATTCACCTCTCGTACTTACACGCGTTTATATCCTTTTGAAAGGCTGTCCACGCTAACCGTTCTCGTCGATCTTTTGCTCCGCCATGCTCTTGCCATGCCCTCAATGCTTTCGAAGATCGATCGAGGTTTCACGCGAGTGATATTCATTATACTGGGAAGCCATTCGTAGGTAAGCAAAAAAAAAGAAGAAGAAAAAAAAAAGGAAAAAACAGAAAATAAGCTTATAATATCTATCTTATAATACTTTCATGGTCTTTACCCTCCGCGCGCATCCGCTCAGTATCCGTTCAAACCGGATTCTACCGCCCCCTTCGTCCGGCTGGTGAGTTCGTTCGTTCCTTATTTTTATGAAACGCAAGACATTCGAGATTCCTCGTTCCTGATGATAATGATGATAATAATAATACATCGATGCTTGTATTAAACGTTCGGGACATTATGTAACCCGCGCAATTTGAACATGGATGCCACGTGTCCGCCTTGCTTCTGAGAGCATTGTGCTTCCGATAGTCGCTAAGCGACGAAGAAGTAGGATGAAGAATAAAAAGGAGAGAGAGAGAGAGAAAGAGATAGGGAGAAAGAAGGGCAAGATTGATGAAAAAAACGTTCCGGTTTTCTACTCTATCGTATTTCTTCATTTTTTCTTTTTACTTCTCTTTTTTTTATTTTTATTTTTTTTTCTTTTTTTCTTTTTTTTCCCCGATGGCGAGCCGTCGCGGCTGTTCGCGCGGTCTCTTTTTCGTCGTTTTTCCGATACCACCGAACGTAATGGCAGCTATCGGATGGAGTAACGCGAAGGGAACGAACGCGAAACGACACGGTATATGGGCGGGTGTCGTCGCTACGGCGGACACGCCCATTGGTTCGTTTTGTTCGTTGAAACCGGCCATACGTTTCTCCGCGCGCTCGATCAAATTGAATTCCGTCTCTCTCTCTCTCTCTCTCTCTCTCTCTCTCTCTCTCTCTCTTTCTCTTTTGGTTTTTTCCTCTCTCTTTTTCTCTCTCTCGCACTCCTTTGCTTTTTTCCGCTCTCTCTCTCTCTCTCTCTTTTTCTCTCTCTTTTTCTCTCTCTCTCTCTCTCTCTCTCTCTCGTGCACGCACGGTGGTGGTTTTCTGAGGTAGTAGCCTCGCTTTTCTCGTCACGCCATATTTGGCGCTCGCAAACGGTGTTCCGCTCTTATCCCTCTCTTTCTCCTTCGTACTCCGTTTCTCGTTCCATGAGCCATCTCGCTCTCTCGTGATACCTTATTCTCACAAGCGGAACGGGCACGCGCGCGCTCGTTCGCTCGCTCGCTATCCGATGGAGTCGAATCGGTGTAGCTATTATTGGACTCCGTACGCGTCGTCCTCTTCTTTACCGAACCAACGACCACGACGCAACGACGACGACGACGACGACGATGCGGCGTGGCGCGAAGCATGCTCTTGCGCGTGAAAGTTCGTGTCGATGTGGCTCTGGCGGAGGCGGGAGAAGGAAGGTGGTAGCGAGGAACCGCATTCGAAATTTATCGTGCGCGCTCGGCACGACTCGTCGTCGACTCCCGCATTCTCCCCTTTTTCTATCTCTATCTCTATCTCTCTTCCTCTCACGCTTCAGCGACACCACCCGACGATCGCGAACGATTGACGCTCATTCGTCGTTTCGCAGCGCGCACGGATGCGCACCACGCCGCTGCATGGCGCCGCCGCGTTGCGTCCGCATGCGTGCATGCGAGCCGTGGAAAGCACTGCGCGTAACGAGCTGCGAGGAAGAAAGTCCGAGAAGAAACGTTTAGGTTGGAGTTTGATAAAGAGGTGGGGAAAGGTTGCTCGCGAGTCCAAGAAACTGCATTTTGAAAAGGATCGGGTCCATTTGCATATATATATATATATATATATATATATATATATATATATATATATAAATAAAATGAGTGATAAATTAACAAACTCGACGTTGGAATGTGCACGAACCAGCTAGCTTTTTCCTCTTTTCGTTTCTATAATCTCTAGATGATCGAAAATGATGAGATAGGTTTATTTTAGCAGCTATTCAATCAGGAGAAAGAATTACGACACGGAACGTTGAAAAGAATCTTGCCTTATCTTCTTCTGCGTTTCAGACATCTTTGGACGCATGGACAAGAAAGCCATCGGAAATAGATGGTAATACACGAACGTGTCTCCTACTCGGCGCATCAGGAAATAACTGGCGGTCAACAGTGGTGGAAGGTTTCGGAGCAGACGCGAGATGGGTTCGCTCGATTTTCTTTTCTTCTTTTACGCGTTGTTATCGACGCGTGTCTCTTCTCTCATGCCTTTGAACTTTGAACGAACGAACAAGAAAGACTTCTTCGTTTTGTTGCATCGCATACGTATATATATGTATATATATGTATCTGTATATATATATATATATATATATATATATGTATGTATGTATATAAGTACATAGTAACGTCTCTGTATCTTCTTTTCTCTCGCACGTTATCTCAATGAACTCTTGGAAAGTTATAGCTTGACAACGAACATATATCTACGATTCGTATTTACGCGTATCCCTTTTTAAAAAGAGTCGCGAAATTTTCCAAAGTAGCGAAGTAAGATATCTCATATTCAATAGGAGGGAGACCCAGTCGCAAGATATTTTTGTCGTATACCAAAAGCTATATACATATACCGGATCGTTCGTTATAATGCGATACGTGCAACTATGAAAGTTCTTTCGTTTTGTTTCACAATCTGCTGGTATTAAGAAGAATATTGTAACATTATTATAATGATACAGATTGATTTTTCTCGTTCCACGTGTTAACTTAATCATAATATTCTAAGCATGGATTTTTCTTATCCTTTGGATGACAAAATTCAGATTTTTATGTTTCGCTTTTGTATTTATGTCTGTTTCATTGCAAACGCCGTTGCGTTTTGTCAAAAGTATTTTTTTCTTTGACAAATGCAAAAAGCACAATCCACGAGGATTCAACAAAAGTACCTCTTTAACTACCAACGAATCCGTCTTCTTCTCGAGATTCTCAAGAGAGATAGCATCCATTTAGCGAGAGAGGTATAAAAAGAACGTTCGTCCTTCGGTTCTTTGTTTCTGAAACGATGACTTTGCTTTCTTGGTTGCCTATTTTACTTTTTTTTTGTTGTTTATTTTTTTTATTTTGTTTTTTTTTTATTTTGTTTTTTTTTCTTTTGTTTTTCTTTCAACGACATAGTAACCAAATTGAACATTATATTATTTATATTGTTAATTTTTAATGAACTTTATAAATTTTTTATTCATTTCTAATTTCTTTTTGCTCTGTGCTTTCCAAAATCCGTAAAAAAAAAAAATAATAATAATAATCAAATTTGCAATGTAAAGTCGTTTGTATCGGCAACCTACCTTTTCTCCCATCGTTCTCGATGGAAACCATGGAAGAACGTAATATGTTTCTATTTAGTTTTACTAAGGTCGCGGGAGCGTTTGATCGGACACGTTCGCAAGAACGAATAATTATAAGTACGGGTTTATATCGATAGTATTATTACTTATATACATGCGTGAAAATATCGTCCATCGTACTCCTCATACTCGTGCGTTCGATGACGTCCGTTCTAAAAACGCATTTAAATTCTTCGATCACAGTCATGGGAGAACCGTTAACCCATTAACGAAGAACCTCTTATAAATCAGTATTCGTTCGCAAGAAAGCGAGTTCCACTTCCGTGACGATGTTTCGTTTCGAGAGGAAGAAAAAGAAGAGGGGTAGGAAATTTCGCGGGAATAATTTTGTCCCTTTTGGCGTAACGGCCGTAAGCTCGAAATTAATAGGGCTCGTTTACGAGCGAGTTTTCGGCGATTATTCGTCTCGTCGTCGCCGACTACGAACTTTTTTCTTTCCTTCTCTTTTTCTCTTTTTATCCTTCTTCTTCTACTTCTTCCTTCTCCTTCTCCTTCTTCTTCTCCTTCTTCTCTCCTTCGAGGGAGAAGGAAGAAAAAAGAAGAAGAAGAAGAGAGAGAAAAAGGGAGAGAGGGCAAGACGAACGGGACGAGACGAGATGAGACGAGACGCGACACGGGTGCTAGTCGAGTCTCTTTTCCTGTGAAAGGAGGTCTGAGACGCGGCCATCTTTGGAGAGCAGATTAAGGCTCGTTATGGATATTAGTCTTTGCCGATTTGCATAAAGGCGATGATGTTGATACGTACGAGTCGTGCGATAACGAGCGACGAATGGCACTGCTTCGCGGGAAAAGAAGTTATTTCATTATTTCTTCTCTCTCTCTCTCTCCCTCCCTCTCTCTCTCTCTCCCTCTCTCTCTCTCTCTCTATATATATATATATGTATATATATCTGTCTCTCTATTTCCCTTTTTATTTTTTTTCCATTTCCTTTTGTAATAACTACTTGTTCAATAAATATAAAAAAAAAAAATTATGATGTTTTACGTAAAATACAAAAAGATCGAAGAATCCTGATTTTGTTTATCCGATTCACCCGTCGATATTAGTAGTCGTATAAAATGATTTGAACGTCCTCCGCGTCTTCTCCCTCTCCTTTTTCGCTCTATTACGTTTAATAATTCATTTCAGTCTTTTTGCACTTTCAATTCGCACCGCTTCGGCCGATAATTAGGATCTTCTCGTTCAAATTTACGATCTTCGATATCGCCTCCGATATACCATTTTGCTTGGAAATTTCTTCATTTTTTCTTTTCTCTTTTCTTCTTCTTCTTCTTCTTATCTTCTTTCTGCTCCTTCTCTTCTTTTTATTTTTTCCTCATACCATGAGATACGCGTTTCTCCTCGGCCGTCGCTTCTGGAAACATTTTCTCAAACAAATTTCTACCAACACCAGAGAGAACCACAGCAAGCAAGAGTCGCTTCGCAAAACCGGTTACGTGAAACTTACAAGAGAAGAGGACGTGTAAACTCATTTCGAGGACGGTTCGAGCTAAGCGAATGAAAAAGAGGTCGCCTTGCTTCGATTCGATCGAAATTTCAAAAAGTCGTGCTGTTGCAATTCATTTTACAAGGTGAACAAATACGAGCATGAATGAATGAGAACGTTCATCGTTTTCGAACGATCTTCTAAATTCGATCTCGGTCAAAAGGCAGAATGACGATATTACCGAGCTTTAGAAAAAAAGCAGAAAAGAATATCGGTAATGTCGATTCCTAAGATTCTTTTAAATACATTCGATAAAAATAGTCTCGTTTCATTGGCTCAAAAGAATTGCGCTGGGATCCATTCGACAACTTGCTAAAACCAGCGATTAGCTCAATGTTTTTTACATCCCCATCGAAGAAAAATAATAAACAAATGGAAAATAATAATTTGAGATAATTCCGAAATTGAATGGTATATATATATATATATATATATATATATATATATTTGCATTTCTCTCTCTCTCTCTCTCTCTTTCTTTCCTTTTCTTTTGATTTTTTTACCTTTTTTCACTAGACACATTTCTTTTAAAGAAGCTTCGGTATGTGCTTCTCGACAAAACGAATGACTTAATTAAGTGTTCCGGCCATTAAACATTTATAAATAAACATATGAACCGACGATGATGAGGTAACGGCGCATCGTTATCGCCTAATTGCGATGCGTTAGTTCTGCTTTTCACGTTAAGTAAACTCGGCCTTTCCGTGCATTTACGAAGTGAAATTCTTCCTTGATTGAACAAACAATAATAAATAAAAAATTGTAATGATAGTAGTCACGACAGGATAAATAGGATCTCGAAGGAAAAGAAAAAAAAAAACGAAAAAAGAAAAAAAAAAGAATACGAGTTTTTGTTTCTCGTTAACGTTAAAATTTCTTGAATGAAATGCAGGAATCGAATCGATGTTTTTTGTGATCCCGGAACATCGCGAAACTCGTTAATCCTATTCACGCGCGTTCTATAATTAGAAGAATTCTCTTTTTTCAACGTGCCCGTTATAGCATTTGCTATTTCACTCTCTTGATACATAGTACTCTGGCTCGTGAGGAATTCGAAGAGAGTCGAACGATCATGAAGTAAGATCCACCTGTTTTATCTTCTATACGTTAGACTTTCGACATCGATATTCGATATCGGTTAGTCCTTAAAAAGAAAAAAAAAGGAGAAGGAAAAAGAATTATACGTTTTAATTATCGAAGAACATAAAAAGAAATAAAATAGAAACCGACGAACGACCTTAGACTTGAAAGTACATTCACTGCTCCTTTCACAGACTCGAAGATATTTTAGGATCTACAGTTTACTGATCTCAGCGTCAATAGCTGCGATAATAACGATGTGTAAACGGAAGCTGCGGAGGAGTATAAGGCGGAGGGATGTCGCTTAGAGAGAGAGAGAGAAAGAGAGAGAGAGAGAAAGAGAGAGAGAGAGAGGGAGAGAGATTGGTACATTGCGCAGGACAAAACGAAAGCAATAGTTCTCTCTCTTTCTTGCGACACACATATATTTAACTGATACTCTACCACGACTGGTTGGTAAAATCGAGTTTCTCCGAGTTTTTTAATAAACTAACGATCGACCGAAATCGGCTTAGGATTACATAGCTGGTCACACATCATCTCTAACTTCGTCGAATTCTAATGGCAATCGAATTTCACTTGGAAAACGCGAGACGGTAGTCGCATCTAAATTGTCGTTTTAAAAATCAATTCTTGAAAATAAATATTTTTCGAACGTAACACGTTGTTTTTTTGAACGGACTACGTAAGCGAACTTGCTTTCGAATGGAATAATCACCTCAATGACATCTGTAATCTTCTTCCTTCGAGAAATATCATTTTTAACGGAGTTAATAATCGGAGTCGGAAGATCGCGCTTACTCGTTCAACGTGCAAACTTAATGACTAATAATTTTTTATAATAACTACGATCTCGAGGGCAACAGTAATATCATCGTTTCAGAAATATTTTATGGCACGTTACAAGATCTACTACGTTGCGAATAAGTCCATGAGAATGCTATGTTAAATCGCAAAATGCGTGTTCACGTTATGGAAAACGTTTGCACCGTCGCATATCTAATAACGATGAATCGTTAATGTACCTTTATATCGCATACGATGACAATGAGGATTACAAGGTGAAGAAATGCAAGTAGGATTTCATTAAGCAGTCTGTTCGCATTGTATTTGTTTCTTTACCAGTACGAGAACGATTATGAGAGTTCTATCTGTCGATGAATAAACACTATTCAATTTGGCCTTCACTTTTAAGTACGTAAGTAACGATCTTAACACAATGATTCATTGGAAATAATAAATATATCCTTAATAATCATATAATTATACGGTATAGAATCGTCAGGCATGCTAATCAGTCAAGACATACCCACCCCCCTCCCTCTCTACTCTCCAATTTGAAAGTAAAATACATTTTTCCGTTTCACACTTTCATTCTATGTAGATACGTATGTAACGTGCAACGAATAACGGGCGAGTCGGTAACGGGGGAGGGGGAGGCCAACGATAGATCTCACGACATTTGACACGTATAAAATTCGTAATACTTTCCACATGAAAGTAGGATTAGGTTTGAATTAAAGCTCAGACGAACCTTCCAAGCTTCGCGTGCTTTTCGAATCTTCTTATCGTGTTTCTCCTGGATGACAAGGTCCATAGCACGCACGTGTCACTTACATGATGGATATCTCTCGTTATAAAGAACTTACCCGTCGTTCGGCCATATTGAAAAATCATTTAACTTGACTCGACTTAAAAAGGTAAAAAAACTAGTTTATTCCCTTGTGTTTCTCATGCTTTTTGTATATGTGTGTGTGTGTGTTTTTTTTTTCTTTTTACAATATATTCCACTTCTTAGTGAATCGTCGTAAATGACCATAAAAGGCAGTCTGGTGAGATAATTTCTACGGCTTTGTATGTCGTTTCTATGGCATTGATCGGTCAAGTTTTCTAATTATTTTGCTCGTTAAAAGATGTTACAAGATCGGTTGCCCTCTATGGCCCGTTAAAAAGAGATTGCCAATGTTTTTTCACAGAATCTATTTTATTCTTACGCCGTTCTTATCGGCGATTAATACAACGTCGCTGTACTGCGATCTAAAGTGCGAAGTCTTGAAAGTATTAAAAGCATTAGGTTATCGTGCTAGTCATGAACTTTACAGAGAGATATCGGTATCAGGCAAATGGGTATCAACGAGTATAAAAATAATTTGGTAGCATAAGTACATAAAGTACTCCGCCTTTAGCTGATTACGTACAATCGTTGTTAAACTTGTTGTACCTTTGAACCTTAAACATAAGTTTCTTTTTTAGCGAGAAGAAATGCTTTCGTGGAATATTATCATTTGATATCGTTTTTTCTCTAATTTTATGATCTATAATTTTTAATTTGTTAGTTTATAATCTTGAATATTTATTCTATTTTTGCAGAGAAAGCAGAAAAGATATGAGGGGAAAAAAGAATGAAAAGAAATAAATTGCCACGATGTATCATGCGATTCGAAGGAAAAAAAAAAAAAAGAAGAAAAATTGAGAACTTAAGGCAAAGAAAGTACAGATGAGTACGCAGGTGAATGAACGAGGACGAGTTGATCGAACGAAATGTAAGGGCGAAGCGACGGCGCAAGCGGGTCCCAGTGAATGTCCTTGGATAAAAGGTGTCATCGTACGGAGTATCTGTTCACATCTTACCGGGCAGCATTGGATTGAAGTTGAACCTTCTAATACTGTCAGGTAAAGATGTCGTCAGGATTCCGAAATCAACATGCCAACATGGCGACAACCTAGACTACGACGACGACGACAAGGATCATAATAAGAATCGACCAAGTAAACGTTCTAAGAGCGTTGCCCATAGCGATTTTATACACACGTTGAGACACACGACGGATAATGTTACGTCTGGCTACACGGGTTCATGCTTCTTAAAACTTCTTAAGTAGCTGAGAATAACTTTCACGTATATACACATATACATAGATAGATAGATAGATTGCACGTATGGTAAATGGTAATACGATAATTATTATCCATACGATACATGTGCATATATAGATATGTATACAACGAAGTTGTATTTCATAGGGTCTTAATGGATGAATTTATTAGTCGCACGAGACGATCGATTTAGGGGTTGTTATTGACAAAAAAAATGGGTCACAACTTTCAACCTTAGAACGGTCTATAACTAAATTATTTTTTGACTCTTGCTTAGTAGCTACACGTGCTGTTTTCTCGTTCTTGTCCCTGATATAAAACATCAAAAATTGAGTTCTATAAACACAATTCGTAAAGTTAAGTGTAGTATTTTAGAATAAAATATCATTGTTCAATATCACAGAAATACTAATCGAAAGTTCGTCAATTATGTTTATTTCTTTTCTTTTTATTTATTCTTTTTGTTCAATAGGATACAATTAATAAATCGTCTAGATAAAAAACTATTTATCCATTATTAAATGCATATAAGTTAGGATTATTATATTTATCAATATGCTTTTTCCGATTGAATTTTATCACCAACGAACGAAACACGACTCGATGGAAAGACTATAGAATAAAAATATAAAAATATAAGACCATAGTGGAGAAAGATGCATTCGTGTAGATTCGAGATTTCCTTTCTTTTTTTCTCCGTTAAGAAGAACCTGTACTAAGCTCTCCGATAAATGCGATCGCATCGCCGTCTTCGAAAACGTCGCGACATCGAAAGGTGCATCGTAATGAGCTCCTCACGCCTGTCGTGTCACTCGTGTTGCGTGTGTTATATATATATTATATTATATATATATATATATATGAATGAATGTATGTACATGTAACATATTTTCTGCTCTCCCGCGACAACATAATCCCCATCTAGAGTCGAACGTGTGTGATGATTCTCTCTTATTCTACTCTTCTCATTCATCATTTGCAGTTTATTTATAAGTAAAATTCTCTCTCTATCTTTCTCTTGCTTCGGGTATAGCATAGTACTGGTTTTCTGTAAATATTTTCACTCTGTTTCTATGCCAGTCTTAAAAAACGATCGAGTCTTTGGAATTTCGTGAACCGACAACAGCGCGATACGTATTTTCGGTTGATCGTGGTGGCTCGCGTGATTCTTGCGGCAGCGGGGTCAAGAGAGAGAGAGAGAGAAAGAGAGGGTGGAAGGGAGGGAGGGGGAACATGGAGGGCAAAGCGGGGTCGGGGAGAATCAGCTTCAAGAGAGGAAAAGAACGAGGACGATAAATAAGGTGGTCGCTGTCTGCAGGCGCGCCAAGCGCTGCGTGCGCGCATTCGTACATATGTGTGTGTATGTGTATTCGTGTAGATGTTTGCATACATGTAACATATGTACGCTACTATATGCACACGTATATATGTATGAATGTATTACATATGTAAGATACTAGGTACATACAGCTTGCTCACATGCTGAGGAAAGGAGAAAGAGAGAAAGACACTCTCTCTTGTGCAAGTCGAACGACCGCGCACGCAGAAACGGCAGGAGGGTTCCTACTACGATCCTGTATCGTGTCGGTAGGAGGTAGAAACGCGGCAAAAGCTCTCCACAGTCGTGTAGTCGTATGCTTCGGAGTTGCTCGGAGCGGCGAACGAGTAGGCGCGTCAGGAATGTAACGCCTCAAAAACGATGCCACGATCGTCGTAAAGCATTGCGTGGGTCCGCCTCGCGACGTGGAAATGAATACGCCAGTGTAGAATTAAGAATGATCGAAAAATAGATTCGATGTGAAAGGAATTTCGGTATGTTCGATTCTCTGTAACGTTGACTTTTTGAATTTAATTTTATTTCTTATATTATTTTTTCTGGTTTGTTCGTTTATAAAGAACATCGAATAAGTAATTGGTAGAAAATTGTTAGTTTAATTATTAATAATCGATGCTAATAATCTATGTCTTATCATTTTTTTATTTAATGTCTTCAAAAGAAAAAAATAAACAACGTGCAAAATTATATTTTGTATAATTTTGCAATCCAATCCAGTTTTACCTTGAAACTATTTTTTTGTAGGTTGTACGTAGCAATATGTATTATATATTTATCTACCGGTTTTACAAATAGGGTTATGTTATTAAAACAGCAGAATGATATATACGGTAATTAAGTGATGCTGATATGATAAAAGAGTTATAAAGGTTGGAGTAAGTACGAGATACTTCGAAGTTAATGTTTTTATCAATAGTTACTAGATTGTTATGATCCATTAAAAGCATGATTTTTTACTTTTCAGATATTCAAAACGATTTTTTATGAAGTTCTCACTTATCTAACATGTTTATGCAATATATAATATGTTTTCAGGTTTTTGCTGCGATGTCTTTTTGTTACTCTTTCTCAAAGAATAAATATTTTCGTAATAAATATTAATTATTAATCCATAATCACTTGTTATTAATTGTATCACCTTTTACGTAATGACTTTTATCATTTTTCATTTATTATTTGACTATTTTTATTCTCCATGATAAATTATCCTACAAAAAATTTAAAATCAAAGTGAGCTAACTAAATAATTTTTTTTATCAATGAACAGAAAACTATTATATTAATAGAATATTTTGATAATGCTAGTTTGTTGATTAGCAGTCATTCTTTGGAATATTATAATAAAATTTGATTTTTTATTTTGGAAGTTTAATCTTCATGAATATCAAAATTTTGTTGTTAATCATTAACATATATAAATATGGCATTATCTATCAAATATAAATATATATTCTGTAATTACAATTTTTTATTATACAAAAATATGATATTTAATTATATGTTTTTATCGTAGTAATTTTCTATATTTACATCAAAGATAGTAGAACAGGTATATCTCTATGCAAGTTTGTTATTTCAATTTCTTATTCGTTTGTTCATGTTTTAAAGTTTTTCAATGCAAATTAGTTATATCAGTTCGTTATGAATTTTAATTTAATATACTATACTTACATTAGAATTAGAATCAGATTATGTACGCTGCAGCTTTTTGGACAATTTTTTCTCTACATATAGGGCATTGATTAATAATACCGTCCGCACAATCTTCACATAAACATACATGTCCACATGGTAATAAAATAATTTCTCGAGGATTTGTGCGGCAAACTACACACAATTGGTCTTCTCTGAGATCCGAATCTCTTACGAATTGTCGTCTTTGTCTGCGAGACGCTGCAAGATTTTCTCTTAATTGTTCTGCTAATCTTCTTTCCTGTCTAGTTTTCCAAAAACGCCGAGCTACCACTCCACTAATTAATAATATAATTGCACCAAATATAAAGCACAGCCATCTAAAAACGAATATTATTTAATTTGTCATATTCCATGAATTTTGTTCTTTTTTAAAGTAATATAATAAACATAATATTAAACTAACTTATATGTTTTTTTGCGTTCATCTAACTTTTTAATTAAGGAAGTAATAGACATAGTTGTTAAGTAAAATGGAGAACCATCGGCTGGAGGTTGTAGACTTAATAAATTTTGTTTATTTATCGATGAAATTTCTCCGATTCCTGTCATAACAACACCTTCACGGAGCATTTCTTCCGTATTTTGTAAACCACGTTGACGTACTCCTATATGAAAGGTTCATTTATTATAACATTTTTGTAGAACTTTAAATTATATTTGTAAAAATTATAAAAAAAACTCTAGTATAAAAGTTCTAAAAAACTCACCTGTGAAAAAACCCCATAAATGATCAGAGAATGAAGGTACATTAGGTTCAAAATAATCCGCGATAACATCCATGTCTAAAATATCTGCTGATAATGGATCGAGAACTTCTACTTTATATCGGCCATTTTGTAAAACAAATGGTATTGTATTATATATCTTTTGCATTGTGTGTTCTTGGTTTGACCTAACATACAATGGATAATATTATTACTTTCCCTCTTCCTCTCCAAAACAAATATTAAAAAAATATCAAATATTTAGAATATCTTATAAAATGTTATCAATTATTGTCTTATACCACTATTTTTTAATTAAAAAATTATATTATACCAAAAGCCTGCTGTAGTTCTGGCGACCACATGTTCCTTGATACTAAGTTTTTGTAAAACTCCAGTTATCTCTTTTCTGTTAATACTATGTAGTGGTTTGCCTAAAGACTTTACTGTACCCCTGATAGCTACATATTCTATTTTGTTGTTAGAATTACTTACAGCTTCTTCCAAAGATGAACCTATTTCATAGAAATCTGCTTTCTATAAAAAAAATTAAGTGTTTATACAAATTGACAGAAATAGATTTGCAATAAATACTTCGTGACATTGACAAAAATAGTACAAATTAATGTAACGTATTTGTGTATACCAAATATAAAAGAATTTATTGTAATTTAAATGAGAATTACCTTTACAGCAGCAATAGCATCTTTGCAATACAAGTACTGTTTCAGGCAAATACCAAAAATTATACTATCAATACCAAGGGTTATTAGTTCACCCACGTACTCCATGGTTAGGTTATATTTTTAAAACTTAACAGCAAATCTTGATCCATGTTTGCATTCTTTAGATTCTTCGCATATAAACCTGTTTGATGTTATACCATTTTTAACTTGTTTTGTCATTAAACATTAAAGAGAGAATATTACGTTTTTCAAAAATTAAATTAAATTTACACTTGATGCGATCAAACCATAAGCAACCACCACGGTACTATAAAAATGCCCATATATATCATATATACATATAACCTATAAAAGTCGTTCAGTCACACGATTTCTTATTCGATGATGACATTGGATAGCATTTTTGCAGCCAATGGTAAAACAATTTAGTTTTATCATCTAATAGTGGTTAACAGTAACATTTTGAAGATGAGATAATTTTAATTAGTAGTTGAAAATGATTGCAGACAATTTTGTGTATTTTGCAATACCTAATATTCAATAGAAGGAAAACGAAATGTGTACATTTTATAATTTTATTTTATATTTTGAAAATACTAAATTATTGCGGTTGAATGGATTATATTTCTTCTAGTATTGCGTACAATGTAAGACAGAGTGCAAAACATTCAAATTCGGTGGTTATCAATCACGGAGTTTCCGAATACAAATATCTAATTAAATAATTAATGAATGTTGTATAGAGATTTACAACTAAAAATGTATGTTTGTTATTAATTATTTGAACTTCCACTATATTATTTCACAGCAAATATTGATAACAGTAAACTTATTTTTATGCATATATTTTATTCTTTTGTTTCAGATTAATTATAAATTTTAATTTACGTTGTAATCATAAGCACACAAAATGTGGGAGGAAGGATTTAAAACTATTATACTACCTACATTATCTACCATGTTAGTTTTTGTATTAGTTATTAATTTCTTTCGACGTATTACAGAAGAAACATATATTCATATAAGAGATGTTACTCAAGAACATAATTGGAAGCCTATTAGAAAAGTAACTAAGGTAATACGATATAATGTTTGTTATATGTAAAGTTTAAAAAAGTATCAAATAATAATGAAAATGTATAACTATGTCTTTTAATTTTTGTTGTAGTCATATTACTGCAGTATTTGTGAAAGTTTATTACTAAATATCAATGGTTTATTATGTGATTCATGTGGAGTATGTGCTGATCTTGGATGTATCAAAACAGCAAACAAAATACTTCGTTGTAAAGCTATTACTATGGATAGTAATGAGCAATTGCTACATCATTGGATTAAAGGTAAAGTTGTTTCTGCTTATAAACATTAGATATAAATAAGTATTATTTGTATTGCTATTAACAATACTACAAAGTTTTTCTTTATTATAATCATAAATATTTTTAATTTCCAATACCTGATAAATAAAAGGTAATTTACCAGTAGTAGCAATGTGTGATATTTGTAACGAAGAATGTGATACAGAACTTGGGCTTATGGATTGGTGGTGTTGTTGGTGTCAAAGAACCGTTCATGATTCTTGTAAACTTTCTATATCTGAGGTAGTAGAATTTACAAATATTTAATTTCTAATTTTTTGAGAACACATGAATTTGTTATTAAATAGTTTTATATCTTAGGTATGTGACTTTGGTAGATTTAGATTAATGATAATCCCACCTCAAAGCTTAAAGGCTATAAGTAAACGCAGAAGAATGAGACGCAAATTAGAGCTACATTCAGTTATTAAACCTAATTGGCTTGGTTGGAATCCTCTCATTGTTGTTGGTAATTAACTAATGTAGTTATGAAAATTTGTATTCATATATCTTATGTTTTATACTAAAATGTTTTATCTCTAATTTTATTGCATGTAATAAAAAATATATAGTAATATTATTTTCTAGGGAACAGAAAATCTGGTAATAATGATAGTGAAGAAATTTTATCATTATTTAGAGGATTATTAAACCCTGCACAAGTTATGGATTTAGCAGAACAAGATCCAACTGCAATACTTACGTGGTGTCGTCTACTTGGAGATACTCTCTGTACAGTTCTTGTTGCAGGGGGTGATGGTACCATTGCCTGGTTACTTAATATTATTCATAAATTACAATTAAATGTAAATTTGTACTTGATTTATTGCAGATACAATTTATTATTAAAAATTAAAAAAATATTATTTTGTGTAGCCAGTTCCAGCTGTAGCAATACTTCCTTTAGGAACAGGAAATGATTTGTCCAGAGTATTGAAATGGGGTAAAGAGCATGATTCGAATTTAGATCCTAATGACATTTTACAAAAGATAGAACTTGCAGAAAGGGTTAACTTTGATAGGTGATTTAAGTGGCTAAATTTAAATTGTATATTTAACTCTTTGCACTATAATTTATTCTTCTACTTTGTGTTCTTGGTCAACTCTGACCTGATTTTTTCTGCTTTTGATATCTCATGTATACATTTACACACATATACTTTCAAAGCAATTTTTCAATAGCATTGTTTTCTACTGATTTGTTTTATTAACCAAAAAAACTGTTACATCAGAGGTTGACTTAACAGTTTTTGGTAAAAATACTATTGTTTTATCAGTAATGACCACATAGTGCAAAGAGTCTTCTTATGTAAATTTTAATGTTATTTCTATTGTGTATGGTCTATTATGTATAGATGGAGTGTAAAAGTAAAACCACACAATGGATTAGGATCTACAGGATCACAATCAAATCTTTTTATGTATAATTATCTAAGCATAGGAGTGGATGCACAAGTAACATTAGACTTCCACCGCACAAGGCAAAGCCGTTTTTATTTGTTCAGTCATAGAATTTTTAATAAGGTATAATATTAAAAAATTAATAATTAGTTTACTAGTTTATTAATTAATGATTAGTTTAGTAAAATTAAAAATTAATTAACGTTTCAAGAATTATAATTGTATAAATAAAAATTTTATAATAATTTACATTTTACAGTTATTATACATATGCTTTGGTACACAACAAGTCATGGAAAGAGAATGCAAAAATCTTGACAAAAGTTTAGAAGTGTACTTAGATGGCAAAAGAGTAGTTTTACCTTCTATAGAAAGCATAGTTATACTTAACATTCCATCATGGGCTGCTGGTGTTGACCTCTGGAATATAGGATTGGAAGGTTATTCTTATTTAATGTTATTCTTTTTTTTTTGTACGAACTCTTTTTCATTATTTAAAAAAATTTATAAAATTAACTAGAAGGACAAAACGAAGTAGGAGTTCAGAAAATTGATGATCAAAAGCTAGAGGTTTGTGCTCTTTACTCATCTTTTCACATGGCTCAATTACAAGTTGGTTACTCGCAACCACATCGATTGGGACAAGCTAGTGTTATAAAAGTATAGTATAATATATATTCATTATTTTTAATTTTATTTTAAAATTTTGTTTAACTAATTTTATTAAACGTTTAAATTATATAATAATTGAGTTAACAAATCAAAATATTTTGATACATACTTAGGTAAAACTATTGAAATCATGTGCCATACAAATCGATGGTGAACCTTGGTATCAACATCCTTGTGAGCTTAATATTACTTATTGCAATCAAGCATTGATGTTGAAGAATAAAAATTATTAAGCCTACATTTGTAGGCATTATGGGTATAAAAATGCATTTAGTTAAATATATATATATATATATATATATATATATATATATATATATATATCAATATGTATATCATTATATATATCATTATATATATCAGTATTTATTTAACATTAGAAGTAAATGTTGTAAAATATGTTAAAGAAATCTAGTCAACATTATTTTAAGAAACAGTTTAAAACAAATTGTTAAATATAAATGTTGAGAATAAATTTCTTGAAACAAGTTATAAATGTTGATTAATAGATTATAGGATATTAATAAATGTATATAATGAATAAAAATTTAATAGTAATTAATTATTTATCAAGGAATGAATAGATCCCTAGAGTCATCTTTATAGTTTGTTATCATCTCAAAAAAGTAGTCATTATCATATAGTTATCATCTCAAAGAAAATAGTACGTAAAAATGAAAATGAGATGAACTTTAACTATGAACTAGCCTTTAAAAAGTCTATAACAAGATGGCCTATCGCGCTTGCGCATTTTTTACCATTTATCTCGAAAGTAGAAAAGAAGTTTATAGCGCCACCTTTAACATGATTCATTTGTATGTTTAGTGTTCTGCTGTCATTATACATGGGGTCCCAAAATTATTTTGTAAACACTTGGAGAGTGAACATCGCATTCGTAAATCTTGATATGCATTTTATACGCAATATGCAATGCCTAACAAAGAAGTTCGATGTTTTACATGGTTAATTTCATTGAAAGCTATGTTTAACTTTCAAGGATAACAAGACAGTATTTGGAACGCAACTTTGTAAGTATAATATTGTTTGCTTAAAATAAGTGTAAAGAGTAATAATTAATGATTTATTTGTTTTCTAGCCTTATTCTTCAAATTATACTATTTTTTTTTATTTTCACTGACGCAATGATTGCGAAAACTTTTCTTATGGTATTATGCATAACAAGTCTCTTTTACATTTTTTACGTTTTACGTAAATTAGTGTATTTCCTTTCTGATCCGAATGAACATCGGAAAACTCTACTTCTATCTATCGAAGGTAATTAAATCGTTCGAAAATTATTGTTATAGTATTTCATACAGCAGCTAGATGAATGTTATACAATGTAAAAATATATTTACAGATGGGAATCTAAATTTATCCACATTATGGTCATTATTAATAAACTCTTGTTTATTAAGTATTTTCATATTGCAACATTCGTTTATGGCGAATGCTACAGTAAAAAATGTATTAAAAAAGTTATATATTAACGAGATAGAAAGAAGTTTTTATAATACATGCAGTGCAGCTACTCTTTGTTTATTACTGGACAATTGGCAATTTATACCATGGATTAATATTTGGAATTTAAATATATCTAATAATAACATATTGTGGTCAATGTTTATATTTATACATGTTCTTGGCTGGTGTATCATATATGGAGGATGCTTAATAATGGATATTTCAGAATTGGTTGGCTTTAGGCAAGTTTATTATAAGATTACAGCAAGGCCTAGTCCTATGAGTAAAAAATCTAAAGAATTACAACGATATTATGCACATATGAGACATCCCAGTTTCATTGGTTTTCTTATAATTTTGTGGGTACATCCTTTTATGAGGTGAGATTGATTTTGCTATAGTGCCGTAAATAATATTATTACATCTTGTTTAGACTAGAAATTTATTTATAATAATTTTAATGTTTTGTAGCCTTGACAGATTTCTATTGGCTTCAATATTTACAATTTATATGTTATTAAGGTGGGCTATAGATAAAGAAGATTATCAATATCATGCTCATGTCCTTAGATGCAAACAGAGAGAATGCTTTTTTTAATATTTTTGTATACTAAAATAGGAAATGAGCAAGTGCTTTGAGGATGCTTCAATTTTATATAAGTAGATGTAATATAACTGTATGTTGGTGTATGTATTAATATTGTATTAACTGTGTCTATGTATTGTATATTTATTTATTATAAAACAAAGTAAAAGTTATATTAATTACGAGAAATGTTATTTTATTAGAATATTAAATTAGAACTATAATGAAATACATAAATAATTAATTTGGTATTTCAATTAGTAGAGCTGTTCCTTTCAATATCCAATATGATTGTTGTTGAGCTGATGGGAGTAATAGAGGTAAAACAAAGTTAGTACTATGTCCTGTCGTAGATAAAACTCCTGCACGTAGACTAGTTTTATATAATGGACAAACATATCTTGAATCTTGTTCTGGTAATTGTAAAACTGGATTCACATGTATAACTGGAAGCCAAGGATGCATTTCACCTGTAATATTAATTATAACATAATAGTAATTATAACATAAGTATTGAACTGTTTATTTATTTTTATAAGCAAGTTACCTATATTTGCATCAACTAAAATATTGAATTGAAAATCCCATCTACCAGCATCAATAAATAAACCATGTATAAAAACTCCATCTTCTGGAGTTCGTAAGTTTTTATATGCTTTTGGTACCTGTGAAGTAGATATTTTAATATTCATGTATAGTACATATACATAGAAATATTACTTCTTTGTTCGCTGTCTTATGTTCAGTTTCTATATCTTCTTGATCTAGAACAACATTAGTGACATCGAAATCCAATTTTAATTGATCGATTGGGGTATTATATTTCCTTGCATAAGTTTGTAATATACCAGTTATGAAACCCTGTGGAAAAGATAGTCCAGATATCCAAAAAGACAATGGTGCAGTATGTAATAACCATATCTAAGTATAAAAAGAAAAATAAAATTCATTATATGTTGCAGGTAATTTAAAAGGAAATATATACCTCTATGAAATCAATACGAAGTTCCAAGTTTCTTATCCAACTTCCAAGAGTTTTTAAAGATGGGTATACATTAACATTGTGCCACATTTGTGGTACCTAATTTTATTTAAATTAATATCTATATATTCATATTTTTTTATATCAATACTTATCAATATTTGTATTTATTTATTCTTTAATTATAAAGACTTGCCTGATTATTGATCAAAGCTGTGAAGACAGTTTCAAGTTCCTCTGACATAACAACAAATCCTTTAATAGCTCGTTGTAGATTTTCCATCGAGGCATGTATTTTTGCTAAAAGTTTATTATATCTGTCTACTTCGTGTAAAAGAACTGTAGTGAAAGATGGTATTCTACCCTTTTCATCTACCTAGAAATATTGTAAAAATATTTGTAAAATTTTATTATTGAATATAATTGAATATAATTAAGATTCTCCTTACTTTGAAGTGAGAGGAATGACACATTTGAGAATCTATGTTTAAATGAATTCTATCCATGACCATATCTGCTATTTCATATGCTATTTCTGCAATAGATTTACCATTTGATGCAATACTTTCTTTAGGTTGTGCTTCCAATATAGTATTTATAATAAATTGAGTCTCTTTTAGCTATAGTTGATTTTAAAATTAGCATTAGTATACAATATTTTATATATATAAATTCATATTTAATATTTACAGATATATATATAAACACACACACCACACAACTAAAAGAACTGCATCCTTACTTGGTAAGCTATATTTGCATTTTCATGCATTCCAAAAATTTCTGAATCTTCAACAATAGGAAAAATATCAACAAAATCTTTAAATTCCTGAAGTTTCGTATATTTGGGGCAGTAATATATACCAGATGCTGAATAAGTATAATCTGAAAATATATTTTAATCAAAAACTAAAGTTGTTATAAAAAATAATCTAATATTCTCTCTCGGTTATAAATATTTACCAGTATCTAAAGTTTTAGGAGAGAAAAATATTTCTAAAATTGTTTTCAGAAGACGAAGATCCCAAAAATCTGTTACTCTTCCTCCATATGTAATCTCAGCTGAAATGTATATATATATATTTAGTGTATTGGCTGTTCAATTTGCATCATGACTTTGTAGAACTCATACCTGTGATATATATTAATGCATTCCATGGTATTGTACCACTTTCACAAAAAATTTGCAAGTTCAATAAACAACATTCTCGATCGCTATCATTAAATTCATAAAGTATATTCCAGCCTAAGGGACCGAATTTTTTTCTTTCTTGAATAATTCCATGGAAGAAACATATACCAAATATCATTTTACGCCAACTTTCATCCAGAACTGCATGTAAAAATTGAAGAAAATATACAATAAAGTAAGTAATTAAAATTTATAAGAATTAAACAAGTCAATTTACACATTTTTCAATAAATTATTTGTGAATAATTATGATATTATAATAGTCCCTACAATAGATGTATTCCATACATGCGTGTATGTTAAGTCCCTGTACATTAAATTTTTAATAATTTGTGACGTATACGTAAAATACGTAAAATAAGATTTAAAAACATATATTATGACTAATAACATCAATAAGTTCAACAAAGCGAATGAATCATTCTATATATAATGTCGTACCATTATCTTCGAAAAATTCCTCTTCTAAATCTAAAAGAGCTCTTTTGAGATTGGCCTTCAATCCTTTTGGTGGTTCATTGGTAACTTTTACTGCATTTTGAAGAATCGAAACTGGAAAGTCACTACTCGGCATTGAGCTTAAAAATAATCGAAAATCTGTATGCAATTGATCGTCAGGTGTTTCAGATATATCCGCTACTATTTTTTCCAAATTGATCAACCATGAAACAGCCAAGTGACAATTTTGTAAAAATATCCATCTGCCTTCAGTCGTACCGTTTTTTATTAATTTTTCAGCGATAGGACCTTGACCTTGTCCCAAAGATATAGAATCGAATCTATGGAAGTATTCTGTTTCTATAGCGAATCTTTGGAAACCACTGAAGGGATCGGATCCAGTAGTGAGTATAAATATTAGTGGTGTTTTATTAGATGTGTCTGGAAAACTTATAAAAGAAATAAAATTTATTATGTTTATAAATTAAACATGTTAATAAATTTGAATAAAAATCTTAACGAATTTTATCCATACAGTGAATGAAGACTAGCTGTTGGTGATTCAATGAATTTTGGACCAAGATGTTTCGATACGTAAGCCGTAAATCCAAAGATAAGACATTCTTCTTTTAAGCATTTTAATAACATCAATTTCTCAATATCATTTAATATATTATTCCAATCATGTTTTGCTTTAATTACATTTTTGGGATTCACATTGATTTCCTGAAAATAAAAGATATAAAATTAATTTTTTATAATACGAGTTAATGTATATCTCTAAGAAATATATACTACTTCTTCTAAATAGCCGAGTTTCAAGTTGATTTTTTTCAGTGCATCTTCTAAAATATTTTCAAATTTTTTCCAAGTACTTGCAAGATAATTAATATTATTCCACATAAGATCCGTCAATGTTGGATAATCCGGTTTTTTATCCTGTTAAAATGAATATTTCTATAATAAATATATTTGTTCGTCTTTTATATTTTTATTTTCCAACATACAACTTTAATCTGAGTTCCACCGCGCAAAAGAAAGTTCCATTCCGTAAGATGTACAATTTTTGCGTCTAAATGTATCGCTATGTTCATCATCATGCTAAATATTAATTTGTGTTTCTCAAAAAGACCACGAGCAACATTAATATAAATTGCAATTGTGATTTCATTATTCAGTATTCTAAGACGTTCTGCGAGTATTGTGGTTTTTTCGCTGGTTTCTATCACTATGTTAAATATCTAAAAAGGAATGATAATTAAAATTCGTATATAAAATGAACGATATATTTAAACAGCATAATGAAAATGTTTACCTGATTGAAGTATTTTAATGAAAATTGATACATAGGATCAATATCAGTTAAATCGGCAACTACAAAATACAAAACAGAACCACGATTGGCTACACCTTGATATCTATTGCGTTCAATTGATATCTTTTTTTCCGTTGCTTCAGATTCGATTAATCGTGTAGCAATAATTGCCGCGGTTTCTTTGCTTTCGTTCAATGTTTCTATAAGTTCCTCATTATCTAAAATATTATCTCCTGCACCATAAAGTAACGATAGAATTCTATCCTCGATGTTATGCAATTGTCCCTTATCAGCATTTATTTTAGCAATCAATTCATTTCTAACTTCTTCAAGATCGGGTCTTTCTAGTCGTACAACATCACTGTTAATGTTAAAAAATTTCTTTAACTATTCATTGTTTTCATTTTTAATATAATAAACTTATGAATTTTTAATATAAAACAACTCACGCCAGTAGTTGTTCTTGAAGACCGTACGAAGTAACCGTAAAATTAATGATCGTCACTTTTATACAAATTTCTGGCAAATAATGAGGATTAGCAAGTTTCGTTGTTATATATAATTTAAAATTCTCGTCATATTCAATATCATTGTCTCCCAATCGTATTAGTGTTCTCCCTCCCTACAATGAAATACATTAATAATAATCAATTAATAATAATCGATAATTCAAGCGAACGTATTGATAATGGAATATATTCATGTACCTGTACAAATAATTTTTTAAGTAAAATGGGTTCTAAGCTTGGATCTAATGTTTCGGCGACTTCTTCCAATAAAACAGGTGTCCCAATTCTTATACATGCTTCTAAAATTCTCATGAGATTATGATCTGTCAATTTGCATATTTTTATATCATTTTTCTTTTCCATATTTCGTATCCATCTATTAGCCTTAACAAAAAAGTGATATAATGAAAAAACAGCAAAGATAATTATGTATAAATATAATATCGATATATGTACATTACCTGTTCTTGCGGATCAATCATAAGAGGCCACCGACTAGATTGCATAACTATAGCAGCATTTTCTGTACTTGTTTGATCTCTTGGTAAACCGTACATATTCCATAAACGTATCTCATAAGGATCGGCAAGTATGCTAATCAAATTATAATTAGGCGTTATTTTAATATATAAATCTTTGCATCTTGATATCCACATTTCCATTAATTCTTCTCTGTATATATTCGTAAAGGCACCCAAATAAGCCAGTGCACCGGAAGCGATCAAAATATCGCCAGTTAAATTTTCTATTTGCTTATCAAATTCCTGAAGAATATATTATTTAATCGTGATTAAAGTCAAAGAAATATTACAAATTGACACATATATTATTTTAATTAATTTCTATTAATTTAACCTCGGTCATACTCTGCCATCGTTGTTTTTCGTCGCTAAGAGCTGATGTTAATCGACCCGATCTACTTAATCTAGCTTCAGTAAGTACCATTTCATTTTCTAATTGATTCAAATTATCTACCGCAGCGTCGTATTGTTTTTGCAATGATTTTATTTTCTTCTCAACCTCAGCCAATTCTTGCTGTTTCAAAGCTAATAAATTTTCTATCTCTGATAGTTCATTTTGTGCTTGCTTCAATCTGAATTAAAAATGAAATTATAAAATCTTTCATTATTCTATTCTCTTAACTTACTTGTGTCGTTTTGGTTCCACTACTCTATAAATTTTGGCATAGCTGTCCATTGCTCTTACCCAGACACACATTGACTTACATACTTTACTCTGCTTCGCAACAAGTTCTGGTTTAAAATCAGGATGCTTTATATATTGCTGTAATTTTTGTAAAAGTGTGTCGCTTATATCATCTTTAGGATAGGCAATTAATCGATCCAGAAAGTGAATATCTCCTAAAACTAATTTAGCAGTGGCCCAATCAGTCCTATCAAAAAAAAAAAAAAAAAAAAAAAAAAGGAAAAAGAAAAAAGAAATATTAAGAACTATTCAAGATTTTGTCCTTTTTTTATTATCTCTTTATATATTTAGTTGTACTTTTCTTTCAATAGTAAATTTACAGCTTCCATGACAAAGCGAACCAGACGTGGAGGTTGATTGAAAACTTTGATCTCATTAATATCATTCTTATTAAGAGCTTTTAGTGCTTGCTCAGCTTCCTCCAATGCTGGTATCACCGCTTCGAGGTCATGTCTTGCATCAGCCTCTAAAACTGCAGTTTCATCAGCTTTGATCTGAGATAATCAAGAAACGTATTAAATTTTAATATTAAAAGTTGATATATTTGAATTTTATTTCATCTGATAGAATTGGAACATTCACCTTCGCAGTAGCTTCTTCTGCGACTACAACATATTTAACTTTGTCGCATTCAATTTGTTGCTTTGCGATCATCTTCACTAATTGTGTCACTTCCTCTGTACTGATCTTAAGTTTTGGTGCAAGGTTGATTAATTGTTCGTTCATTACGGTTATCATATCATTAGTCTCATGTAATTTCTGTGACGATACAACAATATAAATAAACATGTTAAAGATATAGATTTTGATTGGTTTACATACGTTTAAACCGTTCAGGATCTTTTTCTTTAGTGTTAAAATCTCTTCTTTTTTTTTATGCAATGTCTTTTGATAAAGTTTCAATAATTCCAAATAACTACTTGGCGTTGTGTAATATCTTCGACGCATTTCCAAAAAATATCGAATTGTTGCTTCTTCTACTGTCTGTTTGTAGCATCATATAAATTTTATGATATTGTAGACATATTACATTGTAGATATAGTATAATATATATATAAATATTGATTTATATAATAATATATAAAAAATAATTTAGTACCTCGTGCATCAGAACACAAATTGAACAAAGTGCAGACAACACTTTTTCATTATCCGGTATTATTGTTACTATAGAATTCTCTGCTACCGAAAGAAGAGCGTCTTTTGGCCACTTTGTGAACCAATCGATTGTACAACAGTTCACCAACGAAGGAAACATACGACAGCGGCGTCTAGGTGAATGTTCAATAATTTTTTTTTTACAAAATTTACTATGAAAATATTTCACAATTTTGATTGTATTTCGTTTACCTGAATGCATCGCCGATAGGGCTCATACAAATCATAAGATGCAAATAGTTTCTAACTCTTCCGACAAAAAATTGATAAATAGTATCTCTGTCACTCTCACTGATACCAATTTCTTTAGCTGCTGGCCTTGTAGCGATAATAACTTTCTCTAGTTCGTCTGTTTCATATAAATTTGGAACCTCGCCTATAACATGCATTAATACATTACATATGTGTGTATATATATATATATATATATTGTCAAATCATAAATCAATGTACAGTGGAAGCATCATAGAAAACAGTTTTAAATTAATTATATATTTAATTTAATTTATAATATATTTCATATATATTAAGCCGATTGTTTCAATGAAAATATTAGAAATAGGCAATATTTTATACTTTGTTGAAAGTGTTACTTGCAAATGACATTTTCCAATAAGAAACTTTTTCTAACATATCAATTATGCGTTACATATCATAAACATGTGCAATCATATTGCTTTCTATAAGGGGCTAAAAAGTCTTTGATTGATGCGAAGAACTTTATCGGCGGAATATGGAGTGATGCCTATTTCTAGGTGCTATATAAAATATTCGTATAAATAATTGTAGAAAATTGTAAATGCATAAATATGATGAGATACCAGTATTGAGAGTGTTATTAATATCTTCCAAGAATTCTTCGAGTACGATTTGAGTATCAACAAATAGAAACGTTGTGTGTTCCGCTTCTGTTCCTGGTTTAAAATAAAATTTACGAAGATCTTCAAACCATAAGTTTTTATCATAGTTACGAGTAACTTCGATTTGATAGCACCTAAGTAAAAAATCTTTTGTATACTTATGTGACACATATTCTTGAGTAATTTAAATCGAAGTAATTATACCGATAATAATTTAAATGCGACGATAATTTTACTAAGCTCTGTTTTCCCATTCCGCCTACTCCAACTAATAATCCGTTGCCCCTTTCTGATCGAAGAATTCTTGCGAGTCTGCAAACATGTTCGATGGCATCCATAAAAAATATAATTCCCATTTCCTGACCAATGCTTAATGAATAGTCATCTAAATAATCCTATAAAAGAGTATATATTCCATTTGTTTAAAAAAAAACCAAATGATTTATCTTAAATAACACTTGAATTTCTCAAACCTGCAAAACAGATTTTATTTTCGTTATGTCTGTAATTTCTTCATAAATTCGTTGTTCCAATGGTGCGCCAAAGGACATGAAATCGCCGAAGAGTAAAATTGGAAGTTTTTCAATAACTTTTTCATCTGGTAATGATATCACCTCGTCGTCAAATGCAGTAAAACAAATACTTGATAAAAGTCGATAGAAATAATTCTTGTCTTCAAGGTTTATCAGTCTGTCATGAAAAACACGTAGACATTCATGATAAAACAATCTGTAATAATAATAATAACATAATAAATATATTTTCTTTTTATATTAAAAAAAAATTATGTACGGAAATACCTTAACATTTGTTTAGGTTCTCTGATAATTGATGGATCAGCTTGCATCATTCCTTGCACGCATTTTGATAAATCACGCAAGTTAAAGAGGTAATGACTTTTTTCTGGCGTAGGTAAAAGATCAAGAGAAATCCTTAAATACAATTGAATCGTTGCATTCACTATTTTATCTCCAAGATCTATTATTGGCTGTACAAAATCTTTCAGAAAGCCTCTCATAATCGCCCTTAATAATTTAGAAATTTAATTTTTCGAGAACAGTATAAATATAAGATCATGTTTTTGATGATATATGAACCTAAATATGTTTTTTAGAGATTCTTCTGTCGGTGATGGTATATATAACATCGCGAAGTGTCTTACGAATCTTGGTGTAAGAGGGTTTCTACCTCCACCAGGTGGTGCACAAGCTGCTGTAATTACAACGTCTTCTATATCCTTCCAGAATAATTTCTCACGATCGTACATTCCACTGTAGTCTAAGATTTGTCTATACTTCGGCATAAGTGAATTATCTCTTTAATTCGTTAGATACTTCCATATCGTAATAAATATATAAGTATGGAACAATATGTAAAATACCGTAATAATTCGATTGATGGTTGAGATCCATATGTATCCAATTTAGGCATATTGATATCATCTACAAAAACGCAAACCCGTTTGCCAACAGGTGCTCCTAGAACTGCTCTTTTTCTTTTTTCTAATTTAAGTTCGAGAATTTCTTGAGTACGCCCACTGCTAGTTTGTGCAGAAAAAATCAAAGTTATTGGTATCCAAAGATTAGATTCTTGAAGTGCGTTTAATACAATTTTGGTTGTTATTGATTTACCCACTCCTGTTAATAATATATTTAAATTATTAATGAACAATATTCTTTTATGTCTTATTATATAATACTAACCTGTACTACCAGTAAAAAGAACTGGCATATTGATCATAATAAGATTTTTCATTATATAACCAAATCTTATCGTGTTAATAGTTGGTACAATAATATCAAAAAATGGCGTATCCTTGTTATATTCAAATACCGGCATTATTTTAATCCATAAATCTAATTTTCGACTTTGCATGTTCATGTAAAGATTCCATAAATCAGCGGACGGTAATCTACGTGAATAACAATAATTAAAATTAATGAATTTATTATGTTTAGATAAAAACGTTTAATTCTACCGTGCGTCTGGATGTTGATCGAATTGTTCTTTAACATAAACTTCGAAAAATTCACGATACGCATCGACGATATTGCCACCGATTGACCAAAGAAGTGAATAAATGAAGGATTGAATAAGAAATGTTTTTATTCGTGATCTTTCTGTAATTGCATCAATAACATTTGGCTCGAGTATTATACTTTTCATTATACCACAAGCCATGTTGGCTTTACTGATATCGACCTATTAACAGACAATTAATAAAATACTTTAACGTTATGAAACTTGGCAAAAACTATATGAGCAAACCTGTGCGATAGCGTGATCACAACTTCTCCCGAAAAAGATCAATGCATTTTCGAAATACTGTTCAAAAAGATCAATAATTAATTGCTGATATTCTGGAATAATTATATCTTCGGGAAGCTTTTGAACCCATGTCTTTACAAGAGGTAGCCATTTTAATTCGGTAGGATCAAGATACACCATTCCTATGTTCAAAAATATATTGTCAAATCGTATTCCAGTGTACATAATTAATGTAAGATTAGCTTCATCATAAAAGCTAATTTTACATTAAGTTCATTTTGTAATTAAATTTATAGTATATTATTTTATAACGTGTAGCACGTAACAAATAACATATTCATACGGATTGGTATTGAATATTGCATATTGCAAGGCGACAAATAATTTCTTACTAATAAATGGTAATCGCAAGCAACATTTTTGACGAAGTACAAAGAGTTGCCTATTTTCAGGTGCTATATAAAACACTCATATAAATAATTGCAGAAATTCGTAATGGTTTAACTTTAAACCGAATAATAGATTATAACTGTTAAGAGATTATTTATTTTACGAGATTATTTATTTTACGTACCACATCGACTAACCGTTGCTGGTGAAGCTTGAGCAAGATCCATAACTTCAAAAACCATGTGAACATAAGGCGTAAATTTAATTCTTTCGGAATTCGCAAGACATAACATTTTATTATCGTCCAGGACTGTGTTCATATTTTCAATCCAGACAGCATCGACAGGACCGTCACAAACAACCCACTGATGATCCTCTGTCTGAAACTGCATAGAAATATTTTCATTATAATTAATATTAGAAATCGCGCGCGCGCGCGTATGTGTGTATGTATGTATATAATTGATAAGTTTATTTTATTATACTAACAGAACATGCGAGACGTATTATAACAGCCAATAAACCATCATGCCACTCATTGGTTAATGGATTTACTTCTCCATATAATTCACCGATAGTAATTGCTTTTGGATTAAGTATATACATGTGAACAGGTTGATAATATTGATTTTCTACAGCCATTTCATAAAGTCGCGTATAGGTTTTACATAGCGTCTGAAATAAAATTTAAGATGTAATTATTAATTATTAATTCGTTCATCGTAAACTGCCATCTGTTCATCTTTTTCTCTTACATTAAGAACAGTAGATTTCCCCGATCCAGTTGGTCCTACTAACATTACACCATGCCTGACTCTCATAGTTTCATGCAATTGAATAGCTTTTCTTATGGTACATTTTTCTGGTTGCAAATTATCCTCTATTAATATCTATTAATAATTTGTTAATATTTTTAATGTTTCTATTGTATGAATAAATGTTCTGCTATAAATTTATTACCGTAATTGCTATTTCTTCGAAAATACCATAATCTTCATCAGGTATTATAATATCAGGAAAAAGATCACTAACAATACCTTCAAATAGGTTTGCATCATCGCTTAAAAACTTTGGAATATTACTATCACGTAAAGCTTTTATCAATACGACATCTTCCAATTTATCAGGATTATCACGTTTTAAAGTTCCTGCCATTACTAAGACGCTTTTAACAGCCCTTTAAAAACCACATTAGTTATGTTTTGAAAAGTAGATAACAGACATTGTATTTATACAATTGTGCAAGCTTCTTTATTCACTTTATCAACTTCTACGGTTTATCAACTTCTGTTGTTTTCTATATTTTGTTATCCTACTGATACCTCATTCCAAAGTCATAGTGATCTTGCTGTGACAATTGTTCGCTGCATAATGTATACATTAGAGTCATCTTCTTTGATAGCAGCCCGGACATTTCGAATCCTTCAGAATATAACGTTACCTCCGCAATTAATTCTACAAATCAATGTTTTAATTTATTAAATAATTATAATATTTATCATATTTAAATCATAAAAGATTTTTATATTTTTACTATAATCAGGAACCATCATGGCGAAAGGCCGAAACAAAGATTTCAAATTATCTGGTAATTCTGTACGTCCAGCGTATCCGGGATTCATAGTGATGAAAGTTGAACAAGACATGACTAATTTTATCATACGACCTTCGAACATGAATCTATAGCAAGAGATAAGTATGTATTTATATAAACGCGTTAAAGAAAATAAATGATAATGATGACTCACTCTGTAGCTCTGATGAGTTTCGCATTTCTAATGGTAATTAATTGTTGAGCTATTACGGAAAGAACCTCAATATCTATTCGATTAAATTCATCGAAGCAACACCAGGCTCCAGACGTTGCTAGCCCAGAAAAAAATCGACCCATCATCTGATAATATAAATAATCTACCATAAAAAATCATGTTAAATGATAAAACATTTAAGAACTTTTTGGTACTTTGTAATCCACTCCTTCAGAACAATTAAATACAACACATTGAATTGCAAGGGCTTTTGCAAGATCTTTGGTTGTTTCTGTTTTACCAGTACCAGCTGGTCCAGCAGGAGCACCACCTAATAAATTTTCAATTGTAATATTGAGAGTAATGAAAGTTATAAAATAAATTTACCCAAATCTAATTGCAAAGCTCCCATAAGACAAAGATAGCATTTATCTGTGAGTGGCGTTATGACGAGTCTTCTTTTTCCTCCAAGATATTCGTAACCATAAAGATATTCAGAATTACTCATTTTCGTTAAACAATTATCGATTTCATCATCCCAATAATAACGCAATGCTTTAACCCAATCAAAATGTGTACTGAAATATCGATACATACGTATGTGTGTATATATATATATATATATATATATATATATATATATATATATATATAGTTAGTGTATGTGTGTGTGTGTATGTATAATTCTAAATGAATATTTTAAATCTTACCTAGAATCGATTTTATTTTCTACTAAAATTGTGATAATATCTCTAGCGTGTACATCAATGGTAATTAAATTGATTATTATTTCGCGTATCAATCTTGGTAATTCCCCTCTAACCATAGCGGCCAATAGATTTAGATCCTATAAATATATTTAAGATTAATTATTTATCACTCACGTACTGGCATAAAGTTAGCGGAGATATAAAATAGAAAATACATATATTCTACTTAACCGAATAACACTTTTGCTCGAACGATTGCATCGAATTTATAATATTAAAGCCAGAATCTAAGATGAGGTGAACGTTGCGAGCCCAAAATATTTGTGACACCGTCAGTACTATCTATGAGGAAGGGTGATTATTATAAAAGTATTTCAATAAATAATTATATTTATTAATAGAATGACATAAAGATATAAAGAATGAAGATATTCATTGTTTATTTTATACATAAGAAAAGCACCTGGGAAGGATGAGCAAAAATAAATAATTCTCGTCCTCGAGATTCTAAATCAATGATCGCCGATTTCATTCTTTTTCTTAAAGTTATAAACATGGATTCTTCTACTTTGCCAAGCCAATCTTCTACGTTTCCTCTCGCTCGTAAACCTCTTCCAAGAGCAACCTTCTCACCCTCAGGTGATATCATAGCAATAATATCGGTGGTGAGAAGAGTTGCTACTACCTCACCATGTTCATCTTCTTTCGTTGTGGTTGCAAACTCCAAACGAAATATACCGTCGAAACATTTTTGCAAATGTACTTGAACAGCATGTGGATTTTTCGTCTATTCGTTTAATAATGTATTTTCCTTTCTCTCATTCTGAATTAGTCTTGCTTCTAATTCGTAATGTTGGTTTTATATTCGTTACCTGTGCTAATATCTCTAATAATTCGTCATTGGACAAGAAAAAGAATCGTGGAAAAGCTATTCGTTTTACTTCTAGATAAGCTTCTAAGCACTTCATTACTTGATCGAGATTGTTATTGTTCTCAGTAAGTTGTTCTAACATACCAGGTTGTGTACAAACTTCCATAGCTAGCGGCATCTGAAAATATAATGTGTGTGTGTGTATGTGTGTACATATATACGTGTAATGAAATACTTTACAGTTTTCTCTCTGAATGTGCTTTTTTGATTTATTTATTGATAATACCTTGGCCGTTTGTCTCATGATATCTTTCCAAGATCTATCAACTTGCAGAAAAAGTTTCGCTTCGGTAGGTAATTGTCTCTGAATGTCAGGTGCTGAAAATATTGCTTCCAAATATAGCCATTGCTGTTGACAATATTGCCATGCTTCCTGTTGAATTTAGAAATGTATTATTTGAAAATAAGTTTACTTTTTTATTTTTCTATTTATAATGGGATATAATTCTTTTTTACCAGAGTTATTGAAAAAAGATCCAATTGTTTCAACCAATCTTCAACTTTCGGTTTTATCGGTCCAACGTATCGAGACGCAGCTATAGTCTGTATATTAATATTACTCTCATCTAAAGCAAGTTGGATTTCCTCCAAACTTCCTAATATAAAAACATCCCGTGATTCTTTATAAGGTATGACGATAAACTCCAAATCTTTCCATAAATCTTCTACTTTTGTTAGCATTCCTTCTAAATTCGCTTCTGAACTAGCTGCAGCAGCAATTTCCATGAGTTCATTCGAATAAAAAAATGCGCCGAGATTTTCTAATAAATTCCAAGTTATAAGCTCGTCCGGTTTGAATCTGTAGTTCAATAATCCTTCGATTTTAATCCAATGACGTTTTTTCAAAAATGGATTTCGTAAGTATCCCAAAATTGGTAGTTTATTTTTTATCAATTCTACGTCCTTCTTCAATATTGGTACAACATCATTCGCGGGCAAACCTTTCTCCATTTGAACAATATTTTTTACAATTCGCGTTGTTAACGCTGTAACGTCTTCCACGTTCAGTGTATCGAAGTCGGCAAATTGCCATTGATCCACCGCATTTTCCCAAGTTGTAACACTTTCCCAAAGTAAAGTACGCAATTTTAATTCGCTCATTACTTGATCAATAATTACAAATCTTGTAACTTCGATCTATAATAAATGTATATATGTATATATGCATATATATATATATATATATATATATATATATATATATAATTTTATTTTATAGTATACTGTTATACTATATTTTATATACATTTTAAATATAATAGAGTATACTGTATTGGAGAGAATATATAGAATAGTAATACTATTATAATACTATAATATTACTATAATATTATTATAATATAGTAACATTCTATGGTATATTCTATGGTATATAGTATATAAAAGTAAATATAAAAAAATAAATAAATAATATATATAAATATATTGCGCGCATGCACGCACGCACATACATACATACATAAAATATTCTGTACTATATTTTATACTATATATATTATTTATATGTGCATTGAAATATAGAAATTATATTTTGTATAGATTTTTATCATTTTTTAATACCTTAAATGCTCTTTGATGTGATCGATATTCCTCTGCAGTTGCTACACAATCATTCAATCGTTCTGTCAAATCTTTTAATGTTTCTAAACATTCATCTATATTACTTTCAGCTTCTATTAACCACTCTTGCTGTGAAATTGAATATAAAAAATAATAGAAATCAGTAACAATATTTTTATATCAAGTAGTAAATATATTTTTACCGTCACTTCTTCGTTAATTTCAGATACTTTATCTATTAAAGATTTAATGTCCTTTTGAAGTTGGATATTAAACTTTCCTATTAATTTTCCTCTTTCCTCCAATTTCTTTTCGACTGCTAAACGCAAAGTAGTAAAATGAACGCTTATGTTCTGTTGAAGAAAAGAGAACATATGTTTTCTTAATAAATTTCAATTTATGAAAAAATAATAAATTATTTATTAGATATTTTCGAAGCATAAAAATATTTTTTTTACCAAATAGTTCGCCATATCATCGCTTGGTACTATTATCTGGAATTCTTCCATTGTATCGTACAACTCTTTAATGTAATCATATTGATTCTCCATCATATCCACTCTTTCTTGAGCTTTATCGATAAATTTTATATATGATACGAAATCGTCTGTCGATACTGGTTCAGATTGTAGATAACTTAACGATACAAATGCTTCAGTAAGTAAATTATCCACTTTATTTTTACCAATCCTATATAAAAGAAATAAAAATTTAGCAAGTTAAAAGATTTTAATACACACAAAAATATTACCCTGGCATAACAGCTTCAATAACAAATCGTTTTCCTTCAGGTGCAAGTGCAGCTGCTTTCTTAAAACTTTGTAACTGAATATAAAAAATACCTAGTGGTTGATAATCAACTATTTTATCAATAATATTCAGTTCATTTTGATAACGGATACACCATTTACGGAATAATCGACACTCAATATTATCCCTAATTATGTTTTCGTCAAATTGCATGTCTTCTAAATAGAAATCGTATATTATTTGAAAACGTTTCCAATAACGCTTCACAGAATCAATGTTGTCATTCAAAATTGTTGTTAACTCTGCTTTCAAAGTTTTTAACAATGGATCCATGCTAAGAACGGTAAGAATTTCCGGTGGTTCCCCGCAGATTTTTTGTTCTATTTTACGATTTATCACTGGTCTAGTATCGGAAAAATCAACACGATTTTATATATTATTGACTTCAATAGATGAAATGAAAGTCATACATTTTTAGCGTTTACCTGGTGAAAGTGTAAAAAAAAGGATCTGAAAGTAACGGCTTAATAGCGTGCAAATTTTCTTCCCACGTTTTTTCTAGAGTTTTAAACGCGTCTTGAAATTTATTTTCAGATGGATTCATATGTATTCCTTTTTTAATGGATATAAGTAAATCTATAATAAAATATGGTCCCTAAAAAAATTAAATTATATTGTAAATATTTTTTTTAGATATGACATACACAATCGATGATGTTGCTCTACATAGGTAACGCTCTACAAAAAAAATGAGTATGTTGCCTATTATCAGGGGCTCACAAACTTTCGGATTAGTTAGCAACATTATCGACTGTATATAAAGTGATACTCCTTTTCAGGCGCTATATAAAATGCGTAAATAATTATAAAAAATCTGTAAATGAACAAAACCGATTAATAACATTAAACCACGTAATAAACAAACTGATTATAATCACATGGAATATTTCTTCTTAAAATTATTAATAGTGAAGAATTATTTGAGGTGTTAATTATTTGATTTATCATAAATGTATACCTGAGTACGAGGAAAAGGAGGCTCTAATACAACATCCATTAAATCATTGTCTAGTGATGCATCATCAGGCAGATAATTTGAATGATTTTTAAGTATATCTACAAAACTTCTGTAGGTATTTAACAAAAAAATTTGCATCATGTTTGTTTGCATATAGTCGATGAGATGAATAAAACTATAAAAAATACATAAATAATATAAATAAAATTTGTTATATATCAAATTAACGCTTCAATAATCTGCCGAAGTTGAAGTTGTATTTTTTTTATGTACCAAGAAAGACGATAACATTTGTCTCGTTTTCGAGCTTGTTCGATGTAACTCATCTTTAGAATACCATCCTTTGGCATTTTAAATTTCATTTCAGTAAACGCAACTATAAGAATATAAATTACAATTAAATGTATGCAATAGTTATTATTAATTTTAAAAATTATGTATTTTTTTTTGCATGAAATATTACGGAGTTTTCCATATGCAGTTTGTTCTATTGTGATATTCGAATCGTCCGGAGTATAACCAGCTTCAAGAAGCGCTTTCAGACAGGCATTGTTCACAATATCCTTTGTTAGATTTCTAAATTCATCTAATTTGTTTCGAAATTCTTCTACTTTCCGTAACTATTTATAATTAAAATTAAGTAAATAAACTTGCTTGAACGAAATGTAGATTCTTCCATTTACAAGAATATTTACCTGTATTTCTGTAAAGTCAGATAAAGATAATTTCTCTGTGACAGAAGCATCGTAAAAACTTAAATTAAGAAATACAGTACACATAGCTTTGATTTCAAGTAATGCCTTGCTAAGTATCGGATCTGATATGAAGAGATTTTGCTCCATGTAATTACTAACTTTTATGAATTTTCCGAATGTTATTTGCTTTCTCCATACATAAAAGGCCTTCCACATTCGAAAAATAGAAAAAGTTTTTATCTATAAGCATAATAAATAATCGTAAAAATATCAATGATACAGATCAATGAACTTTTAATAAAAATGTTAAATATGTTACTTTTATTAATTTCATATAAAAAATGTATTCTTTTTCCCACGTTTTGATTGGTGTAAAAGTAACCTCTTCAATAGTGTATTGTGTTACACCATCCTTACTAATAGTTAAATATGCTTTACCAGTTTCGTTATATTCAACAACCCTGTAATGCAATTTATTTTTCATGATTTAAAAAATAATACCTCTTTATTAAAATAATTTAAACGTTTATTTTTTACTTTAAAGCATAAGGTGTAAAATATTCAGATGAAGGATCTACAGCGTATATCATGTAATAAAATATATGTTTCGGATTTTTTCGCAATCGTTCGATCAATTCTAATTGATCTGCTATAATTGGTGGTTGAGATTTAGTATAAGACGTATCGTCGATCAAACTTTTCGGCTTTACCTCTACTGTTAAAAGAAATTAAATTTCTTTTTTAAACAATTAAATTAATTAAATTAGTTAAATAATTTTTAATAATATTTCTAAAACAATATTGAATTGTATACTAAAATATTGCATGAAAAGTCATACTTATACGGCTTTTAATTTTTTCTTCATCTGCTACTTGTAGTTTCGGTTTTAATACTCTTTTAGTAATTTCTTCTTGCTGTTTTGCAAATCCTGTCTATAAAATATACTTCATTAATTTTTATTCCATTATAAATAGAATAAAAATTAAATTGTTAGATTTTTTTATTTTATTATAAAATCGAATAAACTCACCAGTGGTTCACGTATTTGTTTTTTATTCTCTATTTTTTCGAGTACTTTGTTATGGGGTATATGATATAATATTTCATCCGAATAACTAAAGTAATATTATTTGAAACGTAATATAAATAAAATGGAACAAAAGAAATATTATTCTTTAAGTTTTTTTTTACCTTTTGTAAGTTTTTGCGGATACTTGACAAATTCTAGACGTAAGAACATCGTAAATATTTTTATTATTTTTAGAATATTTTACGTTTATTTTTGTATCACTGTATTTCTGATCGGGACAAATATTCGAGGTTAAGGAATCACTTATTTCTTCTTCTTCTTCTTCCATGTTATTTTATTTATTATCTATAATCGTTTTTTCAGTATGTTTTTCAGTATCTATAAAATTTATCGATAAGTAATAATTCGTTCGTAATTGAAAAATAAATTATAAAATGTAATCACTATGTATGTATTTGAATTCAATGAATTCTTTAACCTAATGATCAAACAAATGAATTTATTTTACCTTGGAGATAATATGAATCAATATGAAATTAATATGAATAAAAAAACATAATATTTAATATAAATCTGCATTACCGATATACAATAATTTATTATTATCAAGGATAATATATTTTTCAAAAAAGGATTTAAAAGAATGATTTTAAATATTAAAGCTGATATATTACCGACATAGTTCTATCAAGTATTAAGAATATTCTGATAGATGGTGTTGAGTATCAAGACTGAAGTTCATCTCTGATAGTTGTAATGAAAAGTTGACGTTTATAGTAGTGAATTTATAATTTACAATGTCAAATAAAATGTTTCTCGGATTATTTTAAGTTCTAATTAATCAGTTAACTCTATGTTTCTGTCGCTTTTCAAAAATCATATTTTTATTAGTTCATTTAGTCAGCAAAGACGTGATCGATGTATCAACAAAAAGACCTGCTGATCTTTTCGCGAACGTTTATATTTGTGGATCGTTTTGTTGACGTTAAAAACGTCAACTATACTTTTTATCAATATATTTCCTTTTTATATTCTGTTGCATTATGAATTGCGTCATGAAAATCGACGAACGTGAACGTCAAGCAAGTACAATGAGTTTAAAAAAAGAAGAAACATCTTTGACAGTGTCAATAACAGAACCATGTTCTGAAATGAAAACTATTACGGACTCCAAAAGTCCACAAATTCGTATTGTTCGTGGTACTAAGAAATTTAAAGTAGATAATACTGACTGTACTAATTGTAACGAAAAAAAAGGTTAGCATCTGATGTTTAATTGTTTTTATTGACTGATTGCATTTAATATATTTATAATTATATTCATTACGTATATTTATTGAAATCAATTATGATTTATTTATTCTAATATAAAGAAACTTTTTTTGAAAATTTTAGATTTCAAGGAAGATGACAACGCAGAAACAAAAGTAAGATCTTTAAAGCGATCTTGTGAACTGTGGTCGATGGAGGATAAAAGTGCTTTTTTTAAAGCTCTCAAAGAATATGGCAAAGATTTTGATGCTCTTCAGAATTTTTTTCAAACTCAAGGAAAGAGAAAAGGCCTTTCTGATCCTATGATTAAAAACAAAGAACAAATAAGGCATTTTTATTATCGAACATGGCTAAAAATATCAAAGCATCTTAAATTTTCAGAAGGTTAGTACACACTTAAATGTGATATCATATTATTAATATAATATCATTAATTTATAGTTTTCTCTGTTTTTAAAAAAACAAAATGTGTGAATATTAGAAATATATGTTAAAAATGATCTTTGTATTACAGATGTAAAAAAAACTTCGCAAGAATTATATGGTTTAATTAATTATGGTGAACTAAGAAGAAAATTGCCTCGTACACATGAGAGAGTTAATTTAAAATTAAATGAATTGATTTATTGGGGATCTACACAAGTAAGACTTCAAGGAAAAACAATGAGGATAAAAACACCGATATGTAAAGCTTTAAGAAAATTGAACCAGTTGGAAGGTAAGTAAAAAATATTCATTATTATTTTTATACAGAAAGTATGCAAAAGTATAATCGACAAACAATATAACCGAATAAGTTCTAAATAAAGATAGAAATTTACTAAACTGTATGCCTGACATGATTTGGTAAAGCTATGTGTATATTTATATGTGGATAACAGGATAATTAAAAACTCCCTTATGAATAAACAACAATCAATAATTAAAAGATCAAATGAAAAAGTATATTCAATAAAATAGCGAGTAAACGTATACAACCATAATAGTTAGAAAAAAAGAAAATTTATTGCGTTGAATTTATTTCTCTTAATCAAGGATTTTTAGATCAGTATGACTTCTATCATAAAATTCATAATATATCTTGACTCTACAGGATTTACATAAAGTTTGGTAACATTTTAAATGGTTTGTTGTATCAGGACTACATATATTACTTTCATCTGCATATCATTTTTAAGAGAAACTATCAAAGTTTGTTGGATATCACATCATATTGTAGAGATTCAATGTGAAAATCTCGTATGATACAGATATTCACAAGATAATTCAATTCTTACTATATTCTCCCTAATTCCCTAATATATTTTGTGCAATGGTAGCTTCTTGTATTTTCTATTTGAATTTTTATTTATCGCGTGGTAAAAACATGCAATCCTTTGTCTATCCCCATAGAAAGAAGTCACACATTTGGTCAAAACAGATGACTTTGATGAATGTGTCATGGAACATCTGTCTCTTTCTTAAGCATATCCGATTCAATGCTGAGACATTTCTGTATTCAGGTATGCACGAATATTACTAGGGAAAGAGAAAAGAATCTTTCTATGTTTGAGGCATCAACCATTGTTGCAACATGTCCAGGTACGAGTGTCCAATTACAGTGGTCTCGGCAAATAAAAAAAAACCATGAAGTTTTCGTTGTAACAATACATTCACCTTTGGCGAATCATACTGTTATTTAATAATTTATTGATATTCAATAATTGTGTCCAAATAAAAAATTTATTATTGTTAATATTCCCGTTTATGTAAAATGTTGTTTCGTTGCTGAAAATTAAACGTTTCATAAAGTCGTTATTCCTTTCTGCCTATTGTTACAGTTGCCAACGAAACTGGAAACTACAGTTGAATAACGAAACTATAAGCTTTGTCGATAAATACGATAAAAATTTTCAAAGTTTTTTTTCGAAGTGATATGAGTGGGAGTATGATATTGTATGTAGTCCTTGTGCAACAAATCATAAAATATTACGATTACAGTATTACGATCGTTTACGATCAAAAGCAAGAAAAAAATATTCTATATCTTCACTTCTATCCATAATCACTAATCTATCCTAGCACATGATCCTTATCCACGTCCACGGCAAGTTATCCTGAATTGAAGAAAATAAAAGTAAGAAGATCATCGATTTCGTAGATTGGCAGGAAGATATAAAGCTCCCGCCTAGGGTAACCGTAGAATTAAGGCCTCGCAATAATATGGCATGGTGGAGGGTTCAGGCTTCTTCGATGAATCCAAGGGTACGTACCCTTCTACCGATACAAAGACGTCTCTCTAGCTTGCTAATATTCTTGCAACAACGATGGCAGCCCTCGAAATACAAAACTGTATCCTTTTTATTTTCTCATAGACGATTCATGCGATATTATTTTAATTTTATTTGAGGAACATTCGGCAATTTCATTTTTTTTTTTTTTTTTTTTTTTTTTTTTTTTTTTTTTTTTTTTTTTTTTTTTTTTTTTTACGAAACAAAGTATCCTTGATAAATGAGAATGAATCCTTACATGAAAATTTTTATATAGTATATCAATACAGAGAACGTAAATATAGAAGATTTAAAAGATACTCGTCTGTTGCGTCTTGCACCGCCAGAAGGTTGCAAAATTGCTTTGCCTATGGTGAATCTAGGCGAGTATTTGACAAGCAATAGCGTTAGTTTGAACTCGTACGAAAGGCGTCTCGGATTGAAAAGTTCACGAACTGAGTTGTTGGGAGCAGTGCAATACTTGAAGGGTGTCAATAAGAAAGGAATAAAAAGATATAGGTTGGACAAAAGATGTTTAGAAAGGACAACGAGTGATCAGTGTGCACCAAACGATAACAATAGTGATGTTGATCTTAATGATACGACTGGGAGTGTATACGATAAATCTGCGGTTCTAAATAACGAAAAGAAATCTTCCATGGAACAGGCAATTGAACTACATAGATATCCAGGCAGGGAAACGGTTGATAGGATTCGTAGAGGTTGGAATATTGAGGAAACGAATACGATGACGATGGGTGATTTATTTCTTATGGTACTGATTTTAATAAAATTCATTTAAGCATTAAATTATTTTAACCCTTTTTTATTTCTTCTTTTCATTTAACCATTCAGCGATTCGTTTCTATAGTCAGATGTAAACCATATATTTGATAATTTATTATTTTTAATTTAACACCTTCTTAATTATAGAATTTGTACAAAAAAAAAAAAAAAAGAAAAAAAACAATTTTGTTCCCTACACATACGATAACGTTAAAAGTTGAAGAATTTTCAGATATTTTAAAGTTGTAGTAAATGAGGCAACATACATAGTCTATCAAAAAAACATTGAAGGGTTAAACACGATATGCAATTTGATCGACACGTTAGAAAACGTATAGTTCTAATTCATCAAATTCCGACAGTTTGGACGCGAGTCGAAGATAACTCTAGAGTATTGGTGGGACTCACAGCCATGGAGAGAACACACAACGGAAACATCATTAGGAGACCATAGTCTCTGTTTGGCTTTACAGAAACTTTTGTCTTTAGCGAAACACAATTATGGAACGAACAAAGTAAGACATGTTCTAATCACTTCTATTTCTAGTCAATTAAAGTAAAACGAATTAATAGAGATTAAATTAATAGAGATTTCTCTCTCTCTCTCTCTCTCTTTTTTTCTCTTTCTTTCGGTCTCTTTTTCTCTGTCTCTCTTTTTATCTAGGTCTACGATAATGCGTCGGGAAGTAACGAGACTGTGATCTCGTCGCGTGTACTTTCGAGCAAAGAGTCGGCTTTTAGGAGACCGCTGATACCACAAACTTATCACAAAATCGGAGCACCTGATGCTTTTAAAACTCAACTTGACGTAAGTTCCTTACCTTTTTCCTTTGCTTTCAAACGTCTTTTCTCTTTCGTTAAATACTTGAATATAAATTTTTTGTTTTCTCTCTTTTGTATAGAAATTTAAAACGCGTTTTTGTAAGAGAGGCAGAACAGTCAGACAAAAGAGTCTAATCGTTCAAAGGTTATTGCCGATAACGCCTAGTGGCAACGTTCAATCGGAAAATGTGATTTTGTCTGATACACCGATGACCAGTCAAAGTAATAATACTAGTAATATTAATAATAATAATAATAGTAATAATCCATTGGTGGACGGTAGCGTTATCCAGGATGACAAAATATCGGAGGTGGAAGAGCAAAGAAATAAGAATTTCTTACCGATGGATGGCATCGAACCGGAGTCTAATCCGAAACCAACGAATTCTATTATAACCAGTGCTACGCAAATACTTAAAGAAGGTGAATGGTTGAATAGCGAGGTCAGTATGCACGAACGAACACTCAAGATATATAATACGGTTGAAGATATATACGCTTACTTCCCCCATGAGACGGCAATATACATACATATGTAATGTACTTTATACCCTTCATATCTTTTATAAAAATCATAAAAGCTGACAAAGATCGACGTTCGTGGCCAAGTGAAAATTAGTAAGACACTATGAGACTTCGAAGGGTTACTTCGAGGGTTGAATTTGCATTTCTTTGATCTTAAATGCCGATAACATTTATATTTGCTGAGGCTCTGCTTTAAAATCCTTTCCTTCAGCAAATATACATATACAAGTACATATATTATGTCCTAAACTAATCATTTTTCAACATACATGGGTTAATACTTTTTTTTTTTATAAGAAATATCGAGCTGCATCAACCAATGAAATCAAGAGCATATGATTCTATTAAAAAAGAAAAAAACATAATTATCTTTTATATGTCCTTTACGCGTCCATCTACGCGTATGACTTGTGAAAACGAAATTTCTTCATATCTATAAAAAGAAAGGAGATATTCAAAATGATTAAAGTTATTACCCAACCCTATATATGTACATGTATATAAGGATATCCATAGAATTTCGATTATTGTTATCTCTGTTACGATTTTATTGAACGATTTTAGGTCGCTGATTTCTCGTTAAGCAGCTTTCTAGGGCAGCTAGAATCGCCGTTAAAAGGCTCTCAAAGAAGTCAAGTTGGAGGACATACCGTTGAGGACGTTCGACCCTCTTCAGACGTAATTACAATTACATGGAATAAACAGGAAACTTATATGTCGTATTGTAGGAAAAATTAATTCCTGGTCACGTATCATTTCAGGTTGTATCGCACATGCAATGTCTGATGGCCGAAAACAGCGTGGATTACATGGCCAAATTCGCAAATCTTGCATCACAAATCGCGGATGACGAGCATAAAGCGCAAATATTGTAACGCAAAACTGGTACCTGACTTGACGACATGATGTTACATTTATAATTAGAATCATCGATATTCTCACATTTATATAGTGTATACACGTGTGTCTAAAAGCATAATAAACGTTATTTATTCCACTTTTATTTTTACAACTGGTCATTATTGTTCTTTACGATAATTTTCTTTATGATATTTATTCTTCTTGATAATTTAAAATTATCGGGAATATTCCTTTACTACCAGCTTTATTAATGAATGTGAATAACTTCGAATGTATCCCATCAACAAAAGACAATTTTTCAAATTTTCCTCGAGTAAAAAAAAGTACTTATCTTTGCAAAGAAATGAAAATTTAAATGTCATATAAAATTACATTTTATATGAAAAAATTTTACAGAATCTTTGCCCTTAGATGAATGCGCTGAGTTATCATTTAGTTGAGAGTGAAGAGACATATGTACGTCTAGTCCGTTCCAAATAGACTTTTCTCGGATCTTGATACATTCTGTCAACTTTTTACCTCTCACTTTGGATGCTGATCTGTCCAAACGCTTCAGAATTGCTTCGCTCAGGCTCGTCAGAACTTGATATAGATCTTATTGTTAGAAATAAGAGATTTCTTGCGTGCGTATACAGTAATACATATTTACACACCTACATGCATATATGTACATATGTATGAAAGAATATGTAACGAAAAAGTTGCAATCGATGCCATTGCAGTCGATGCCATTACAATTTGGATTTATAAAATTTGAATAACGTCGAACGCATGATTTTTTCTCTTTTTGCATTTAGATAAGAGCGGTACGCTTTTTTTTTATTTAATTTTTATCGCGTATTCACAGAATCGATATTCTTTTAATAGACTTTTCAAACGATCAATTTATTATAAATTTAGATCGAAATTGGGTCACTTTAGGATTACGATGAAACAATTACGATGCCCGTATTCAGTATTGCGGTATCTCTGCGATAAAAGTGCGAGCATAGTCGATTACTTTGTAATAAATATATTTACTACATTAAATTCTATAAATATATTTTTGATAAAATTACTCGAAATTAATAGATTTATAACAAAGTCACCTATAAGACATAATTAAAAGTTTATTCGTTCGTTAAAAGAACGGGTCCATCGAATTATCCGATACTTTCTCGGAAAGTTCATTCTTCGTAGCTACGCTCAGAGATAGGTTTTGTGCTCTTGAAGGATGGTTCTAATCGAACAATGTTTAACAGTTCAACTTTCATCTTACAATTAGACGTTTCATTATTCTTCTTCGATAAGAAAAAAAAAATGTATAAAAAGAAGAAAAAAAAAAAATAAGAAAATTAACGAGATCAAAGAAAATGCTGTTTTCTGTCTTAATAACAACAACAACAACAATTATAACTACAACAATAACAACAACACTAACAACAACAACAACAACAACAACAATAACAATAATAATAATAATAATAATAGTAATAATAATAAATAATAATAATAGTAATAAGAAAAATGAAAAGAATCTTCAAATATTCCATAAAAAAACAATGAATTCTCAGAGAAATCTCTGGAAAGATGAAACGTGTGAAAACTTCTTATAGAGAGAGAGAGAGAGAGAGAGAGAGAGAGAGAGAGAGAGAGAGAGAGAGAGAAAGAGAGAGAAAGAGAGAGAGAGAGAGGAAGGGAGGGAGAGAAAAAGAGACATGCAAATAATCTATGTCAAGAAATAAGAACAGCAAGGGTGTAAGAAAAAAGGAAAAAAGAAAGTGAAATGAAAATAAAAGAAAAGAAACAGGTTATCGCCGAGAGATTTTCTTTATCTCGCTTATGATCGAAAAAAGACGAGTAGTTCATCTCGAATGCGTGCCAATGCATTGCGAAAAGAGAAAATGAGAAAATGAGAGAGTGGAGGAAAGAAGGAAGGAACAAAGTGCGCGAAGTTTAGAAGGCCGATCTGCGCAAGTACAGGTGGTGCAAGTTCGAGGATATAAAGAGCCGAAGCTCGATCTGTTAGTGCGCATTTTGTGCTTCATGTGTCTGTTATTCGGATCGTATTATTGTTTCTTCGAGTCTGATCAACGCGTTATTCTTAATCATAACTTCATCCCCTTTTCTTCATATATCTTCTTATCTTTCGCATAAACGCGATCTTCTTCGTTCGAAGCTCGTTCGCGGAAGCTTACGTCAACGCGTTCTCTAACTTTCGAATTTAAAAATAAAAATAAAACAGAAACAAAATAAGGGAGGTAGAAATCAATCGCGTGTGGGACATCACCTGTACACTTCGAATTCTTTTTCTTCTTCTTCTTCTTCTTCTTTGAGGTGAGTACATGCATGGAATGTTCGAAACAAAAAAAAAAATTTTTAGCAAATGCGATTTGCTTTTAATTTAAAAAAAGTTTCTTTTTAATTTTTCTTTACTATATTTTTTCTTTTTTAATTATAAATATAGGATCGAAGAAATTGTTTCTAGGTAAGTAAAATAAACCATAAAAAGAAATGAAGAAATATAAAAACGGACGACTCATTTATTCATTTTCTTATGCAAGTCCAATTAAAACTTTCAATAATACACGGTTTGTCTTGTTCACTTTATCCAGAAGAGAAATAATAAAAAAATCATTTCTCTTCTACGTTACCACAAAAAAGAAAAGAGCTTTTTTTAACATTTTCGTTTGAGTCTATGCGGTCCCTTTGATGCACTTTCAGAGAGTGCGATGATTATTTAGAAATATCCGCTTTTTTACGTTGTTCGTGGGATTAATTACGTTTCGACTTGGAAATATCGTATCTTTCATTTTTTAACAAATTCATAAAACAGTAGAATTCGGATATGCGATCTTTTTATAAAAAGAAATTAAAAAAAAAAAAATTCACTTTTGAAGAAAATTTTTCATTCATGAAACGCGTATATGTTGACAAGATAAGTCATATATTCCATCTATAAAATAAAGAAAGAGATATAGATAAAAAGATGACCGTGTATTTTTTCTTCTTCAGTATTAAATTATTGTCAGTCTGGAGATACTGTATCCAGAGAGATGGAATGAAAGAAGAAAAAAAAGTAGCGGTTCTTCGTCATACTTCGCTTAAGTAATAATTATCAACGTATGATTGTTCCTATGATTAGATTCGATTGAATCGACCCGATAACATCGTCTGCATTAGATATGAACTCGTAATGGACTAATTAATCTCCTTTTAGTCACATTGCCGATTTATTGACGACAATATGTTCAATCGTTTCTTTCTGATTTTTTGATTTTTCTTTTTTTTCTATATCTATCTTTCGAACGATTTTCTCAATAAAAGTCCATCAAATATGAGATCTTTAAAAATCTTAAAGATATTTTTGCATCGACTTGCGCTAACGATCTCACTAACAAATTGGATAATTGGATTTTATACGATAATCATTGACACTTTCTTTTGTGTAGCTGCTCACTTCGTCGACTCTTTAAACGTCATTCGCGTGTGCGTATCGTCGTCGAACGACGCTCTTTGCTTATTAAACGGTCTTTAGTTTACCAAAAGAAGCTCGATAATCAACCTTTAAAGGGATGCGGAAAATTATGTTAACGTAAAGGGAACGACGAGTGACGTGCTCGTCGATCGAATCAATTATTAAATCGCTTTTTCTCGAGAAAATATTCGACTCGACGAAATTCGATATTATTATAATTCTTTGCGACGATGAAAAATCGAAAGAAGATTAAACTTTCTTCCTTTTACGTAGTTCATTTTTAGAACTCATCTTAAAGCTACTGATAGATGTCAAAGCTAAAAAAACAGCCCTTACGTTATAAGGTTCGGATGAATAAGTATAATAAGTATAAGAATTTTATTAGCCGTCATGACCCTCGTATCTGAAAGCTCTTTAATAAAATGAAACGGCAGGGATCATCACGTGGGTTCTCCTATCATATAAATTATCTTGACGATGATTGAAAATGAAAGAGCAAAAGACACATTTTTTTATTTTTATTTTTCTTTCATATTTTTTCTTTTTTTTTTTCTTTTTTGATATCTTCTCTATTGCCAAAAATTTGTAATGATAAAAGACTATCTTCATACTGCTATCGAATATAGTAAATTCAAGCATCCAAAAGAGAAAAAAATCGGATCTTTTTCAATCATTCCTCATCATGTTTATCCGATGTCTTGGGAATACTTACCCTCTTCGAAAGAAGATCATAATGTTACGTCAACGCTATTCCACAAATATCGGCAAATTTATCGGATAGAACCAAGCGTCGATTTCGATTTTTGATAGGACTAAGTCTGACGGGTTCGAATCGTTAGGATAATAAACGACTTACTTATAGAAGATTATAGTTGAAGAGATCATCCTTTCTCTGAATTTCAAAAATTCTCTTTCGTAATAATATATTTCATCGATGAAAAAAAAAATTGATTATATTTGTACCTTTTATAGTCATTACCTAATATTAATTTATTGGCATCGTCTTACTGACATAAGATCATTATTTATGTAATAACAGAATAAAGGTTCAACATAAAGAATGTAATTTTTCGTATTTTTTTTTCTTATGTTTATAATTTTAAGAAAATAATGAAAGAAAGTAAAGAAGTATTGTATACAAGAAAAAACAGCTTGACAAATTGAACGAAATATTGGACCGAACACTTTGCAAATTTTCTTTTCGCAATTTTTCGATTCATTAAAACAGTGAATCTTCTAAAGATGTCTAACAAGTATATAATTACTGTGGTAAACCATTATATATCCCACAAAAGTAGTATATCAACATTTTAGATAATATCTTATTCTTGCGTGGTGCTACTAAAGTGGATGCTTCACAGACGTTACGACCCGCCTTTATCAGGTATTGGACGGAATTAAATGGACTTACAGTAATAAACCATCGTTCTGGTTGGTCCTAAAATGGAGTACTTACCAATTTTATTGTCTCGTTAATTTTAAGATAGAAATGAATACTGAATTTCAAAGATGATATTTCTCTCTCTCTCTCTCTTTCTCTCTCTCTCTCTCTCTCTTGTTCTCTTTCTTTTTCTCTCTCTCTTTCTATCTCTTCTTTTATTTCACGATACATTTAATGATATGCACTTTACGATCAACGCATATCCAATTGACTCAATTATATAATGAATAAGATGAATCGATAAATAAAAAAAGAAGCACGATTAAAGCGTTAATATCCAAGCTGACCCCCTATCCTCCTGACCTTTCTTCTATAAAAAATCAAGCTGGCTAATGATAAAGGACCGTTGATGATGCACATATATATTCCATGATGTGCCCTAACGTTTACCATATGACATCATAATGACGATTAGAAGAATATAAGATTAACTCGGCAGCCATTATATTATATCATGCACAAAGTTAATCCAATCAAGCCTTACAATAAACGATCCTGAACGGCAAATTGATAGTAATCCTCTATATGCATATGTGTGTGTGTGTATGTGTATGACCGCGTACGCGCGTGTGTGTATGTGTATATGTGTATATGTGGCCTAAATATAATATTCAATTATAACAATCGAGGAATTTCGTAACGATTACGAATTAAATTTATTATTACAATACGTGTCCATTTCATGAAAAAGCAGAAAATATGATGAATTATTAAAGAAACGCATCTTTTATCTCAACATTTTTTCTCTTTTATCGTCTTAATTCTTTCCTTTTTTTTTTCTTTTTTTTCTTTTAATACATCCAAAGTCGATCGATCACTTCACGTTCCTTTATGTGAGATTTTTTCTCAAGCGCAAGCATTTTGGATAAAACCACGTTACCGTTACCTCGACTTGCTACACAATCTTCGAGCCCCTACTTGAGAGAATATACATAGTCGAAGATGGTTTATCTTTGAAGTTTCCAGCTAATTTGAAGGTCCGAACAGATCACTCGCGTAAGAGATACCCTCGGATCGATTGTAAAGGGCAGAGACCTCCAAAGTGTCACCTTCGTTCGTTTCAACGAGAATAATGTGCATATATCTCTCTACGTAGATCAATGTATAGGTTTCTATGTGTGTGTATGTGTGTGTGTGTGTGTGTGTGTGTATGAGTTCAAACCATTGATGTGAAGTCACTGTAAGGTGTGTACAGTTTCCCTTTAGCTCTTCGTAGGGCCTCTCAAGTCAAGAATTTCGTATGCCGACAAACAGTCCCTAGAGTTTTCACGATAGATAGAGAAGAGAGAAAGAGAGAAAATCGATCGATCTCTCGAAAGCTGTCGAAGGGAAAATTCGTTGTTTGCGCTCCGTCGCTCGTGTATTGTTTGGTCCTCACCATCATCGGTATCAACATTGAAACCTTCTATGTCGAAAAAATTTAAAAGCAAAATAGATTCTTAGTCTCGCATCTATGTATTTATTTACTCTCACTAACATCACTAAAAGGCACAAGAATTATTTTTACCTTCATTTTTATGGAGTTACTAGCGAAAAACAAATTAGCAAGGAAGAAAAAAATTCTAGGTATAAATCTCTTCATTAATGTAGTCGCAGTTGCAGAACGTTACTAAGCAAGAGACGATGCGTAGATAATGTACGAATTCATTTTTGTATAAAAAAAATATCCCTGGGATTTTGCAAGCACACGAGGTTTAATCAGTTCCATGTATAATGGATATATAAAATAAAACTGGTCTTCTAATGTAAAAATGAATAAAAAACTAACGTCCGTTGTAAAATGTTGATGTGGAAAGGATGACTAGATAAGAATTTCTAAATGATTTCTTTTATTCCCTCATTTTTATTTCCTCATTTTTATTTCCTCATTATTATCAAAACATTGGAATGCAAATAATTTCTATATTTGTATTGAAGTTATCACTCATTCACTCAAATATAGATTTATTTAATTAAAATTTTAATTACTTGACAATAATGATGAACAGAAAAGTGATGAACATTTATAGGATCGATGAAAACAATCTTTAAATATTCTTACTTATTATTAGATGGTTATAATTGTGTCCTACAATTATTAAAAAAAAAAAAATATTTTCTTTTTACTTTTTAATATTTTCAAATAAAAAAAAGAAAAAACAAATAAAACAGAGACAAAAACATTTCTAATATCACAGACTGGAAAATAATGAAAAAAAAATGATCGACGCATTATCAAATGTAATAAGTTTGAAAATGATCTTGGACAAGATTTGTTTGTTCGGCGATTCATCAGATCGTAATTTATTCGCATATAAGTTTCTTGCATATATCCGTCTAATTATTCTGGGCAGCAACAGTAGAAACTAGAAACATTAAAAGTAACAAGAGCAAGAGCAGCACGTGCGCCGATTCATTTATTGGCCGCTGGTCTCGGTGAGGGACTCGTAAATGAGGCATGATTCAAATGAAACTTCCTGCTTCGTTTATATCGTTCGATGTCAATTCGCCTTGTGCTCTTAGATGCTCCATTTAGAGTCAATCGTCGGTTCTTCTCCTACGTATATCCATGCTTATCTCCAATGTCTTCAATGGACTTTAATTACTTTCCGCGAACGACAACCTGTCATACGTGAGTCCAATCCGACGTCTCTACATCCAACACGGATAAAAAGCAATAACAAATAGATTGTTAAAGATTGACAAAGTTAGAAAATATGTTCTTTTCTAATCTATTATATTTAAAAATAGTAAGAGAACTTTTGATACAAGGATAGATACGATTAATCTTTCAATGCATTTCTTTTTTTATTTATTTTTTCTTTTTTTTGAAGTATTATACTAGCTATTAAGTACGTATTAAAAATGAGGATTATATTATCATAAATATTTTTTTACGAAATTTAATTACGAACTATATTGTAGAAAACGTTACATTGCGCAATGAAATAATTCTTTCCATATATATTTAAGGATTAAGAAGAATTTCGATCGTACCAATTGTTTTCTCTTATGTGTTCTCTCTGATTTTCTCCTCACCGTGTAACGTTCGATGATATAAAAATATCATTTAATAACAAAAAATAACAGATAAAAAGAAGAAAATGTAAACTAAAATGGCGGAAAGTAGATCCAACCATAGGTGAACCACTCGAAAGTTGACTCGATCGAATGAATTCTCCGATGACAAAGAGGAAATTGAATCTATTTAATCTAATTTTACTACTACTACTATTATTATTATTATTATTATTATTTATCGGATCTTTTCGTAGGATGCAGATATATTATTGTCGTTACATACATATACTTATATATATATATGTATATGTGTATGCATATGCATATTCACCTCGATCTCCAAAGTTATTTCAAAACTATCATATGTCACACATTTATTCGCATTTCATGGTAAATCGTTTCGTTTCTCGTTAAAAGCTCCGTTTAGGTGGACCTATTTCATCCGCGGATAGTTTCGATGCACGTTTGAGAGATATCAAAGATCGGATCAATGATGCTTGCGTAGAATCAAACAAAATTGAGAATTTCATATGGGAAATCGTGAGTCGATTTTAAAATACATGTCGAGTTACACACGTATGTTTTCTGATCTTCGATAACAAATTGGCTCTTCTTTTTTAAAGAAGAAAATTGTATATAACAAAATCTTATTAACCATATTATTTACATGTGTGTGTTTTTATATACGTATTTATGTAAATACTTATGTACGAAACTCGTCATCGAAGGTTACGTTCGAAAATCGATAAAAAAATATGAAAAAAAAAAAAAAAATGGAGAAGCTTTCTCATTTTTCTTCTAATTATTTTTTTTTTCTTTTTGGTTATGATACGAAGGTCATTCTGATTTCTTTTTCAACAAAAACTCTACCTTTCTCCTTTAATCTTCTTCTCCCACGCATAACGATTGCTTGGTCCGGTAAACCAATTTGTATTATCGGACTAAATGGTGTGAGTTCTAAATGAAAAATCGATAGAACATTAATCGAACATTGATTATCATTACGAAATATTACATGAAATGGATCGCCATTATTCTTACAATTACATTATTCTTACGATGTACACGAAATTACGAAAACTCTCGAACTTTTTATAATATATACTCTTTGTGTCCTTTAATAAATCAATAAATTCTTAGATACTCTCTTCTTTTATCCAATTATTTACTTTGGCTTGTAATTACAAAGAGGCAGTCGGAAGTACGAGGAAAAAGAAATCTACGATATTAAATGGAAAAATTCTAGCACATGGTACATAGTCGTATTGTCAAAAGACTCGAAACTAACATTGTTACAACAGAATCCAAATGAATCTAAGTGAACTCTCTTCCATCCGTATCTATCTCTACCTCTATTCACTATCTCTGTCTCATCTACTACGTCATCGAGAATGGCTAGGCTACTTGGCTTGCATGATTATTCGGCCGAGCGAGTATTTCCATGTCCCGATACATCACTTGACCTGATCGGCTAGCTCGAGCATAACGTGGTCGATTAATTCGCATGCGTTAAAGCTCGCGCTCCAATCTTCAATTCCTGTTTCTCGTCCTTTCTTTTTCACCTATTCTACCTTTCTCTATCGATTTGTGGAGAAATTATTACCATATACTAAATATTATTCAATCTAGCATCTAATTAGTTTCTAATAATTTAACTACTTAAACGTGATGACAAGCAATAATGACGTCTAATAACGAATAAAAGAAACTCCACTCAATAATTCTTAATAAGCTAATATTTTTCTAATCTTATTTCGTTGTCCAAACTTTGAATTGTATAAATAATTTTATAAAAGTGATTAACTAATATCTCATTTTCTAACAAGTACAAGATGGTTAAAGAGGACTGTCATGAGGGTACATTAGTTCCATTAGATGAACAAGGACGAACTATATTTATCGGACGCTAACATGTATAATAGTAACTTATCTCGTTCCTCGGATTTTCTTTCTTCATTTTTACGATACAAAAGACCGTTTTTTCTCTCTTTCTTTTTTTTTTTTTCTTTTAGATTCTCGTTTGTCGTGCTTTATATTTTAACACCGTTCTCATAAGAGACCGAAAATTATGTTCGCGACACTCCTCTCTCTCTTTTTCTCTCTTTCCTTACCTCTTCATCTCTCGGAACACCATTTCCGTTGTTCATTTTTAATGCAATCTCCTTTTTCATGGAAAATGGAAAAGCAAATGAAATATTAAAAGCGGTGAGATGCAACAAGTAGGCCGCGCATTGTTTGTGTGCCAGCAAATATGCCAATAAGAGATCGTTCTTTGATCGGTACGTGAATTTAATTTGTTATTAACGTATATTCAGACTTACTTCGTATAATTAGCGAATCATTTCGCTAGTATGTATATCTACATAGTAAATATGTACGCTTTGCCCATGGCACGGTTTCTTTACTTACATTTATACGAACACATATGCTCGTATGTATGTATGTTGGAATACGTTGAATGGAGTCGTCCATTAGGAAGCTTCACGATCTGCTGTCGAGAACAAGAACTTAGCCGCCCTAAGAGAAAAACTTGATTCAAAGCTCGAGCCGAATTTCGAATTCAAGATGGCTGCTATCATTTTACCATTTTTCGTTTGTTGGCTCGTAAAATCTGACCACTTTTTGTTAACCGTAAAATTTCATATATGGTGAAGGAAATATTTATCGATCTTATATAATCTCGTACACACGTCGTACGTCACACGCGCGTACAAGAAGATCAGCTATTGATCTTTCAACGTGGTCTTTCAACAATTCGTCAAAAAAAAAAAAAAAAAAAACAAAAAAAAACAAAAGAAAAAAAAAGAAAAAAGAAAGAAAAGAAAGAGAAATCTCGTTAAATGTAATCTACTTGTTTGAAGATTTTATAGCTTATACTTTATGAACGATGATATTTTTAATGGCTCGAGATCGACTCGTATAAATCAAGTTGTACGTTATGATCTGTGACGGTAGACTTTTCGCATTTTACGTACTTACGTATCCTCATCACGAAGGAACTTCCGAGATTTTATTTCAAGATTTTTAGTTTTCTCTAGTCACTTACATTATTCTTACATTTGCCAGTAACATATTAGAAATGGAATGCATTTTAAAAGAGAATTATTTTTTCCAACATTTCAAATCTTACGTCCCATATTGAACATTTTGATTGAAATAAATTTCAGAAGTTCATCTCTTCTATCCTTTTGTTATTACTGAATAAAATTCTAAGAATCCTCAAAGTGATATCATCTTAAAGTTCATCATTCGTCATATAGTTTAGCTCGTCGTGCCTATCAATTAATAATCGATGGAAATGAGAGTGATGACTCGAACGATGAGGGAAACCATTGAGAGTCTTGGCGTCTTAAAAATGTAAATAATTATTTATGATTTTATTAATCGGAACCGTTCGTGATTCCAAAATTTAATGACTATAAAAATGAAAATCCATTTTACCTGAACAGTTTTGAAAAAATAAGATTATTTAAATAAATTTGTACTATTACGAATTTTAACGAAAATGCTATTATTACTCGATAATTAGTATGAAGTTAATTCTGCTGTAAAAACATAAGTATACATTTGTGATAAAAGAATAAAAAGACGTCCACGTTTATTTGATGTGACGCATTTCAAATATCTCAAGATGATTTTGCTTTCTTTAAATACCTACAATCGGACTAATACCATTAAAAATAGTGCTACCTGTGTCAAGATTTTACGTCATTGACGAGATACGAATCTTTTATCAAACCGGACGAAACATTCTTCCATGCATTATTATATAAATCATTGTCTTCATTATCAAGACTCTAGTTTTACTTTCACTCGAAGATTGAATATAAAGCGTGTAAGAAGTTTCATTATTACAATTAGTATAGTTAGTTAAATTATTTAGAATAAAAATCGTTTGTTTTTTGTGATCATCAAAATCATTAGTTTATAAGAAGATTAATTTCTATAGAAAAATATTGAAAAATTTCCACGAAGAAAGAAAGGAAAAAAAAAAGAATTAAAGAAAAAAACCGACATAATCTTCATTTTAACGATCGTATAATTTTTTTTCGTCTCAGATTAAAAAGCCGACCAGAGTATCGCAAGATGCCTCTATCAGAGTTTCGCAAGAAGAAGCTGCTCTACGTTTTCAACGCCTTCTTCGGTGAGTAAACGCTGACAGTTGGCGATGGCACAGTTGAACATAGTACCCTTGAGAATTCTCTCGACTCATCGAAAGGCACATTTTACTCATAGTCTTTCTCCCTCTCTCTCTCTCTCTCTCTCTCTCTCTCTCTCTCTCTCTCTCTTTCTCATTCCCTTCCAGAGTACGGCCGAAATAACAAACGGCCCGATAGACTATCTCTCTTTCTCTCATCCTCTCTAGTGAGTACTTTGATGTTACGCGAGATATATCGTCATTTCTTCCATCACGAACATCCCTTCGCTCTCTAAACGATTCTATTTCATTCGTCCTCTCTCCTTGGATGATCTTTAACGAGAAAAACCATTTTTCGACGTGTACATCGAAAGAAAACGATAAAGGAATGAGAAAGGAAAAGGGAAGATGACCTACATAAAAGAGGACGAAGAAGAAGATGAAGAAGTAAAGATGGTCTGTCCGAGGGTATGGGAAACTGTTTTACAGCTCTACACGAACCTCTCGAGGCTCTTTTCGGCTCTCTGAAAGTGGAATCAAGGCTATAGAGAGGGGTGTTTTGTACGGCACCTACTAGGTGTTCGTTGAGATAGAGCGGCCGCCTATTTATGGTATCAACCAGGAGAAGATAAACAATGGACGCGTTGGGTCTGGATAAGAGGGTCGCCTCGCCATGATAGAATTATTTCTGCGAATGTGTATATCTAACCCATACATGTTCATATTCGAGAGACACATATAAAGTATATCTTTGTGATCCTTCCTTCTTTGCTTCTGTGTGTATGTATTCTCTATATATGTGTATTTGTAGCTTCTACGTGTCTTTATTAATGCATACGTATACACGTAAGAATATCTATATGTTTATGTGTCTGTATATGTAAGGGCACGAAAGGGAGAAGCACGATATTACAGCGATACTAATACACATATACATAGATACTGTACACACATACATTTTCTCGTATATGAATCATGGAGGTCACAGGCGTGTACACGCTTGATAGATCTCGTTAGTCCCTCACTTTCTTCGCTTCTTTGACCGCAGCGATTGGCCGCTAAACATATCCTACGATCGTTCTCCGTTGTCGATACACATTATTCTAGCATGGCCGATGGTGCAATAAGGGACTCGTCCTGGACACAACCTATCGTTCTTTCGTTCTTTTTTTCCTTTTCTCGCTTTCTGGTTTTTCCTTGAACCGTCGTAATCAAAGAGTCTGTGGAGAGCTTGCGAAGGGACCACGAGCTCGATGATGCGTCGAAAATCAGTATAATCAGTTGTTTTCCTCTCTCTCTCTCTCTTTCTCTCTCTCTCTCTCTCTCTCTCTTTCTTTCTCTCTCTCTCTCTCCCTCCATATATATATATATATATATTAATATATTATATATATATATATATATATATATATATATATATTAATTATAATCTATCTATCTATCTATCTACCTTTATTAAAACTTGATTCATAATTTGGCACGTAGTCTCAAGGTTGTTTAAAATTGGATATCAATTCTGGAGAATCACTTGACCATAATCTAAATGGAGTACCTATAAAAAGTATCGATAAAGATTGTTTATACATATATATATATACATAAAAATTTACTTATTAATTAAAAGTATAGATAAAAGTAAACTGTGATAGCAATATTTTTCATAGTTACTATATCTTATTTAACTCTTGTTGTTTTAGAATATTCCGTCATAGTCATGAATACATATCGTACATTCGATATTCTTTCGAACTACAGCAATTATGGTCAAAGCCAACTGTAATGGAATATTATTGTTTTTTCATATTATCGCTCACAAACCCTGATAATTGATCATTGAGCGAACGACTTTAAGAGCCTAAAATAAAAATTACAAAAAAGTAATAACGCGCTCGGTAAAATTCATTCACTTATATATCTATAATCCGATGGTTCTTTCATCGAAAAACTCAACATCCTATATTTTCTATGACCGAGAAAGTAAATTAGTTTTCTAACGTTACAAAAAACGTTACAAATATATCAACCATATAGATTTTGGAATCATTATTTGGAGTTTTTTTTTTTAGTATTTGCACGATTTCCTTTAGCGTTTTACTAATATACAATCGATATTGTTTTTCAGATGTTAATCAGAGCGGTGCTATCGATAAGAAAGATTTTGATCTAGCTGTCCAGGTATGATTATTCATTAATATTAAAACAGTACAACTTATTAATGTTTAAAAAAAGTTTAATTATGTAAAGAAATAGTTTTACTTCATCTTACGACGATTCAACTCCTTGTTGTATCAATTCCTTGGATGATGTTATATGATGTTTATATTTTTCAGCGGATCTGCAACTCCAGACATTGGAGTACCGATAATCCGAAAACACAGCAGACGAAGGATACGTTGTTAAAAATATGGGAAGAGCTACAACAACGAGCTGATTCTGATCAGGATGGACAAGTAATTCAAAATATACATATACATATATACATATACAAATAGATGAATGAAAGAAAAAGGAGAAAAACAAAAAAAACAATCTTACGTTATTTTTATAGATCAGTCGAGATGAATGGTATTCCATGTGGGAAGATTACGCTAAGGATCCAGCGCACGCGCATGATTGGCAACAAACGTACATGAAATTCATGTTTGACCTCGAAGATTCCTCCGGTAGGCTAATTAAGGTTACTCTCTTAACGAGAGTAATAATAATAAAATAAAAAAAGAATGAGTGACAGAAGGGAAAGAGAAAAGATATCCCCAGACTTAATCTCACTCCATAGGTTCTCGGAAAAAATATTTTCGCAAAGCCTTTACATAGAGTATTCTATTTAAAGATTTTCGAAGTACATTTTATCCCCCTATAATGAACTTTTAACAGGTGACGGATCAATCGATGAGAACGAGTTTAGTAACGTTTGTCATAGTCATGGCGTACAGGAGGCTGAAGCTCGTGATGCTTTTAAAAAAATGGGGGTGGTAAGTGAAAAATTTATGAATAAAAGATCCCTAAAGAAAACTGGATTATTAATTACATTTTATTATCGTTCATTTTCTTATTTATAGGGTAACGAAGTAACACGAGATAAGTTCTTCGAGCTTTGGAAACAATATTTCACCTCTGATGATCCCAACGCACCTGGAAACTTTATATTTGGAAAGACCTCATTCTAACCGTCCTTTCGCTTCGGATTCGTACACGACATTTATTATTATATTTTCGTTATAAGCATGCCGAAATACGTACGCTATCGTTATTAATTGAATAATTATTTTCAATCTACGATGTGAGTTACGCGATCTCTAATCAAGTTTAGTTTTCTTTTTCTCTCTCTCTCTCTATCTTTCTCTCTCTCTCTCTCTCTCTCTCTCTCTCTCTCTCTCTCTATCTCTTTCTCTTTCTCTAGATAATATAGAGCTGAGAGATCTTCACATGAGAAAGAAGATGAAATATGAAAAAAGATAAAAGATATCATAATAACTGTTAATATCTTGTTGTTAATCGGTAATAATCGTTGGTAATGCTATTAATCGCTGTAACACCGAAGCTAAGTATTGCGTAATGTTCTATAACGTGTTGTTGTAAATTTAGTTAACGATTTCGTTCTATATGAATCGTTCTATGTAATGCTGTAAAGAAAAGTATTGAGAGTTTTAATAGTTTCTATATGTTTGAATAAACTGATATAATTCGACCATTATTGTTATATTATATTTTATTTTTACTTAATGAATAATTTAATCTATAAGTACAAACTAATTTTTTTTTATAGTTGGTAGACCTTCCTTCCTAATCAACGATCCTTGTACTTTTATTTGTGTATCTTACATTTTACAATATGGCGTTAGTGTTGATTGTCGTAATGTTTAAAATCTCAAATGACTATTACGACGTACAAATTTCAACGAATAGATCTTTTTCCTTGGCTACGTTTTAAGTTTTCTTTCCTAATTATTAATTAAATTAATTAGTAACGTGAAAAGGTTATATATAAACTTTAAAATGATATTGCTATAATCGTTTATTTAGAAAACACGTTCCATCAAATAAGTACACCTACGTGTATTAATTGTTAATTATTCGTATAGCTATCGATATGATTGAAGTACTATCATCCGTAACATGAGCGATAATACAATCACACCTGTGAAGTTTAACCACTTTAAATCATATTATGCAGAATAGATTAACGGTCACCTGTTTGAATAGATCGAACTAATCTATGAAAACGTTCGAAAAGAAGATAATGCAGGAAGACTCGGTATGTATATTCAATTATTTAATTCTTTTTGATTTTCAAAGATTTCTTAACATTTGATCTTATAATTTCTATGACTAATAGAATTACATAATTCATTCTAACCTCAATGTGTAAAAATCCATCTCATATAAGCGTCATTTAAGCAGATAACGTACGTACTAATGTTCACTCGTATTGACCATATCTTATCATATTTTTAGTCTCTTATTTTTTACTTTATATAGTGAAATTCTTATAAAATCTTTTCTAACGTAAAGAAATATTATGATCATTACAATTTCTTTATACAACGTTACTTTCTTTTATGAAGTCTTACGTATTCTATTCTGTGATCAGTATTATCTACAAATGTATGTTATAGTTACAGCTGAAATAGGGGTGAACAGTATTAATAGGTACGTTGATTACATTAGCTTTAATTATTTTAAATCATTAAACATTTGTAGTATATTCATACATTATTTATATTTATTAATATATTTCATATATTCCTATATGATATGAAAGATCCATGTGTATAATATAAGATTTTTTATTTAATATTTATATTTTAGGTTGGATTTATGCAATGAATTAAAATTACAAACGAAAAGGATCAGTGACCCAATTGGAAAAGGTTGAAAGAATCAAAGGATTAACCATGACATCTCTTGGAAAACTAATATTCATAGATATTCACTGTAGGAATTCAAGAACTTCATCTTCTACTGATTTGCAAAAGGATTATGTTGAATCTTTATCTTTTGCATTTCAAAATTTATTTTATATGCCATTTGATATTATCGAAAACTATGGCAATATGATATATACTTTAGATATAAGTCATAATAAATTTTGTAGGTGAGTACACAAGTTTAATTGTATTATAATTTTTATTTTATATGTGAAATTGTTATATTTTTTAGAAGTTTACACTTTCTATCAGAATTTGAAAATTTAACATCTCTCAATCTGGATTATAATAATATAGATGAATTTACTGTTTTCCCATATATGCCAAAACTTCAACTATTATGGTTAAATCATAACAAGATCGATCACTTATATCCATTTATTAAGAATCTCTATGACAGTATGCCTAATCTGAAATATTTGAGTCTTATGGGAAATACTGCTGCGCCTAGTTATCTTAATGGTGGAACGTTTTATGACTATTTACAGTATAGGTAAAATATATATCAAACAAAATTCTATTTTTCAAAATTATGATCTATTAATTTTATATTTATATATACTTTATTTTTTTTCTATAAAGGTTGTTTATTATATCCTGGTTTCCACATCTTGTACACTTGGATGACCGGACAATAACTCCAGAACAATGTCAAGAAGCTAAAAGACTGTATAAGAGGCCATTCTTAGAAAGTTTATCTGAAAATGCTCCATTACCAGAATGCCTCAAGTTTTTGCATAAAAAATTAGCAAATATGTTTTCAAAACCAATTTTGCCTAATAAATTACAAAGCACGAGAGGAACAAATGTTATTATATAAAAGATTTATAAATGAAATGGAAGTATAAGAGCAGTCAGAGAATATATTTTTTTTAAGACAGAATAAGTATGTAGAACTATTTTAGAGAATTTTTAAACAATATATAACTGCCTTAAAATCGATATCATCTAGTAATTATTGTTATATTTCTTAATGAATTTACTGGAGGATTTAGGAGATTTTACAGTACATTATGCATAATACCATTTTTAATACATTACGGAATTAGAATTTATATGGTACAGATATAATTTATATATTAACAAAACCTAATGTACTAACAGTAATATTCTATATTATGGAAATATTTTGTTATTTGTTATATAATATATTTCATAATGTTTTTATTCCTTTTACATCTAATATTTTTTCATTTATATAAAAATTTAGTCTTAAAAATAGTTATTTGAGATAATCACTTACTATTATTATTTTATATGTATGAATAAAACTCATATGAGATTACACTATTGAGATTATTTACATATTAGATATTTCCATTTATGTGATGATATTTGCAATAAACCTAAATTTTTATAGGAACAATAAGATGTAAAAGCTATACCAAAACATAAAATAAAACAGTAAAAATAAATAAATTTGCTTATGTGTTTTTTTGTATATATTAATCCATTTATACATTAATATTATTTTCATAAGGTTTATAAGGAACAAAATGTATGCTTTTCATAGTTCTAAAATATTTATCACATATTTATATTTATACATATTTTTACAGAATTATAAAAAAATTTTTTATATGTGTATTTATATATAAATAAATATAAATACGTTCTATTTTATTTATTTATACTGTAGAAATAAAATGAATATCGAACATTATATACTTTAACAATTCCTTGACATATTTTTCTTGTTAAAGAAAACGTTCATTTTTATTTATTTTTAATGTTGTAAAACTTAAAATGGTTATATATATATGTGTAAATTAACATATTTGAAAGAAAGAAACAAGATTAAAAGTTAATACATTTTTTTGTTGACTTTTTTATGAAGAAATATTTAAATTTATTAATATTGCTGCAGAGACGGAACTTCAAATGCTAATGTTATCTATAAAAAAAGGAAACAAAAGGAAATTGACAAATTATATATAAATATTTGATGACACTAGCAGTTAATTAAAAATCGATTTAAGAAACCTGCTACATATTAATTGAATAAAAACATAGTACCAAATCTAAAACTTGTTTTATGATGTTAAATAGCCTAGTACTGGGCATTGTATCAATTGCGTGTTTCATAATTGATATTAAACCGCCATTTTTTGATATCCCTTCGCACACAATATCGTTGACCGTTATCGTACATGGTAAGGAATTGCGCAGAATTTTGTCCAGGAAATTATTTGTCAAGTTCTCAAATCTAACAATGTAATTGATGAATAGTGCAGGTATACTAGCCAATAGAGAGCCTATTAGTGGAATATTATATAATAGTGATACTATTCTTAATATATCCTGAACCATGAGATTATCTTGACGAATAGCGACGTTCTCATTCGAGTTTATTCCATCTGAAATACGAAAAAAAAATATCTAATTAATATTTAAATACTTAATCCTTACATTTTAAATATTTTATATAAAATGTATGTGTGCTTAAAATATATGTATGATTTGCATGTGTGTCTATATATATATATATATAGAATATATATATATATATATATATATATATATATATATATATATATATATATATTCTATTTTTCTTCATAAGATTCTTATATCCTGTATTACATTATGTTAAATTTACAGTTTACTATATTATGTATATAATATATATATTATCTATATAATATATACACTATAGTATGTTATATTATATTATATATTAAATATTTGTATTATATTATTATGTATCAAATTTTTTTACAAAATTTATTGTACGTTATTTAATAAAAATTATAGTAATACTTACTGATACTGGCACCGGCACATGTATTAGTGCAAAGTATGAAGGATAAAATAATTGCAAAAAGTTTATATTTCTGTTCTTTCATGTTGCTGTTTCGTTTCACAAAAATCGCGCTTCGAATTCAGTAAATTACGTGTATTCCTTTTTAATGCGGTCAATGAGAGCCGTTTCGTGCTTAGATCGCTTTAAGAACTTTTTAAAGTATCCAGTGAAATACCTATTATTGTAAAAAATATGCGTTGTCATTCTGAAACGATAATCGTTTACCTTATCATTTACCTTGTTATTTTCAAACTTGATAATTAGAATAACATGCTTATCCAGTGTTTTCATGGAATATTATAAATATTATTTCCAATGTAGGATCATTTTCATAGAATGTGTTTTAGGTGTCTTGTCTTATATGTATTATTGTAAACGTAATAAAAAGAAATTTCTTTTTACACGACCGATATAAGGAAAGGATAACAATGTTGAATATTTTAATAGGCATATGTTTTCATATGCATAATTTTTATTATATGTATTTTAATATAATAATATTTTTTTTTATTTATTACTTTTATTTATTATTTTATTTTTTTATTTATTATTTTATTTATTATTGTTTTAATATAATAATAATATTTATTACTATTTTATATATACATACATATATACATATATATTAATGGTATATAATAATATAAACATATTTATAATTAACATTAATAGACATAAAAAAAGCAACAACTGAATTTTATACCAATGTTGTTTGTTTACTTTCGTTTTGTCCATTTCCTTTATGAATATATCAAATTTGCCACATTTATTATAACCTTCTCTATTAGAGTTATATATTGTATATCTAATTATTTAATTTAAAAATATAAATTTTTATTTTTGTTAAAGTTTGATGCTACCTGATTCTTAGTGCAACAAAGTTTACTGTAATAATATAGTAACTATTTCCCTTTTATATTTCTTTTTGCATATTCATGGCTATTATGTAAATTTCTCAAGAATTATTATTGTTAGAGACGTAGATAATTTTTATCTAGAATAATTAAGATATCGCATATATTTTTTTATATATTGTCTTTTTTCGAACATGCAGGTGCCAGTAAATTCATTTTAGGAGTTTTATACAATATATGTATATATTTTTATGTAAGTTTTTTTATATACAAATTTACTTAACAATACCTATAATAGAACTTTAACAATTAATAAAAAGAAAAATTTGACCATTTGGTGAGGATGTTTTTACTTAAAATATACTACTATGTCATTCTTTAATTTTCTATAATAATCGAAAATAGATTCATAAATATTCTTCTTTTTAGGTCCATGATCTTTCCATAATGATAAATCTATGTCCGGAAGATCTGTGCATTTAACAATTGGATTTCTAAAACACGAGTAGAATTAGAAAGGACTATTCGTATTCGTTCTAACAATTAATATTCATTATTCGTTATTCGTTAAACCAATAAATTTATAACTTACGAGTCGGAGACAAGTTCGAATCCTTTGGGTTGCATTAATTGAATATTATCACCATTGTTACAAAGTAGTTTCGATATACTAGCCTTTCGTATTTCTTCTAATTGTTCTAAAAGCATTATGGTTTATATTTAATTTTTAGTTTAACACAATGTGATTATATAAACATTATATTGGGAAATGAATATAATTTCTTGAAAGTGGTATGAACTTATTTCTTATTTCATTTAACACTGACCTTTGGTAAATGCCACATCAGGATCGCCAGTTTCGTACCAGTATCTGTCGCCGACTCGCGTTCGATAGAATTGTTCGATAAGAATACGAAGGAAAGTAGGACCAGAAAGAGTTCCTGGTACGTGTGTTTCCAAAGATCCCCCAACAGTCAAATCTACATCATCAGGATGAGCATAAAGACTCGCCAATTTTTGAATATTCTACAAAAAAGCCAATATTTCAATAATAAAGAATCTAAAGTCCTTTTGAATAGTTCGAAATAAGTCAAATTGATTCTTTCATACATCATGAGATATATTGTCACTAAAATCGTTCCAATCTTTGGCTCTTCCTAGATTAAAATATTCTCGAAAATCGTTATATGATGCGAGTCCATGATCACGATTTCTATGTATATCTATGGCACGTAAGTCTTCGCCTAATGGTTTATTACCTTTGAACAGGTATAATGTTATCTAAAATAAAACGCGAAAAATTATATAAAAGTTAACTATATTTTGTCAAATATAATAATATAATTAAAAAAAAAAAAGAAAAAAAATTTCATAGATTCGTACTTCTTTGTCAAAAAATTGATCACTGGCCAATTGTGCTTGATAAGATAATCCTCTGGTAAGTTCATCCATGTTATCATTTTTTTCAATAATGCTGGGTTTATTCAAATAATCACTGAGTCTTAATGGGAATGGAACTGATTGTCTTTCCTCATTTATCAATCTAATATACGAAAGATATTAAAATATTTAGATTAAGACAGTGAGCCTCTCAGTTTGAAAGAAAAAAATAATATTTATATTAATGAATTTATTAAACTATTTATTTACTAACTGGAGATAGCCTGCAATAAGAGAATGGAAATATCTGAATGCAGCAGTGGAATGCTCATTAAGAACACTTGGATCAACACGAAAATCGTAATCGTTTACATGACCCTTGGTCTTGTAAAGAATATTGTTATCGTACGTCTGCTTGATACCTGTTAAGGTAGATAATAATGAGATAAGTTATATTGTAGAAAAATGTATAAAACATAGTGAATTTTTTAATTAAGAAAAAAGACAATTTTCCAATAATACCAAGAAATAATGGTAGCCATTCGTAATATGATATATGTTGATGTTCCGCAATAACAATGCGCCTAGTTTCCTGATAAATTGTTTCGTCTGACCAATGTGGATTCAAATTTGCCAGTATACTAGCTATACGATTGTGTTCTCTGAGTAACAAAATCTGCAATACTGTTAGTTGGGTATTTTGATTTATACGAGAATCACCTGTAAAAAGAATTTAAGCCTGTTAAAGAACAAACGTGACAAACATAAAATAATAAAAATATCCTGCCTGATATTTAATTATTAATTTTTCTATAATAAACCATAAAAATGACACATTACGCCTAAAAATAGGCATTATGCTATACAACATTACATTATAGTGTCGATAAAATAAATTTTATTTATCTTCCACGGTATACGAGACAAGTTATAACTCTTCTGTACTATTACGTTGCTTACTACCAAACATTTAATAAAATTTCGTATTGATAGATGTCGCTCGCAAGCAATATTATCATTGTATACTTATGCCTTTTACTCAGGCACAACATTTAATATTTCAATAAATAATCCAAATTTAAACGAATCTTTTAATATTTCAATTAATTTCATTTTGATATCTTTTAATAAACTTAATTTCTTATTGAATATAACGAATTAGAACAATAACAGTGTTTTATTCTAATATTACATTGTGATCGATTGGATCGTTCCAATGAAAATATTTGTGAATTACTTTGTTGGAAAAAAAAGAAAAATGTAAAGAAGACATTACCAGATAGATAACAAACTTCATCCGGACTAGAGAGATTACAAGTATTTGACTTGTTTGTCGCAGCTGGTGGCCATTCCCTATTACTACGAATATCTACGCGCATCCGTCCAGCAATATTGGCACGTAAACTATTCGCAACTTGATCGTTTGATCCATAAACGATCGAAAGATCCAGATAATGTGTAACGGTTGTTAACTAGAAATTGTAAAATGTATTTATGGTAAATCGATTTATAACAATAAGCTCTGAAGAACAGATTAAAACTAATTGTAAGTGTATAATAATAAATTTTAATCGTATCTTTTTAAAATATTAAAAAAATTATTTTGTAACTGGATATGGACTTAAAAGTTAACAAAAATAAAATAATATTTTTAACTTTTTCTCTTTGTAAGTTGAGATATTCTCATTACGATTAAGTAAGGCTATTATTTAGAAAATTAACTCTATGCATCTTATTTTATTGTACTCCATTCATATAGATCGTTATATATTGTGAATATGAAATAGAAATAAAAAAAAATTAATTTCAGATCCTTAATCCTTAGGATTAGGACTTCCAAATGATAAATTATTGTCACATTTTGCTTATGTTACAAAACTCACTGTCACATTTTGTTAGAATCAAAATAATTCCAATCAATGGGATATACAAGCTGATAATTAATCCAAAAGAGTTAATATAAAATTAACTCTGAAAATTTCTAATTTTCCTTTTTCTTTCTTTTCAATATTATCTTATAAATATTATGTTTTCAAAACTTGATACAAAATAAGATAATATATTGGTTCGATTTTAATGTATCGAGAAATCGGAAATAAAAGAAAGTATTCTATTCTCTTTTCAATTTTCACTTTCAATGAATTGCTAATGTTAGAAAAACGATCAACATCGAATGAAAATTCTCGGATATTAATATCGCCGTGTATTAATTTTCTCTCATTGAATAATAAAATAATAATTCAATAGATCGATAAAAAATTACAAATGAATATTACATAAGAAAGAAACGAACCTGTTCCGCAGCAGGACTGTATCTTAGCTTGCAACCACGGTCAAGATCAGTAATGCTACGAACGAAGTTTACACATTGTATGTTGGATCTGCTGTAATCTGGATCATTGTTAGGTATAACGATGGGGTAGCACTTGGAATCACTTACTAGTGGATGCAATAAATGACCATCTGGCGTGCAGCATTGAATACTATGAGGATCTATTATCGTAAAAAAATATAAAATATAATCAATAGAAAGTCTAATAGATTATATTTAAAGTATCGTTGTACGACGTTAAACGTTTTTCACTCAATGAATACGTTCTTTAAAGCTGTTCCACAGTGACATGAAATCACATGATCAAAGAGAAAAAAACTCGTTCTTTTGATTGCAACGTTGTTCCATATCAGGATACAAGAAAGTCAATAAAGTTTTCGACATACCATCGCCTTGTTTCGGGAATGTAAGATATTTATGACTTGTAATTGTTTAGATAAATCGTTTACATGACGTAACTTTCATAGGAAAGCATAGATATTTTGTTGAGACATATAATCTATCCTTTTTTTCTTTAGATTTAGAAATACATTCGGATCGTTTTGGAAAGGTAATTAAGATAATTACATATCGTCTGTCTAAATTTAACTATTTTTATATCTTTCGTAAGAGGACACGAAATTAATTCTTAGAAACAGATGTCAATTGTTGTACATAATTTCGTATTATAATTTTATTTTCAACTAGCGATATTGATCTCATGACGTATCTATGATTATTTAATTCGATTTAGTTAGATTAGTAGATTTTTGTCGTTGAAAGGATAAAAAAAAACACAAGGAAAGAATAAACAATAAAAAGAAATGCATAAAAAAAGAAAAAACAAAATTTATCTTTGACCGATAATTTGTTTTTAATAATTGTAAATGAGATGAAATTTCATTGTGCTTATGTCACATTTATAACACGAACGAATTTATTACATAATTGTGATAAGATATAACATCCTTTAATGGTAATTATTCAAATATTTATGGAAAATAAATGTTGCTTTCTTATTTTTTAAAAATTACTTATAACTTTGATAAGGTCAATTTTTCGATCGATATTGATTTTCTCACTTCTGTAGTATATGACCTCTGTCCTTAAGTTTTCTTTCTTTTTAATATTCTATATTTATCAAAGAAATATTTAATTATTGAAAAAATTTGTAATTATATAAGGCACATTTTCGAAATCTAAGATAGAACAATACTCACTTGATTGTGTAGATCCAGCGATCAAGGCCATATCGTGAGTTATAATCTGACCCCACTGCATAGCAGCCAATGTTAATTTATTATCCTTGATAGCGACACTAGGAAAGAGTGTAAAACTGACCAACCGTGATAGAGGTAATTCGTTTCCTGTAACTGACCTTGTTGGTGCTTGGATTCCTATATAATGAAATATTATTTTAATGTCTCACTTCGTTGAAATTAATTAAGTATTACGTATATTTTAGTTACATGCATAACGTACGTTAGTGATAAAATTATATAATAATTTCTCTACTCCGTCGAGTTATAAGCGTGCTATCAATTATAATATTTATGTAATTACATTAATGAATATTGAATTATGATATGAGTCATTATCGATCTATGAAAAGAATTTTACTTGTAGATTCAAAGTAAGATTATTGAATGTCAGTCTTTTTGTTAATAAGTTAACATTTTTTTCTTTTCATGATCAGACTATTTATTTAAAATATTTATATAAAATATTGGATTTTATATAAAATATTGGAATCATTAAAGTAAAGGTGTTAAAATGAAAACGTTCGTTACTTTTAGAATAATGACGAATTTTTAACGTATTATTACTTTATATATAAAGTAGCATCGAATCTAATTAATCCTGATAGATGTAAAATTATGGTAGAAAAGTGATAATCAATTATTAATAAAAATTAAAATTATGTTTTCTATTAGATATCAAGATATGAATATTTTTGATAAAGGTGCAATTATCCTTTCACTTTTTTTATTAGAAAGAAAAATAATAATTAGAAGGAAAAATAATAATTTTATTCAATTTGTAAAATAAATTTCCTCTTTTTTTTTGTAATTTATTCTATATGATAATAAAACTATATGATAATAAAAAGGAATATACCAGATATAATATATACAATAACTACATATATACATATCAGATATAATATATATAGTAGCTAGCATTAGATTAGATCGATTTAGACAGATGAGAAAGTGTTAAATCACGAAAGCTACACCTAAGACCGTAACGCACTGGAGGATAGTGCAGCAAAGCAAAACACAGTAAAAACGATCTTCAACGCTTATTAAAATGTGATTTCGTCCGGAAAATTTTTCGATAACTAATATATTAATTATTGTGAAGAAAAAGAAAAAAAAAATATTGAGTTTAACCGATTTATAAAACAAGGAAAAAAAAATATTATATAAGAATTACTAATTTAAAATATTATATACATATATAATTTATTATAGATAAGATTAGATCAGATTTATTTAAGCAGATGATAAAGTATTAAGTAAGAAATCCAAGAACAAACAAAATTTTTTCCAATTTTGTTGTTGTTGACGAATCAATATGTTTATAACAAAAATTTCTTTTTATCACTAAAGTATATGTTTTTAAAGTACTAAAAAAAATATCATAATACAAATATCATGAAAAATATTAACGTAACTTTTAACTCAATCATAAAAATTCATTGAGATATATGTATTTACTTAATTAAACTTTAAAATACTTTTAAAAAATGCATTTAAAGTTTAACAATGACTGTAATTTCATAACAATTGCCATAACTTCGTTAATAGTTTTAATTTTGATATAATAATTTGGGCACATATTTCTGAGATTGCAAGCATTAAGACAATTAAAAAAATTTTAATTTTTTGGAATTGTTATAATGAAATCATCTTCAAACCTCTATAATGTATGTTTTTGAGGAATTACATCATAATAATGTTTAATATAATTGAACATATAAATAACAATTTAGCGTCATTAATAAAACATCACAATAATGTAATTTTTTCCATATTTTCGATTTAATGTTTATAGAATACCTAGTATAATATCCTTTTTTTCATAAAAATGTTAAAGGAAAAAAAAATAAATAGTCACACATTTGTAATAGGATGGATTTTGTCACTATCTTGTCGGAAACAATTAACATTCTTGGTAAAGAATTTCAAATGAATAACTTTTTCCACAACTGTACATTCTCACGTAAGAAACAAAAAGAAGAAAAATTTTCTTTTATTGACACTTCGCTGCACTGCAATACGCTCTAATTCACAACAATCCTCCGAGTATTTACTAACGTTGGTACATTGATCTTGACATATGTATGTGTCATTATTTACGAACTCTTGATACATGCACTTGTAGTTTTCAACAAATAATCAACGCAAAAAGATGATAACAATTTAATTGTAGTTACATCTTTTTTGTTATATTATCACGTTCGTTGTATATCAAATTATGAAGGAGAAGAAACAAAAAAAAAAAAAAGAAAAATAAACGAAGAACAAATTTTGTACCTACTATACAAATTGACGATTGTATCACAGCCGCTAAATAGTTATTTTGCCGCAAGTTCAAAATTCACCGTTGTTCAAATAAAATACTTTTTTTTGTACTTTAAGATGGCATATTTATAATTTTTTAAATAAAGCGTTTCAATGAGTTATGGAGCTTTTATAGGGTACGGGTAAGAAAGAAGCGATAATAATATTTTCTAAGAATATTATCTGTGATATGCCTCAACGGCAAATGCACGTTATACACCAGTTCACTGGTTCATGGTTACTAAATTCTATGATGCTGGCAACAAAGTTTAGAATTACTCTTAACCCAACGGTGCCTGCGAAAATCAATTCTTATAATCCTCTTTTTTCCTCTGTCTCATTCTGTATACCCAACAATTAAATTTTAACGAACTTTCCATAGAAATTAAAATTGAATACGAATTTGATTACATTTTTATTCCTCGTGTTTTCTAATTTACTAGATCTCAAGTGAATAGTCCTATAATAAATTTTTTTTTTATAATTAATAAATTCATATCGTACACGTTTATACATACGTAAATATATACGAAGTTTATGATAGAAAGTGAAAGTCTCGTATTTGTTCTGTTAAATAGCTATACCTTCGAAATGGTACCTGCTTTGTCGTTGATCGTATTAACAATGATCACGAAATTCGTGAGACATGTGACGTAAACCAATTTCTCGACCTAAGAAATTAAATTCACGCCTCGTTGCACGATTTTCACTACTGCAACATGGAACTTAAGGTTTACGTACACCTTTACGCAGCTAACAGAATACACACGGAAGTCTTGTCACGTTCGATTTTCGCATGAGAAAAAGGTACGATTATTGTTACTATGACGTAAATTGCGCAATCATGTATAGAGAATTTTTTTCAAATTATGTTACACCATCATGATGTATGGTAGTTTATTGTATAATTCATTTTCAAGGATAAAAAAAAAGAAGTATTAGTTTCTGAGAAAGTTGAAGTTATTAAATTTACGATCGATTGTAAGTTGAAAGAGAAAAAAAGAAATGGAAGAAGAAGGAAAAATGAAGGAGTATAAGAAAAAAAAAAGAAGCAAAAACGAAAGAAGTATCGTTATTCCAGGTCAACATTTAAAGACATTCGCGTAGTAAAGCTGGTAGTGCATGGTGACGTTTACGATATTTTACATATATGTCCCGAGAGATCTTTAATGAAGTATACATCGAATCAATACCGATCTCATTTTTATATCGACTAGATTCCATTATGTTATTAAATATAAAATTGAAAAAATTTCTTTATCACAAAATGGCTAAACAGTAAGTGGGTAAAATGGAATAACAATTAATTGGATACTTTTTACGTAATTTATAATGACCTTAATATACAAACGTAGTTACTATACTCGATTAAATTATATTTTATCTAATATAAATGCAAGTAAACATATTTCAATGAATGTGATTATTATAATGTAATTTAATATATTCCTTACCGTCTGCATAATTGGGTAAAAGAAGACGTCCGTATCGTGTATTGGCTGCACCCCACGTAGGATTGAATAGATTGTTGCAAGTGCCATCAAAACTACGATATCTATTTCTCTGACATTGTCCATTGAACGTATCACCACAAGTCATTCGTCTATAAACGTTAATAAAATTTCATCTTTATTAATAGTTAGCTGTAAAAATTAGATTTATATATAAAATAAACGAAAAATTACAAGAATAAAGGAACTCTTTAAGCATACATATCATAGATATATATAAATTCGATGGTTAATTTAAAAGCGATACTCCTAATGTATCAAAATTTTTAAGTTATCAGGTTACTAAATAATACATTAGAATGTCGTGATTGTTTAAAATGTTACATAAATCAATTTATGTTTAACAAGTAATGATGTACAAATAAAGAACGCTCGTTTGCTGATTTTTTACATCACAAGTTTTCTTATACAGAAGCTCATTTAACGTAATTACCTTGAATGATGGATAAAGAACAGGTTGAGGAGAGTGGAACGGACAAGTTGGCAATACATATATGTCTTTCTCTTTCATTCAAAATCTACTTTAAGAAATTTCATTTCATATTACATCGTTGTAGACCTTGTAAACACGAGTGAAAACATTTCTCTTTTCATTTCATTGAGATACTCTTTTTCTTAGATTTCACATCGTTTTATAAATACATCATATGACTTCTGACTAGTTCATAAATTTCTATATTAATAACAATTTATAAAAATCGAAGAAATTCTTACTTACCGTGGTAGAGGAAAAACATGATGTACGGTAGGTGACGTCAAGAATGTGCTGAACGTCGAAGTAACGGGCAAGAGATTTTGAATAGTATATTTATATAGGTTACTATACGAAGATTCTGAGCTCGTCAGATCCGAAGAGTTCTTCTTGTCTTGATCTGTAGAAGAAAAATCATGAAGAGAGTTTATTATAAAAGTTTTACGATCGTTTCAAAAAAAAAAAAAAAAAGAAAAAAAAATAAAAGAAAAAAAGGAAATGAAAGGTTTAATTGTAAACTATAAATCTTTATACGAAACGAACAACGTCTAACGAAAAACTTTTATTATGGTAAATGGGACATATTTTCCATCGGAGACAAGACTATTACATTATTCGTGAAAGGGAGTTATACTATTCTCACGGAGAACATTCGAATGGACAACGGCAGTTAGTATTCTCCATATTTATCTTGTTCTTTGATATTTATCTTACAACTTGATTACGTCATATGATACTCATTGTTCAAGAAACACACGTAAAAAAATAGAAACAAAGAGAGAGAGAAAGAGTGAGAGAGAGAGAGAGAGAGAGAGAGAGAGAGAGAGAGAGAGAGAGATCGTACATGTTTTTGTATAGATTTTTATCGAATTATACATCTTCTAATACTTTTGAATAAATTAGATCAATTAGATCACTGAATGACTCTAACATTCTACATCTAAATCACAGCAAGTGTCCTTATCCTAAAGTAACTTTTCTAGTCTACGGTCCATTGAATTTACAATAGCGAGGGAGTGAGCACCTTTCACTGCTTTCAGCCGCTATAATAAATTTTATTAGCTTTTTATATACTCACGGATACTTTTGGAATCGATTTCGAACGAGAAATTTTAGATCTATACTCTTGAATACGCACACAAAATATATGCCATGATCTTTAGCCTTTGAGAATAGTATTACGAGTATTATTGATAACGGAGTCCTTTAGGCTTCGTAACTTTCTTTCATAGCAAAGTAAGAACAGATATTGTTAAAATTTATTATTGAATTTATAAATTTACGAATTATGTATTTTAAAATTCGTATCCTGTTAAAAAAATAAATTAAAATTGTATAAAAAAAGATAGAAACTATATTGAATTGATAAATGAAATGATAAATTGGTTTAGAAAATTGCTCGAGATCAATCGAATTTCTATGTATAAATATACTTATCTTACTATTAGCTCTAATTTATGCAAATTAATTAAATAATTTATTTATATATTTAAATTATTTAATTAATTCATTTTATCGAGAAGTTATATAATTTACTGAACTTAAATCTTTGAATAAGTACATATAATAATTGCGTAGGTTGCATTGCGAAAGTATAATATATTGCTCGCTTGACTCGTTAAAGATCGATTTTAAGTTTCACCAAAAAAGAAAAATAAGAAAAAGGAAAAGAAAAAAGTAAAAATTTATCTCGATCTTGGGAAAGATAATTTATCGTAAAATGTAATTCGTCCTGGTAACTTGCAACTAAAGATTATAGTTTCGGTTCAATAAAACAATAATGATCGTATTTGAAAGACACGGTCGAAAACACCTATCGTAGATAGAAACTTTCGCTATTCGATATATTGAAATCATTCAATCGATTTAAGACTACTTCCTTCACCTAAAACGATCAGTGAAATGCAAATTTCATGCGTTATTCTCGGTATTTTTGTAAAAATCTAATTAGTTATTCACATGCGAACAAGTAAGCGAACATTGGTTGAACTTTTTGAATATCATTTCCGATTACACATCAGTTTAGACATTAACATGCCTTGTGTTGTCTATAACTCGGAAATTAATTAGATATTGTTATTTCAGTACTGTCGAAATACATGAACTTTTCAAATTCTTCATTGATCGTCGACGTGACGAAGTTAACTACTTCTATCTATCTATATTCTTGAACGAATTTCTTCCTTTTACAAAAATGAAATCAATTCATGGAATAGATTATTTGAAATAAAAATGTTTTTCAAAGATTTTCAATAATAAGAGTATACTAACGTGACGTAAATATGGAGAATGTAATTATAAAGATATAATTAATGGAAATAATTTGACGAATAATAATTGAAATAAATTTGAGAAAATTGATTATTTTCAAGAATAAACAAAAAAGAATATTAAAATATTTTTTATTTGCAACATAATATTTCAGTTTCTATGGCATATAACTATGATCATTATTTAAAAATGAAAGTAGTTATTTTAGATTAAACGATATGTATCACTTGATGAAATGCAAGAATTATCGAAAAACTCAATGAATGATTCTTTTACAAGATCACAAGATCAGATTAGATTGTCAACAAAAAATTTTTAATGTCACTGTCACCTATTTCTTTTTCTTCATTTTTTTCACTTAAGCAAGGCTTTTCTAGACTTCTAATGCTGTACTTTCACGTGCAGATATTTATATACGTAAGAAATGTCCTCGGGGACATACGCGAACTGATCTTTTGATAACTTCGTTTCGCTTTCGAAGAAAAGGTCTTTTAGATCATTTTTATAATACGCATTTCTGAATTCACATTAATGAAACAATCCAACGATACGAATTTCTAGTTTTCTAAAAAACTACATTGTTATTTAATTGTAATAATATATTGTTTTGATTATGAGAAAATGGTCTAATTTCTTTTTTGAGACAATTACAATTTTTATATAATCACAATAGTACTAAAAAATTAATGATAATTTAGTCAATATTGAAAAAAATTTCACTAATAATCAGACTACTAATTGTTAAAATATAACGACTAAAATTCTTTAATTTTATCATACTTACTAATTATATATAAATAAATTATATTATGTAATGTTAAGTTATTATTTTTAAGTAATCTAGTAATATCTAGGCTGTATATATTGAATAATGTTAATTTGCAAATGTAACATTCATATCTTATCAAGGATAACAAAAAAATTAATGAAAGATTTATTTATCGTATAATATACAATAAATTTTCATTTTTTTTAAGTGTTTGAAAACGTAAAAAAAACAAATTTGCATAGTTTGAACAGTTATATAAATTAAATAAATGAGATTTTTCTAATTTATATTTTTTGAATTTTTATATTATTATTTTTGAATTTAAAAATGACAACACATACAACATATAAAATATCATTTAAAGAATTTGAGTAAACCGCACTGTCCAAATATTTAAGTTGTCGACAGTATATCTATATGAATTAAGTTATTAAATTACCTGAATTCGTTGTCGTTGTATCATTTTGGTAATTCACATCAATGGCAGCAGTTCCTAGATCGAAAGTCCTGGCAACGAGAAGAAACCACAACAGCAATGACACTTTTTTTCCAAACATGTCTCTGAAATTTATACAAATAGGTATACGTTAATTAATTATTATAATTAATAAATAAAGATTATATTTATTAGTTCACTTTATAATATAAATTAATTCATTTTATTTATAATATTATTATATTTTATAACAAATACAATAAAGATTATTTATTAGTTTATAAATACAAATTATTTATTAATTTATACGACTATGATATTTGCAAATAACGGACGATGAAAGAAATGATAAATCCTATTATCAGTCTTTTTTTACACTTGAACAGATAAAAAAAACTGTTCCTATTTTCATTGTTCATTATTCTGGAATTTCACATTCGTTTTACATTCGAATGCTTATCACGAAACAATCTTCGTATACCATAAGTGCTTATAATACGAGTATCATTAATCAGAAACAATAGATGTTTAATCAATTAATTTATTTACGTACGTTTAAGCACAATTGCTTAAAATGTGCGCCTCCAATAGTCGTATCGTTATCGAGATTAAACACTCATTTAAAAATAATACAAAAATATTTTATGACAATTTTATCAACAACACCCGTCCCTCGATTTTTGCAGATTATTTGTTCGATGAAGTTATTTTTTATGTGAACCGAAACCATGCGAATAGAGAGTTCGTTAGTACGAAAAAAAAATACTAAAGAAAAATGTCGATGTAAGTTATAAAAGTATTTTTTTCACATATTCATTTAAACAATTCATACGTATAGTAATCCAAAATAATGAATATTTTCTTTTTAATTAACACAAAGCCATTATTTTAACCGTTTCAAATATTTATGTTAATAATTATTTATTATTTATATTATTCATTTATTTATTAAAAATTATAGAAAAATAGATATATTTTTTCAATTGCGCAAAATGAGACCGTGTAAATTGATACTGCTTATAAAAATGTGATTATATTATCATATATGAAAAAAAAAACTTTAAAGTTTTTAATAAAAAGTACTATTTAATTAAATAAATCGAGAGATGAATGGAATTTATATAACCTGGTCGGTCTAAATGACGAATGTCTTATACAATCGTATCGTGTGATTTCATATAAGATCCTACGACGATCGTATCGAAATAGTTAACATGAAAAGAAAAAGCACGCACGAAAACGTGAGCATGCAAGAAATACAAGAGAAAAAACAACTTAAGAGCGAAGAAATTTTTTGTATGGTTTCAATGAATTGCCTTTTTCATCGATTTCGTAGATCCTATAATGACTAGATCGTTTTTTCTATTATAGTCGATTTAAATCGAGAATATTCTTATAATTATTATTGTAGAAATGATCGATAAGGAAGTTTTTCGTTGATAACGATCGAATCATTAGAAATTATACTAAATCTTTAAAAAGAAAAAAATATAAATAATTTCATTGTTAAGACTATAATAAGGAAAAGAATGTAGATGATCGGACGTTGTAAAGAATAATATGAGTGAAACTTATACAGAAAACGAATGAATATTAATGACTTTTAGATAAAATTATACGATTTCGCTTTATGTGATTTATTTTTTTTTAAATTTACTTTTTCGGCGTGTAAACCGTGACTTGAAAATAAACAGAGAAAGTATCAACAAATATTTCGAGCAATAATAAAATATAAAAAAGAAAAAATCAAATCAAATAAGATAAAATAAAAATATAATAAATCCATCATCTCTTGGATGATACAAATTTTTCTGTAATTTTCTTAAATACTACATAAAATATCTTTGATGTTTCTAAAGCATACGTTTCATCTATCATCGTCCACGATTCATTTGATTACAACCCAACGATTGAATCTCTCTGGTAAAGGAAAGAATAGAAACTCCGAGAAACTGGAAAGGAACCGCAAAAGTGGAGAAAAATTGGAAACAGCAATTTCAACAGTTGATATGTATACATGTATACTAATATTACACATAGAGTTGTTAAGTTTTTGATATATGTATTTTCTCTTATCAACTATTTTTTTGAAACGAATTTTTATTAGAACTTATCATTATCTATCGTGAAAATATCTCTTCTCGTGAGTTATGAGTTAACAGACGAGCGATGTCTTAACAAATGAAAAGAATTATTATTGTATAATCAAATATTCGCTGTATTATATTGCTATCTGTTTCTCACCAGTTTATTTTGTAACTATGCAGAAAATGATCGCGAGATCGGTTTGCGGTATTTTGAAGTCACAACACAATCTCTTTTCTCTCTTTTCTTTTTCTTTTCTTTTTTTTTTTTTTGCGCGATCAACGTTGATTCCATTCGCGAAAACGAAGGTCAGTTTAAGAAACCGTTTCGAAATGATCGTTCTGCTCTAATTCTATTCGATCACTTCTTGTGATATCTCCTATGTTTTGCTTAAGCCGACTTTCGTGTATTTAATTTAATCGAAAGAGAGCCGAAAGAAAAAAAAACGTAAGCGTTTTTTATAGTTCGCAATTTCAAGGAAATACCGATACAATTAAAAGTCATGAAATGTATGAGATCAAAAGATAATTATTTTTTTATGTAAGATCACGTTAAATGTTTAAGAAAGATCATTTGGATTCGCTTGTAAATAATTTATCATATTTAAATTATATTATTAATTTATTTTGTTATTTTGTATTTATTCTTGTAATTATACCTATTTATTCAGAAAGATGGTGTTACACGATTATTTTCTTTTTTACATGGACAGGAAGATTACGATATATAACGAAGTATTGATCGATATTAACGAAAATATGATATTAACGAAAAATAAGTCGAAAATAAACGAAAAATTTTTTTCATTTGGAGCTTTGTTTTAAAAAAAATCGACTTCCAATATTTTCTAAGTGCGTCTGCATTATAGTTGAACCGGATCTCGAAACAAACTGCATATTCGTCTTTTATGTAAAAATATCATTAATATTATACGTAATATTAACATTATGATATAAACCATATATGTCATTTATCATTGATATTGTACGTAATATTGATCAACATTGTGATAAAAACCACATATGTCGATTATGTACAAATATCATTAATAACGTATGTAATATTGATCAACATCATGATAAAAACTACATATATCGTTCATATAATATGCCAATAATGTCATATATAATATTAATCAACATTATGATAAAAACCAAATATGTCGTTCATGTAAAATGTCCTTAATATCATACATAATATTGATGAATTATCTGTTTAACAATGACATAATTAGATGCATATGTACTTGGAGAATATTCAAAGTCAATCTTCTTGAAAACGAAATAAAAAAAATTTTTCTATATTTTCACTCATCTCTTTGGTTGTATTATCAATACTGGGATAATGTATAATACATATAAATATTGTTTGTTGATGATGAAAAATCTCACAAAAAAAGTATAGCAATTAGATCAATAATGAATGTAACTCATATTTAAAGAAAGTCACGTGTGTAGAACTCTTGTTGATTAAATAGTTTCTAATAAAGAAAGAGAAAAGAAAAGAAAAATTAGAAAAATATAAAGAAAATCGTACTACGTCGTATGAATGTTGTGCGATTTATATATTTTATGGACTAAATACTTAATAGAAGCATTATTTTTAACCTTTTGTCATTATAAATAACAATACACAAAATTGAGTAATTTCTTTGATTATCATCACGTTAGAAAATTATCACGTTTACATGTTAATATACATATTACTATTATTTCTTTCGGGAAATGATAACAAACAATAACTTTGTGGGAGTATTAAGAGAGGTAAAGGTTGAATGAGAAGAGGACTCGTCATTCTACATGGTTTCGTCATTAATAGGTAAAGTGATAACAATTTTTATCAGGTTGCACGGTCATTCTAAATATTATTTGTATTGGTTGAGAATTATAAATTTCCATAACATTTATATAGAAACAAAATTTTAGTCAAATTAATTTGAAAACATGATTATGCAAACCAAAACCATAAAATTTATTATGGAAATACCGGTGTCTCGTATACGTGGATTTCTAATCAGAAGACATAAAATTCTATGGTCTACTGTTCTAAGCAAGTATTTATAATGATATGACTAATCGGGAACTACCATTTATGAAGTACCAAGCAAGGTTCGGTTAATGTTAAACTTTAAAAGCATTGACATTGATTTCGCATACCGATTCGAAAGTTATCTAAGAAGGAGAGATTTTTGCTTATAAAATTAAAAAACAAATTCTGCTTTACTATTATTATTATTATTAAAAATATTAATATTATTAGAAAAATAACATTTTATAGCCCTGATCTTTCGAACTATCCAAATTTAAATTTCAAGAATATTGGAATATAAAAAAAAAAGGAAAGAAAAATAACAGAAATAAATCCATCCTAATTTGTATTTCCTGTGTTAAAGATTCTTAATCTCTTTACCCGTACAAGTTTAATGAGAGATGAATAATGAAACAAAGCAAGAAAAAGTAATAATAAAAAAGAAGGAGAAGAAGAGTGTAAAACTTGTGCAAAAAAATGTACACTTTATAAATTCTGAGAATTATGAGAGATTATAATACCAAAGAAAACAAAAAAAGAAAAAATAGATACGTACTATACGATATATCTTATAATAGATACGATATATCTTAAATGATCCCATCTATATGTATATACAAACTATCTAAATTCTCTGACTAAGGTGATATAATTTTCCTTTAATGAGTGAAATGATGTAACGATTGATGTTTCATACGAACCGTCACATTTTCTTTTTTCAACATTCTTTCTACCGGTTGAATTCTTTATATGTACATATAACTAAAATTATAAACAAGATCGCGCGTAACGAAAGTTAATTTTATCAACGTTTCATGATAAAGAAATAAGTAATTATAGGGGTGAATGATAATGATGATATCGAAAATCTAATTTTATCAATGATTCACAATAAAAATATGATGTTATATTAGTTTTCACATGGTAAAAGCTAATCGATAATGGGGTTATTGAACATACGAGAAAAAAATAATTTTTGTGAAAGATGATACGTTTAATAATCGATAATATTAGATCTAAAGTATTATTGTAATATTTTTTTTTTAATAAAAGTTACATAAAGAAATGATCAAAATAATATGGATTTTTTTTATCGATTAATGAAAAAATGTATAAAATACTAAATTTATACATTTTAATAAATGTCTCATTTTTAATTCTATTAAAACTAGCCAAATGTGTTAAATGTCCAATTAATTGAAAAGTCCAATTATGATCTATTATTTATTAAAAAAAAAAACGATTATAAAATTTATCAATTGAAATCGTTAATTAAATGTAATATTGTTCAATAGGGCCTGTTATTCGAGTATTGCAAATAAAAATATTGAAATGAAGGAATAAATTTAAATCATCAAAACTCAATATACTAATAGTAAGTAAGCACTAGCAGTTCATTAAGAAACTTCTTCAAATATTTATCATAGTGTTATTTGAATCAATGATACTTTTACATTATACTTTTCTAAATCAAAAATTCTTTCATACATATTTGTTACGATTTTTAATCACATGGAACAAATTACTTAATTAAATTTTTACTTGGAATGAATGTAGCTCATTTTTCGCTGTAATATATATATGAAGCAGAATCCTTTTAATTTAATTGGAAAGTCACATATGTATCCAGCAAATGTCAAGAAAATATAAACTTCACTATCTTTTTAAATAATCTTAATCAATTACGTAATCATTTGATATTAATACTTATTCAAAAAAAAATATAGAAAATTGTTGAAGAAGAGTTTGATTAATTATTATGTAAATCCATACGGAATCGTTAATCTATACGATTGATAAATCTTGCAGTTTTGTTCAACTGTTTGAAGTACATGATTTTAAAGAAAATAAAAATTTAAACTGCACATTTTTTGTTTAATATGAAAAATAGAAAAACTGAATGGAAAACTTTAAATAAAATTGTGTGACTATGAGTAACTTTAACTTTTTAAGATAGGTTAAAATATATCCCACTATGTATAAAAAGATAACGAAAAGTTGGGACTGTTTTTAACTCACTTAACTCCAAAGAGTTAATCATAAAATTCGTTTCTATATATATTATATATTGTCCTTTTCTTTAAGTACGAGGTAAAACGTATATATTCAAAATATAATATAATAATAATTATATATATATATTTGTATAAGATATACTTGAATATGTTTTGTGAAATAACAATCAATTGATCTGTTTCAATGTTTCATTGTAAAATACGAAATAATTTTAGAGTCAATCTAAGACAATAATTATGGAAATAAATCACGAATGAAATTGGTCGATCCTAAACAATGAAAAAATTTATAATAAGTGATCTCTATCTTTGATAATTTTTTATAAATACGAAATAAGAAAATTTACTTTTATTCAGACAAAAAAGTACCATGTTAAATTAATGATAATAAAAGTAACATAAATCATTTTTTTTCAATAACTAGACTATAACGTAGACTATAACGTAGATAGATGTACCACAAAATAATTAATAAAAATTGACTTCCTTACAATTCTTAACTTTCATACTTCTTTTCAATAAAAAATTTCTCACAGATCGAATCTGAATCATCATGTCTTTTTATTTTATTGCCTTTTCTGTATTAAAAGTTCTGACCTAAATGGATAACAGATTTGCTAAATGTTTCACAAAATTTAGCCTGATCTTTTGTATAAAATGAAGATTTAGATTAATAATAATAATAATAATAATAACAACAACAACAACAACAACAACAATAATAAATAAAAGTGGGCACTGATACATAAATACTCGCACTGATAAATACCCGATAATATCTTGAACACTTCCTTTTTCGGCCACGATTAGGAACTAGTTACAAGTAGAACTGAACGTGCACAGGAAATGTTACGATGCTTATATGCAAGGAGAGAAAGTACAGATATGCCAGCTGATCAGTCACCCCACGCTACCGAAAGCTCTGCGTACTTCCTAACCAACACTATTTCTGCAATTATATCAATACTTAAGCAAGATCATTTGAGACCTTTTACGACTAAGAAATTCCAAGATTGAACTTTGTTTCTGAATTTGATTATCTTTCGTATATACGGAAACTAATATTGATCTTAATTTGCAGAAAAGATAAGAAAAAGAAGAAATTAAAAATAAAGAAAGTTTCGATTTTAGAATATTTTTTTTGTCTGAATATTATGTTTATCTATTTCCTCGTTTTAAGATTTTTTATATTAACATTCTTCATCCTTCTTTAATCTTTCTCCTTAGACTTATTTTTAACTTTCTATTCTTTCGAAGTTCCTTTCTCCTTTTTTTTCTTGTGCTTCAAGTCTTTTATATCTGATTTCATCATAGTGTATAATTATTTATCGAATTTAATGTTATAATTGTTGAGTTTATTGCTTAGAAAATTGCACGAATGAAGTAAATAAAAAATTTTCGCATTATGCGCTATTAGACTAGCTTTAATTGAAGAGAGTTATGGTAAAACACATATGATTGTCACTTAGAAAGTTAAAGTATTTTAAGAAACACATTGTGGAAGCGAGACAAAGTAAGTGTTGTTTATTAAAAATATTTCATTCTTGAGTTTGTTCATTGATTTCATTAAAAATTAATTGTAATTATTAATAAAAAAATACATTTCGTAAATTTACGTTCCTCCTGTTGATTAATTTAAGAAAAAGGATTCGTGGAAGATTTGTTGATCGTTTAAAAGTATGTGTCACTCCTTTGTTGAAAGTTCCTCGTATAAATAATGAGAATGTGTTTTTTATTCACATGCAGTAGAAAGGAGTGCCACGCACGTTGAGATGCTTTAGTCTTGAAATTGCTAACGACGTGTTGTAAACAGTTCTCGCAGAAACAAAATGACTTGCATGACACGTCGACTGAGATCGTTGTGGAAATATAATTTTCGAATGTACATCGTCGCGTAAAATTATCAATGTAATATTTAATAATACAGATATACGTATTTCAAAATTCTTATATTTTCCAATACATTTCCTTATAAATCAGTTAAATCAAATAATACCTTTACCTTATTTTAGTAATTTTAACTCATATTATAAAATAGAAAGTGATAATGAACTTAATGATATTATTTCGACAGATACAAAAAAAACGACTAAAATACGTAGTAGATAGGGATAACAATTGTGATAACAATTGTTAGTGATAACAATTATTCGTGATACTGATAACAATTATGATTGCAATGAAATTATTTTCCTATTTCGGAAGCGATGTAGAATCTTATCCGAGGTAAAAAGTAAATATGAGAATTGTGAAATTAATTTTATATTTAAGGAATAGATATGGATAGATACTGAAAATAAAACCAAAATTCATGAATTTCAAATGATGCCTAAAAGGACAGTTACAGTGTAGTCTTTTGGTACGCGCATTTATGAATTAATTGTCAGTGCAAGTGATTAAATAATGATATTCTAATAAATAACCGTAACAATATTTATTTAGTCAAAAAATAATGTCGCCATCTGCTTATATTGATTTAGCCTTAATATCTTAAGGCTAAAAAATTATATTGATAATTTTTATATTGGCGCCATCTACCGATGTTACGAAAAGTTCGTAAACTATTTATATAGTAAGAAAAGAAAAAAATTATCAATATACAAATCTTAATCTGTATATCTGTAATTATTCAAAAACTTTTACTATTTTTGTTATGAAATTTGCCATAATTGCTTTTTATTATCCTATAGAAAATTTAGATTATTTGAAAAAATATTAGTTATAAAGCAGATTACAAGATTTTTGAAAGTAAATAAGAAAGTCAACATATGATCATCACACACATGTCTATTACTCGAGAAGGATTTGCACGTCACTTACGAATAACAGCACTGTTACAACATCGGAAGATCACCACATTATTAAGCACGAACGATTGTTCGTGCTTTTCGTTTTGCAATGAAATGAAGACTATACTAAGGCTTAATCGGTTACTAATACATAATATTTATCAGTATTTTTGGTCTAGTCATTTATGCAATAATTATGCAATAATAAATAAAGCCTTGACAAAAATAATACGTGTATATACTATTAGCATATAGATTGTTCACCACTTGTTGTTCAAAGCGTGCTTCAGCGACTTCAACGATAGGCATGAACAAAATATGAACTATGAATAGAAATTGGAAAACGCTATCACCATTATGCATCTATTGTATCGATATATAAACTTGTTTTGTTATTCTTCCTCTCACACATAATGATAATAATCGGTTTTGTTGAGTAGAGTAAATAATTTAGTAGACTGTGAACTTACACTTTTCAGTCTTTCATATGTATATATTTATTTGATGGCATCTCGCAGTAATCCGTGCTAAATACATCGGTACGCATTTGTTTTACAATAAATACATACAAAATAATAAATATAATTGACACATATAAGAATTAATATATAAATTTTCTTAAAAATAATTAATGAATATTTATATATTATATTATTTTAATACAAATTAAAACATGAATTCATTTCTACACTACTTATGAAGTATAACTCCCAGCGCTTTATTTTTACGTGATTTCTCCTGTAGGACTAATCCATTCTATACTACTTCGATTATTATTACTACTACTACTACTATTACTATTGATAATAATAATAATATAATAATAATAATAATAATAATAATCAAAATGTTCTTAAATATTATTTATATACATCTAGATATTATTTAATAAATTTTATATTATAATAGTAAAGTCAATTAGTCTCGACTGATCGTAAGTAAGAAACAGTGTGGAAATAAATCCATAACGATCATAAGGTAGTAAGACAAGAAGAAACAATAACGAATGAAAACAAAAAAAAATGTTTTTTACTTTTCTTCATATGTCGTTTGTATTAAATGGGCGGTTATATGTAAAAATTATCGACACGATTTGTTGAGAATTCGCAGGTCAAACCATCATGTAAAATTATACGTTTTTCTTTTTTTATTATCATAAATTATTATCATCGTGTGTCATGATGTATATAAGTATATTTTTCTGTTTCTTCTTCTTCTTATTACTGTTTTTATTGCTACATTATTATATTACATATTATTATAGTAATAGTAGTAGTAACAGTAATAATATAAAGTAAATGTCTACAGAGAAAATTATAATAAAATGGCGCTGGGAGAAAAATTTCGTAAATAATGTGGAAACAAACTCATGTTTTGATCTTTATTAAAAAATAATATATAATATATATATTCACTAATTATTAATGTTGAAAAAATAATCGACTAATGTATATACTTTATATTTGTCATCGAACAAAATTGTATTGCTGCTGTGTCTTATCTAGCATAAATCATCACGAAATTCACGTCATTACAAATGCAGACGCTTTCCAATGAGCTACACATTGTACGTAGTTTTTATTTTATTAGTCAATAAAATCTAAAAAAAATTACAAATTTTTCCAAAAGTTAACAATAATCTAGAAATTATTATATTATATTTAGGTCCTTGACATAAACGAATGGACATGTATTTTTTTATTTTTCCCATACAATCATCTGTCCAAAGCTTATTAAAATGATCAAATGAGTTATCGTAGTATCTTCGTGCGAGTATCGTGAAATTTATTTCTCTGCGTTTAGAAATGTTCAAAAAATCTAAGCATCAGCAATTTACGCATATAACCAAGTAGATAATCGCTACTTCACGGACATAAACCGTACAAGCATATGTGTGAAAATCAATAATGAGGGTTCATCTTTGTTGCCACAGATTTCAGGGGGCAGCATAATACTAAATTTTTTCTTTGTGAAAAATGTTGAAAACAGCATTTATGCCATCAATGAGAACAGAAGTAATTCTTGACCAATTTTAATGAACATGGTCTTGTTTTAAAGACGAAAATTTAATTTACGGCATATTGGTCTTAAACTTTGAAAAAGGTTTTTATTTGTACATAAAATATTCTCGAAAAATATCATTTTTTAATACGATTTTTTTTTTCAAAGAAAAAAAGCTTTTTCAAAAATTTGAAATCAATACGCTGTAGATTAAAACTTTATCTTTAAAATGAAACCTTGTTCATTAAAATCAGTCAAAAATTACGCTTGTTCTCATTGATGACGTAAACCATTAAAAAACCAGAGGTAATGAACAGTCGTAGGTGCTCTCTAATGTAGGCTTATAATCTAATCTAGGTATATAAGAGAATCTTGGAAAGTATGTGTTGGTGTGTATGTTTTGCTGTTTTAAAATATAGAAATAGGTAAGTATGTAACATACCTTTCTGAGTAATGTGGCAATTAATTTTAAGTTAATAAGTAAGAATTGGATAAAATGGAGAATGTAATTTTCACTTAGGAGTGAGAAATCCTGCCTCTGAGAATTTGTGAGGATTTAGCAAATTTGCAAAATCTTGGAATGTCTATTTTTGTTATTTTTTGCTAATACTTTGCATTGCGTGATATATCAGTATTCAATATATCGTGATATTCATAATTCAATGAAAATCAAATATCAATGTATCAAATATCAATGAAATTTTACTTTTTTTTGTTAAATAAATAAATAAATAAATAAATAAATGAATGAATAAAGATCATTAGAAAATCGAGACTAACTTAATGAAGATGATTTCATTTTTATAGTATAAATCACTATAGTAAGTAAATTTTTGTGAGTTTGTTGCTTTAAACGTTAAAGTATTTTTGATGCGTAAAATTATCTTGCTCGATTTTGATGCAGTGATTAAACCACAAAGTAAGGAGAGACCATATACTAAAAAGGCCCCCCGCAAATTGCATCTCAAGAAGGCAACAATCGATTACAAGTTATTTGTCGAACACCTTGTTAATGGTTTGTGGTCTTATTAAAGTCTCTTTTATCCTTTTACCATGTTGACACTTATGCTCGTAGTAGCAGTAATAGTAGTAGTAGTAGCAGTGTAGTAGTAGTAGTAGTAGTAGTAATTTGAACTTGAATGGAGGTAGCGAACCATCCCATCTTTCTGCCATAGCGTTTTGCACTCGTATTTGTGAAATATAAGGTCTTTTGATAAATATAGTCAAGCTTTTGTATTCTTTTCTATTAATAGAGTTATTGCATTTTTTTCTTAATAAATTGAAGTCGAATCGTTGTATTTGTCTTATATTATAAGTCAAATCACTGCAGTTTTTTTATAATATTAAAATCAAGTAAAATACATTTCCTATTAAAATGAAGACGAGTCCTATATGGAACAGATAGAATATTAATTCATATAAGCTAATATATATATACACACACACATGCATTTCTAGGTTGGCTACATCATAATTAATTACACTGCTGATTTGTGTTAATTATTGATTAAAATTTGTATTTATAATTTCTCCACAACTCTTACCATTTCTGTCCAAATAAAATTTTGTATAATTATTCTTTATATTCTGGTGGAAAGTATATTTCATTGATATTCAAATGATATTAAAAAAACATAAAACACAAATTAGTTTTTTTTTAATTTTTTTATTAGATTTTCACATATTAAGAAGTAACGTTTAACCATCAGTATTCGTTCATACAAATCTTTCAACGATACTTAATTATTTTTCCTTAAAATTAATCAGTCATATCTCATGGTTTCACATAAACTCAACTATTTTCACACTGAATTCCCATAAAATTTTTTCTTATCGAAATTTTCTATGAGTTTGCGCAAATATGTCTAAATACGATAAAAATGCATTTAATTATGTATAATGATAATTTCGATCGGTTCAACGCGAGAAAACGAAAAGGATAAATCTTTTATTGTAAAAATAATGTAATGCATTTTCCTATACGTATGTAAATATAAAATGACAAGAAAAAGTAAAATCTTAAACTTTTTTATGCCTCAGAAAATTGCACAACTTTAATCGTGAAAATAAACCTTCTATCGATTGTAAACGCGATTCGGAAAGTAAGAACAATAAAAAAAAAAAAAAAAAAAAAGAAAATGAAAAAAATGTTCACACAAATCCAGATCTATAAAATGAAGATTCGAACCATGTTTAAAGATTGTTTATGACTTTTGATAGATTCCTCATTTATTGCAAAAGATTGCTATCATTTGGTTTTGTCATTCCAACATTGACACTTCGCTTCCCTGAGGTATACTAACTTGTTGAAAGTAATAACTTTTCTTTTTTATAGCAATAATTTAAAAAAATATTGAAAAATTTACAATATTTTCAAAATTTAAATTATACAGGATTATTGTATCGTATATAGTCGAAATAATTTATCCTTGAAAGTGTTTCCATCTTTTAAATTTAACAAAACATATTTGGAAATTGTGAAATAATTTATAAACTACTTCGAATTATACATACGATAATGATCCAACGAATCGATTATTCTTTTTACCTAAACTATCGTCATGCTCTAGATGTTATCAAGCAGGTGTTACTACATGAAATTGCGAAATCTAGCCACGCACTCGATATCCACACATATCTAATGTTCGTTGACATATCTATCATATACCTATCACATACCATATATATATATATATTGACGCGCGTGCATCTTATAAAATTTCAAATTTCGCATATTCGTTTTATCTTAAAAGTTAGCATTATCGATAGAAACTTAATGCTCAATAAGAAATGAAATATGAAAGTATCGAGATTATAAAACTTACTAAGTACTTTATATTTGCGAATTTATCTACATAAGCATAATAAAATCAGCATATGCTAAAAACTGAAGAGGAAAATTTTTTTCTCTCTTATATATATATATATATATATATATATATATATATATATGTATATATATATTAAATATATTAAATATATTAATTAGATGCACACGCTCCTTCATATTGTTATACTTATATTATTAAATGGTCACATACGCAAATAATGTTCTGATCGAGCAAGGCTGTTTCGAAAATACAATAATTTGGGCGAGGTAATATAATCAAAATCGTGTTTCTTGCTATGATAGTATGGTCCTCGGAAACGTGGACTTATTTGTTCTTCTGTTTCAGCTTATTCTTAGCTGACCTATTTCTTTAATCGACTAGTCACGTGTTTTTCACCGTATCTTCGCTTTTTTTTTATCACACTAACATCTGCCGCTTCATCCTGAACCATATTAGTGACCACCATATATTATACATCCTCATTTAGATTCAAGAAAGCACTCCCTGACGTTAGAAACTTAAGACACAATGATATCACGAAGATCTTAAGACATCACTCACGCTTCTTTCTCTTCACCAAGCCCAATCTTGCTCATGGATGAGCCGGCGCAACGCAGTAATGTGACCAGCCAATTAATGATTTAATTCAACGATACGCTTTAGCCTTCTCAGCCCATGCAAATAGATCCATGCTTGGTATTGCTTCGAAATCGTTACAAGAACGGATTTCATTTCTGCAAAATAAAATTAACATATAAAGAGTATTACTATTATAGTCCTCGAAGAAGCAATTTCTGAAGAAATGTAAAATGTTAAATTCAATGAATTTACCCTTCTTGTGGTCTGAGGAAAACATTTAATTGCATGTTTTCGATATTATTGCCATTATCACAGAATATTCTTGCTAAAGTAACATTACGTATTTCTGCCAATTGATCTATAAGAATAGAAAAATATTCAAATATTTAATAAACTTTTGTAATTGTGTGACATGATAAATAATTAAATGTAAGAAAAAAATTTTACCTGGTGTGAAGGGGTACGGTTGCATAACAGAATCGTAGAAAAATCTATCTGTACGAAGTGTTCTTGCGAATTGTTCCAAAATTAAACATCTGAATGTGGGACCAAGAAGACCGTCGTCGGTTGACCTTTCTGCCATACCACCGATCACAAGATCAACGTCATTAGGATGAGTATAAACGGAGCGTAATTTATTTACGAGCTGTACGTAAAAAGTAAAAAAGTGATGAAACACATACGTTAAAAAATTGCATTCAATTTAAATTATTCATTTCAATATAATATTTAATTTACCTCCATAGGAATGTAATCAAGGAAATCATTGAAATTCTTAGCGATAGGTAATCCACAATGTTTCCTGTAGTAATTATATCCAGGTAATCCATGATCACGACCACGTTGTATGTCTAAGCTAATAGTATCTAAACCAAGATCATTCTTACGGTTGCTATATAATTTGCTGGTAATCTACAAAATGTTAGACATACAAAATAAAATAACAACGAATGAGTGGTATTAATAGAAAAAATAAAAGAACAAAATGAGATACTCACTTCTGGAATAAAACTTATGTCCATCTTCTGACTGGTCTGTGTTGAGAGACCACGAAGTAAACCGTCAAAAATTGCGTCGGATTCAATCACTCGCGGATTAAAAAAATATTCTGACAATTCCAGAGGTTTAATTTGATGCGCATTATTTGGCATACTGTAAAGCATTATTGCAAAATATTATGTAAAATATAATTGACATTAAAAATTATAAGAATTAATTGAAAGTATATATATATATATATATACAAAAAAAATAATATCAAATATAAAATGACATTTAAAAAATCATTGTAATAGCTTACATCAGTCTTCCTTGCATAAGTGAATTCAAAAATCGCAAGCCAGCTGTAGCTGCTTCATTGCTAACTGCAGGTTCGTCCTCAGAATCATATTTTCTATTATAACCAGTACCGAGTCCTAAGGCTCGAACACTGATTCTACCCAATAAAATGGGCAACCACTCTTTGTAAGTTATATGTTGAATTTCAGCAATGACAATACGTCTAGCCTCTTGATATAGGATTTCATCCGTCCAGCTAGGATTCAATTTAGCGAGTTTCTTCGCAATGCGATTATGTTCACGATGCCAAACTGTATGTATTACAGCCAATTGAGGATAAACGTTGACGCGATCATCACCTATGAAATTTAATAAAATTATCGTTATATATTGTCTTTTTTAAAAATTAATTAAAAATCAACAATCATATTAATGATGAACCTTAAAAACAAAAACTTACCAGAATCGTAACAACCTCCTTCACATTGAGAAGCAATTTCGGCATCGTTTTCAAATGGTAAAAATGCATGACCATTACGAACATCTGTGCGAAGTCTACCACCTCGAAATTCTCGTAATTCACGAGATTTTGCTAGAACGGAACCGTAGATCGTGGAACCATCCAAAAAGTGACTCACTTGATTCATCTGAAGACAAAATATAAAAATAAGACTTTCATTGACAAACAAAAATACGATTCATAGAATGAAATGGTAATGGAACGTTGAATTACTTGTTCCAAGGGACCAAAGGTACATTCCGACCTCAAAACTGGCATGGAACGTACGTAATTCATACATCGAATGTACTGAGTGCCATAGATAGGATCTCTATCCGGCACCGTTATAGCTGCACAATCTGGATGTATGTGACGAGGAGATAAAACGTTTCCATCCGTTTGGCAGCAAGAAATTGGTTTTCCCGATGAAACTATATAAACCAATTTATTTTGTAAATACCGAAAGTAAAGCTTAACAAAACAACAATCACAAATTACTAAGAACTAACCCATTTTGCGAACTGGTGTATGTGCCAGATCGTGTGAAATGAATTGACCCCATTGCATGACGGCAAGAGTTTTGGTGGGATCGGATTGGCCATTATAAGCAGCCACTGATGTACTTATTGTTCTCGCACTTGGTAATGGTTTCTTCGTCTGTCCCACATTTCTCGGCTCTTGAATGCCTAATTCCCAATACAATGTTATATTAACAATATATCATGAAGATCGTTTTACATTGTCAAATCGGAGTAAATTGATGTTAAGTGATTCATAACGAAGCATTTTCAAATAAATATGTTAAAGTGCTTTAAAAGAAATCTTTACATGTGAATTTTGAATAAATGCACTTATCCAATATGTGCAACAAAGCAAAAGCATATCATCTTGATTACTCCGATCTTAACAAAGTTTATAGGTGTTTATATGTATATATATATATATATATATATATATATATATATATATATATTTACATAAATAAATAAGTAAATAAATATATATATATATATATTTGTACAGCACGAGAGAGATAATAAAATACGCAGAATTTTTATTAGAGAAAACAAGTAATGGTACGCGTTTAGAGAGAATGTTTCTTGGCCGTCTTGTCCTCGAACCTGAGACTTCACCTAAACCTGTTTATCGCTCGCGATGTATTGTTTGAGAACAACCGGATAATTTTTACTTTTGAATATTATATACAATAATTTGAAAAAATCATAACCATAATATAATTTGACATAATCATATAAGAAAAAATAACAAAGTTGATTAAAACTCCAAAATCAATCCGATTAATCTCGAACAAAAAGAAGTTTCAACCGATCTTTTGCAAGAATTAGCAATTAATCGATTGAAGTTCTTACTCTCGTGCTGTGAAATAAATCCGGAGAAGGTTGTTATCTACTCTTTTTTACGTCGTTCTGGTGGCGTCATTGACGTGGCATGTCGTCAATATAAATGATAAATCGATGTTAAAGTTTGAAAGTTCATACGCATGATTGTTATAAGCAATGAAAGAGAGGAGGAATAACCCCGTGTTGTTATCAATTCAACGCTAATCGCTGACGTCGAGACGCTCGCAAAACGAGTAATCTAGCTTTATAATATTTAGTATGGTCGATGAAGGCACCCAAACGAGTGAACCAAGCTGAGAGACGGAGAAAATTTAATGCGGTTTTCATCGATTGTCAAAATAAATATGATTTGCATTTTGGTGACTATTGGAATAGCCTTCAAAATTTTATAAAATGTACATTACAATTATTCGATGTTATCGTGAATGGATCGATGATATTGAATTTAAGCCGCAATGACCTCCCAAATTGAATTCGCTCGAACAGGGACCTTAACGTGAAACCGTATGCCGCCAGAAAACAGAAAGTGTTCGAAGTAACTAGTATTACGTAATAAATATGATACATTATTAGGTATATCCGAATTAGTTTACATACACTTCTACTGCTGGATAGAATCTCCCGACCGAGGCACCCTATTGTAGGCAGTATTATTCACTGCTACACTCAGGCATATTATGCTCTATGTGCCTTATCGCACAACAACTGTAATGCAAATCACAGAATATAATTTTGTTAAGCCAATCGACGAACGTTTCTCCGCTAGCGCCCAAGGATCTGTCTCTGTGCACGTGTATACGTAGAGAATATAGACGGTATCTGTCCATAGCTGTCCGAGAAAATATCTCATGATTGATTAAAATTACAAGAAAGTTTTTTAATGAGAGAAATCTGCACGACTCTGAGTCAGCTACAAAGTACACGTAAAAGTTTTTTTTTAATCTCGTGACGTTTTCGAACTATGAAGATAAACGGTCTTTTCTTTTAATAGATATTTATAATTTTTCTTGCATATTTATATAGTAGTGATTATTTACAATCAAAATCATATCTAGTAAAAAATTGTTATATGCATCGTTTATGAGATAATTGGCATTTTATGTATTAAAGTATGTAGTTGCTGTTTCATATCACGAATTAAAAAACCATTCGTTAGACTACATAATATTTTGAAGTTGGTTACGTCAAACAGGATCACTGACCTTCAACCCGTCACAATACACGATTGCTTAATTTGTAAATATAGGATTGAAATAGCATGGAGTATATATTACGGTATTGTATGAACCTATTAATTAGTCGTTAAAATAAGAATTATCTCGTAAAGAATACATAATACAATTTTTTATTACTATATAAAAATACAGGAAAATTATGTTAAAATATTATATTAAAAAAGAAAACTATGTTGACTTTTATAATTTGAAAAGATCGCGAATAAAAAAAATGTACATGCACTTTTTAGTTGATTCAAAGCTGTGCAAATTTCTCTTAATAAACTTTTTTGTAATTTTAAGGAATTGCGAAATAGTTACTTGATCATTCATGGACAGAACAACCTGTGTGTATATATATATAGATATATATATATATATATATATATACATATACATATACATATACATATATATATATATATAGATTTTGATATATGCCTATAGTGTGTGTTACGTCCGTTAATAAACTGTCCTGATAAAAGTGGTGTTAGGTTGGTTAATGGATTTGTAGTCTCCTAAATAATCATTTCAAGTTTCGTAGAACGAAGTTATGAATTCTTAAAATCTACAAGATTGATTACGATATAGTATACCGTCAAATTAAAGTCCAAGTATTGTTTTATTGCAGATACAAGAGATATCGAGATAAATATCGAGGTAAATTTAGAAAATTATACTACTAAATGTGTCGAATAAGAAGCATAATTTCGTTAATTAAATCTGACTAATATACGTTTGTTAATAATCGGGAAACGTTTCCTATCCTTTGGTAAGAATTTAAAAATGACGTCAGAGAAAAAAACGTTGTCTTTACATATTATGTCCTACGCATTTAAATTGATTGGTAAACGATGAGAGTATTATAAAGGAAATTTGTGTGGAAATTGTTATGATTGGATAGGAGAGCGCTTAACGTTTATAGGCTGTAAATAATTATTCGATTATTATATCACAAAGAGATAATGACAATAATACCGTTAAACAATCATTGCTATACTTCGACATATAAATGATTTTTCCTTTTACTAGATATTAAACGCATTATTTGTAAGAAAATACGACCGACCGAACGAGATGTGAACGGATGCAATGTGACAGTGCGAATGATCGCGTGAAATAGTGTGAATTTAAGCGAATTAATGGAGCGACTTTGAAAAGAAAATGAGAAACACGAAAGATAGAAGATGTTACGGTGATACTCATAATGAGGATAAGGAAAATTCAAGAATTCCATTGGAATTAAAGAGGAAGGAAATAACGAAGATTGAGGTTTTATGAAATTAATGTTATTTCGCGTCAAAAGAACAATTATCTCGTCCGTGTTATTGAGACAATTGATGGATATGATATCCGCGAGTTTTCAAGAGATAGTCAATAGGAGAAAGGCTAGAAAAACAAGGCATTTTTGAGAGCATGTCGAGTTTTAAAAAACGACTCTTACCATCGAAATATTGAGGGAAGAGGATTCTTGTGTATGCTGTCATGGCACTGCCCCAGCTAGGATTATCGATGTTATTGCAACTTCCATCAATACTTCGATACTTCGTTTTTGAATCACAACTTGATACGTGCGAGGTCAAGCATTTGTTACCCATTGGTGTGCCCTCTAATTTCAAGGTTGATATATAGCGAGCACATTCTTCCTTAGATAGGCCAAATCTACTGAATACCACATACATAATAAATACAAGATATTAATTATATAAAGATCGTATACCTCCCCTCGTCCCGCTTTAGCATCTATTAATAATTTTTTGAACAATACAAAAGTATACTTAAATCTTTAATTTCACTCAAACTAATTTAGTATTTAATTTTCTCAAATGATATTACCGTTAATTTAATTACCATTCGGTCCAAGTATTTGAATTCATTATATTTGTATGTCAAACAAATTGTTCTTATTTTTATTGTTTTTTTTTTTATTGTTGTTAGTTTTAAAATGGTTCGGAGATTGATTAAATTATGCAAATTTACTGCTTAAAGGATTAAGTTATAATACGTATACAATGATAATATTAAGAAATCACTTACCGTCGACAATTTTGATGAATGAGGTACAAGGAAGCTTTCGTAACCAAAAGTGCATCGATGCCTTTCTCCAAAGCATCTTCTGAAGGATATCCATTGATATATTGTTTACCGGCAACACTATTAGCATCAAATTGAATACCGGCGTTGACAATGTTCTTTTCTAGTGTTCCCAACCGATTTACGAGCGTCTTCGCGAAACTTAAAGATTCATTCAAAGTCGACTCGGTGATCTTGGGATATTGTCGATTTCGAAAAAGACCTGTATCTATGACGCCTTCTGAAGGAATATCTGTAGATGGCAAGCCTGTAAAAATATCTTGAAAAAAACCGATATGTGTAAATATATATTTATGAGAGTAAAAAGTAATTCATATAGAATATGTTTCCTTTATCTCGAAAAATTTGAATATCTAAAAAAAAAATATCTCTTTTTATATCAAAATAACTTGTAAAAAGATTTTATCTATAGACTCAATCTCTCAAGAGATATTCCACTTTTTCAAGATAAAGGAAATATCGCATATATATGTTATCTATAAAATATATTATCTATTTGAAAGAGAAACGATAAAAAATAATATTAAAAGTTTATTTAAAATTTCTGTTTTTTTAACTAATTATTATTGTTTTTTTAAATTTTAATTTTCAATGTGTTCGAAAGTAAATGTGTTTGTAAGCAATCAAACAACCAGGAAGTTAAACAATGTTATTATTAACACGTTGATGCCAAAGCTATAATTTGTATTTTACTGCCTCGTGAGGTTCTATTAATGATATTTTTCTACATTGAAGTATTCTCTGTTAATTAGAAAATTACTTTAATCACTTAAGATTAAAAAAAAAAATATTTTTTATTATCAGTAAAATTGACATCAAAACTATATTGCAATGAACCTCTGATGATACATGCTGGCATCAAGAGATTAAATGAAAAATAAAAATATTTACCAGTGTAGCTGGCAAGATAGTTCTGAAGTGATATGGGTAGTTTATAGGCCTCCATAGAATTGGAATAACCAAGTAGTCCCATAGATTGAAGGGACACCCATAATATCGCCAAAGTTGCCACCGATCCTGCCATTACACCGCCGGCTATCCGAAGAAAATAAGAATTAATGACCATACCACATTGAATTTTCCTCTTTCTATATTCATATCTCTGACTCATTCAGTACAATGACTATTCAACGAAGGAGGTAAAGATGTTTACGAAAAAAAGGTCATCGCGGAGGTTAAACCTGCATTACAAACGGTCTTATGGACGCTGCAAAACACGTTGCACCTCCCTCCCTCTCTTTCTCTCTTTATCTTTTTTTTTCTTTGCAGTTTATTATACGATGACAACAAGATTCAAATGTTATATTGCACAGTCGATTGTATGTCTATATATATATATATATATATATATATATATATATATATATATATATATATAGACATACATATATATATATGTATATATGTATATATATATATATATATATGTTAATATGCAAAACATAAAATAAAATTAATTCTAACAACGCCATATATGTACATTGCTCACAATTTCTTGTAGAATAAGAAAAAAAATTGTTTATGAAAATATTATCAGGTAGTTATTAATTCAGTTAAATGAATATATTATTTCATGGTTATTTGGACCTTACGCTTTGAACTATTTTTTATAGGACTATGTTAAGCAAATTAAATTCGATCGTTGATTGTCGCCTATGACAATAAACAATATTGTTAATTTTTACAAAATAGATATATATCTTCTTCTGAATTACTATATCATTTCATAAATTACTTTGATAAACCTTAAATATTATTTCTATTATTTCGAATAATTATTGAAAAATAGAATTAAAAATAGAAAAGATCAACATTGTTTTTTTAATAGACTTCGTAACTAAATTCTTGTTAATTTTCCGATTATTATTTAACATTCTTATGTAATGTATACATTTACGTTATTATTCAATCTTGAAAAGTACATATACGATCGATGACGAACGATATAGCGTATCGAGGAGGTGTTTATACTTTACAACTGTAAACGTCAAAGTTGCTTTAAAAATTTTTTCTGATTTTAATTTATAATCAAGACGAAGGACAATTTAGCAATACAAACAAACGACGGATGGTTTTCTAAAAAACACACCTCTATGTAGATTGGTAAATCGATAGATTGCTAAACGAGTCATGAATTAGATTAATTCGTTTCCAAATCGCTTTATTTTATAAACGATTATATAGATCATTGAATTTTCGATAATTGTTAAATGACGGCACGTGTGTCACCCTTTTATCGTTCAAAGAATTATACTTTAATTCTAATCCGACCTATAGGATATAAATTTCGTATAATCAAATCGAGTGAATAAGAGTTTAACTTCAAAACATTATAAGAACGTAGCGAAAGATAAAACGATACGACTCGAATGAATGTTATCACGAAAAGGAAACATTATTTTTTTTCTTTTTCTTTCTCGTTTTATCCCGACCTTCGTGAACGTTTCTATGCGAGATATTTATAGAAATGGAGTCGGGGGTCGGTCGGAGGTTCCAGCGCACGTGCAAACATTGAAAGAGCACGGATTTTATGCTCTGACGGCCCGTTAAAATACGCGACAAATATGCGCTCACACATAACAAACTCATCTATTCGTTGTGTCGTGTCGTCGTTCACGCGTTTTGCACGTGCTTCAACGTGACACATTATGTCCAATGATCGTATCTAATTTATACACGACACATACATATGTGTGTATGTGCGTGCGTGCGATGTGTATATATATATTCGTATGCACATCACATATTTGTTTTACATTTTTCATTTGAATAGCGTTCATTTCACCATCATCATAATATTATATTGTTATTGTCATGTTGTGTATATTCTTGTTAATAGAAAAAGAAACTTATTTACCAAGCACAAATTTTTTTATTTAATAAAAAAATGTCAAATGCCGGCTGATAAATAACGCCTAAGTGTTTAAATATTGTGATAACGGATATTCGCAAAAAACAAAAAATACGATAAGATAATTATCAAAAAAGAAAAAGATAGAAGATTGTTATCAAAGCAGGAAATACGAAAGAAAATTATTTATGCATAAATTGTATTCATTTGACTTTTTTTGCTATATGAAGATGTTCGTAAATCTGTCGGTAAAGTCACACGTAGGTATAAGTTATGCTACATTCATGTGAATCCGGCTTTAATCGGGAACACGATACGATGATTTCCGTGCATTCCCGAACGCGTACGAGAGAGATGAAAAACACAACGGCGTATACGCATATGGACGATGACATAGAGTGTCGTAAGAAAGTCAAGCATAGAGAGAAGTGGAAAAGTACCAACGAACACGTAATCTCTCAATGATAATATATAAATGAATGTATCAAATCTTATGGGAATTATAGAAGAAATAAAAATTGTAAAAAATTACTGCAACGTAAAAGGTATTTCTATTGAATTATTTAATTTCTATTAGTCTTATTGACGTTTCGAGAGCAAAAGAAAAAGAAAAAAACATGCCAAACGAGTATGTTGCTTTCTCTTTTTATCACTTGACTCCGTGATAATAAATTCGATATTCGAGAGAGAGAGAGAGAGAAAGAGAGAAAAGGCACTTTCGCGATGAAAAAAAACAATATTGATAGGATATAACGATAATATGTCATACATGAATAGCCCAGTAGAAAGTTTATTAAACATTTTTCATCAATTGAGGACGTACATACATATTACATTACGACAGTCTGCAAGTAAGACATTGAATATAATTGAAGAAACAACAACAACAAAAAATAACCGACTCCTTCGTTTATAAAAATAAAAATAAAAATTCTTAACGATCTTGTTCTTTTTTTTTTTTTTCTCTTATTTTTCTTTAAGGGCAATCATTAACGCGATATATTCATTTGGCAAATAAAATCGAAAGATATATGAGCGTACATATATCACGTAAGAAAAAAAAAAAAAGGAAAGAAAATGGTTACCAGGCACGTATTCCATAGGTTTCTCTAGTCCGTGCATGGCGTAGATCCAACGATTGTCGTTCACAGGTGCGACGAGAAACATTGTCAGTAGTACATCACGATGTAAATATTCGTGACAGTACAAGAAGAAAACTACGATTCTATGAATTCCCTTCCTCACCACTTTTACGATCTCCAGGTTTTCCTTACTTGTCGTATAGTAACGAGAGGACCAAGTACAGAGGAAGTACAGAGAAAGAAAAGGAAAAGGGATTATGAAGCCCTTCTTCGTTGATTTTCTTACTCGATGAGATCGATCGTTAACAAACGCATATACGTTTTTTTTTTCTTTCTTTCTTTTTTTTTTTTTTTTTTTTAAGTGTATTATATGTATCTATATACACATACGCGTTTGCATATATACATACGTGCGTAAAAAATATGTCGCGTCGTCGACAACGTCGGAAAACGTCGATATCGACTGAGAAGAAAAAAGTAAATATATATATATATGTGTATATATATATATATATATATATATATATATATATGATATAAGAAAGAAGTTTGAATAAGTAACCTCACGCCGGCAGAAACGAGAACGTTCGTTCTTTAAGCTGGCGAAGGACGACTGAACGAGTTTTGCTTCGTAGCTCGAGAACGAGCCTCTTTCTCTTATGCCAATGTTCTGTCTCTCTTACATTCAAGCAAACATTCGTTCTCTCTCTCTCTCTCTCTCTGTCTCTCTCTCTCTCTCTCTCTCTGTCTCTCTCTGTCTCTCTCTCTCTCTCTCTCTCTCTTGTACTTCTTAATATACCTGTGCTCCCTACCACGCTAACAATGCGTCTTTCTCTCTCACTCTTTTGATGAAAAACATATCACTCACCGTACGCGTGTTCAGAACCCTCCTTACCCCGCGCAATCCTTTCATAATACCATCGTTTCCAACGCTTCGAAATCTATCGCTATTTTGTTTATCGTCCCTTTCCTCGAAATTTGTTATCTTTGAAATCTCTCTTTTTTTTTCGCGCGAGAATACAATAAAAGTAAATAAACATTCTATTGATCTCACAATTTCGAAGTCGGCTTTTAGTCGAACGGAACCGCTCCAATTCATTTCGAATTTTCCGTTTATATAAGCACTTTTTTTCATTCTTTTTTGATTTCACGTTTTGTTAACATTTGAATTTTTTTCGAAAAACAATCGTTATAATAATTTCAATTTTATTATGGTATTTAATTTATCCATTAGTGATGCAAATACATGTTTGGAATGAATTATTGAGAGACCATGAAAGTTCTCAATTTTCAAAATATTATATTATTTGTAAACCATGACATAAGATAGACACATCTAACACTTCGTTACCTTCATTCAAGGTTTTTCGACGATAATGTTAATTATATTTGTCTTGTTAAAGAATCGAATTAAATAAATGCAATCTATCATCAAATTTTACATGTTTCCATCTATAAAACAGAGCAAATAAAAAAAAAAAATATGTGTGTGTAAAAATAGCGTGAAAAAGAATAAATGGATCGTTATTAATGAGAGCCGCGATTGCTCTCATTCGAAGTCAGAATAAAGAAGGCGCAAGTGAATTACATAAAAGACCACTAGGCGAAAATAGAGCGCTAGTGTTCTACTTGTCTAACGAAAAAAAAATATATCTGTATTGATCGTAAACTTTGAGGAAAAATACAAAATAAATAAACAATAATAACAGATCTATATATGTTATCGTACATTATCTTACCTAGATAAGATTTTTTGAAGTGCTCGATCCGTAGATTATTGTAAAGGAAAGCGAATATATTAATGCCCATCTTTCGTCTTTGCGGGCGAATTTGTAGCAACGTCGGTGTGAAATCAACCAATGGTGGGAGATTCGCCCAAGCACTTTTTATATTATAAAAATAACAACGAATTAACTCACGACTTAGATATCTGGAGTTACCAGATACCGGCCTGATTAATCTCGCCGAATTTCGGTATTTTAATATCAGACAAATTAATCACGATCGAATTTCTATTACGATTACGTTATAGAAGATAGGATAGAGAAATAAATGAATAGAAAAATTGAAAGTAGGTCTGTAATAGATAAGGATAGGTAATCGTCGGGGGCGGATATGGTAAATGAAAGAGGAGGATGAAACGAATGAGAGATAAAATCACGCACTCCTTCGAAAAAAATTCTATTAAGAAGAACACTACATATATTGTAAAATTCAATGAAATTTTAATAATTATTCGAGCTGTATATTATGATAGCAAAAATTTAAATGACGATCGCAGAAACAACATCACAACTTTCTGCTGCTGCCACACTGAACGTTCGTCTGTATATCGACCCTGTTTCCTCTTCCCCCACCCCATCTCGCCTATTCTTAAGTCTTCCAGAAAGCTCGGCATAAGTGCACATGCGCGTTTACCCTTTAAAAAGCGTTACCCTCCTTGTACTATACTAGTGCCTACTGTGAAATTATTATTATATTATATTATAAAATTGCTTATTATCGTCTGCAAATGTAACGTTATATTTGATATTTAATAATAATAGTTCTATTCTGCAATAATTTTCGTAAATGCGCGTTTGTTTTATTCCTATTTGCTTTTCATTTAAACCATCCTTTTTAATATGTTTAACAAGTTCCTTGGATCTGTGTGTGCGCGTATGTATCATTTAGATAAAACATAATTTGCAGTACGCATTGTTGATTTTTATTTTTGTTAAAGTATCGATAATGTTTAATACTAACTATGGAATATCGAAATAAAATTTTTATTATATTTATTATAATTCCTACTTTGGATATTCATTTTATCGAGATGTCAGGATGTATTCATTTAACATTTCTTTTACACGTAACCGAGTGTATTATGTTAAATTGTAAATTGCACACAAATGAGCTATGTTAAATATTCATAGTATGTAGGTGTTAAAATATTTTACATCTGTTGCATTCCTGAAGGTATCGTCAGAAAGTGAAACGTGTTATTCGTCTATCTTACATCTAGCATGTTGATTAGATTTGAATTGATATATAAATATTCCTTCGAAAAAAATCGATATATATATATATATATATATATATATATATATATATATATACATTTAAACGATCACGTTATAATATCGTGATTAATATTTCCTATGATTCATATTTAATAAAATTACGTCAATGTTTCTGGAAACATGGAAAAATAATGAATGATTAAATATGAATATTAAATTTATTATCATTTTTGAGTTCACTTTTAAAATAATCGTATTACGGAATAATATGCAGATATAAATTAATTTCATTTATTAGATATGTGCCTGTGCGATGAGAATACATTTTTCTAATAACCGAAAAATCTTGGAAAAATCTCTAATCGTAAATATAAGAGTTTTTAAGGTTTTTTTAGAGACCTTAATATCGAACCAAATGTCAACAGTTAGTCATGGATTCTCCAAAGCGCAGTAGAATAAGAAATAAACGGGGAACTATGGAGTTAGGAACTGATCGAGGAGGGCCGGTTAAACGAGCACGTGATACCAGCGTGATACCTAACCGTTCCATATCGTTCCATACCGTTCCCCTTCCCCTTTTCCTTCTCCTTTTTCCTTCTTAACTGACGCCATATTTCTGTCTCATTTTCTCTGTTGCTCTCTTATTCTCTCTCTCTCTCTCTCTCTCTCTTACTTTCTCACTCTCTGTCTGTCTCTCTCTCTCTCTCTCTCTCTCTCTCTCTCTCTTTCTTACTTTCTCACTCTCTGTTTGTCTCTGTTTCTCTCTCTCTCTTACTTTCTCATTCTCTGTGTATCTGCATCTCTCTCTTTCTTTCTCTCTCTTCCCCTCTCTTTCTATCTCTTTCTTACCATTTTGCGCTTCCAAGTGTTCTTTGCTCAAGAATTTTATATAAGATAATCGCGTTACGCATTTAATCGTAACGAAATGATTATAATAATATATGTCTTTTTATGATGGCGATTACTTTTCTTTTTCTTTTTTTTTTTTTTTTTTTTTATTATATGACGGAAGAATACGTTATTCGTTCTTCCAGCTTGCACTATTTATAACACATTATTTAAATAGCATAAAGTCGATAGAAATGTTTTCTAACGGTGAATGATTTTTTATGTGTTTTGGTATGTTAGAAATGATTTTTTGCTTTTCGTAGAAGGTACAATAAATGTTCAGCGTTACTTCGTAAACTGTACTTGTAAAATCGTTTAATGAATCAAATCAAAAATTATCCTTAGAACCACCTCGACCAAGCTCAATTAACTTTAATAAGGATTAACTCGATCAGGAGTGCAGCTAACAACAAAACTTTTAACTTTATATTATTGCTAACTTACATTTTTGTGATATCAATAACCATTTGATACATTTTATAAATAATATTGAAATACTATATGTATTTTCTTAATTTATTTTAATTAATATTTTGTTTGTTGTATACTACACATGAAATTTTCAAATAATTATTGATATCATAAAAATATAGATTAAAAACTACATACAATTAATACATTTTTATTGTTTGTTACGATGCTGATCGATTTAATCGTTTTATTAAATTAATTAAAGTTAAATTGTGATCGGTCAAAGCGATCCTTATTAAATTGTCATTTTAAATGTAATAAATTGATTTACATTATATTTCTTAACGTCGAGACGATTAACTTTCGTAAATAATTTATTCTAAATTAGTATGTTATTTTTTATAATATGCATTTTAAATAAAGTAAATTATTTCACATTATATTATATTTCTTAATGCTGACACGATAAATTTCATAATTAATTTATTCGATATTAGTATATCAATTTTTATGTCATAAGCACGTTTTATTTCTAAATTTAATTCTAAATTCGTAATCCTTGAATTGAAGTCTAAATCTATTTCTTATATGAAAATTTATTTTGGAAACAAACGATATTATTTATTTTTTGTGTCAATTGTGTGATTTTGGCGGGTTTTGATTAAGTTATATCGCGCCATCTGTTAATAGAAAATCAAACTTAAAACTCACTGGATAAGAAATACATTGCTTTGATTATTTTGAAAAAAAATTTTTAAAGATTCTAAATTTGAAAAAAAAAGAAACTGTTTACAAAAGTGATCCGTAATTTAAAAAAATCGATGACATTTCATTAATATTCATACGTTCTTTGAACAAAGATAACGATTTAACAGAGAAAATGTCAATGACCGTCGACGATGCATCGTATAATATTTTATCGAACATACATACAAAGATTCTTTGCTTTGTTTATCTGGAGATAAAGGAAATGGACAAGAATATCGCTTCGTTTGGTTTCATTTACAAGTAATAAATGTATACGGTGAAGGTGAAAATAAAAAAATATTTTTAAATAATAAATCTTACTGAAATTGTACTTACATATTACGTTGAAAAGATAATTTTGTTCGTTCCAACTCGATATGATGACTGTTTCAATCAATTTACACGAGCTTCTTAAATATTAACATATATCGTGTAAATATATACACATGAGTATAACTGTCAAAGATTATAATAATGTTTTTCTGTCTTCGAACAAAGATTTATAATAGCAGTTCGGACCTCTTTCATCGTTGGATTCCAGCTTTCGACTGTCGATTCGATCAAGCGACCGGATTTAATATCCAAGAAGCCACCATCGGACGGTCTTTTTTTTTCTTTATCTTCTCTTCTATTTTCTCTCTTTTGCCATCGATCCAGTGTCATCGTGGGTCATTCCTTGTTCCAGATTAGTTTTATCTCCGACTGCCACGCTCATTTGCTTTACATAAACTTTACTTGAGAAATCTAGTAGCTACGAATATTTTTTCTTCATGTGCACGAACGCGTTGAACTTTAGAAAAGTTCATGTCTGATAGATAGGCAATAACAAAAAAGAAAAAAAGAGAAAGTTGAAAAATTCTTTAGACGCGTGCTCAATCAACGATCATCGAGTTCTATCGTTCGATGACCGTCCGAAAGACAAAGAGAGAAAAAGAGCGAGGAAAAGAGAATCAATGAATATTGAGAGACTCTTAGGGCCATTTCGATCATTCTCGATTGACTTTAATTAACGTATAATTCAATCAATAGTGTAATAAACATTCAAACTTTTGATTGTATGGCGTATTTAACCTATATTTTCGTGATATCAATAACCATTTAAAAATGTTATATATAGTACGGAACAAACAGAATATTAACTAAAATGAGTTAATAGATATATATATATATATATATATATATATATATATTCTATTAACTCACGTATATATATATACATATATATATCATATATATATCACATATATATATAGTATATATATATATACATGTTTCTATACTACATAAAAAATATTTTATATTTTTATGTTTTTTAGTACGTTTATGTTCATTTTTTTTTTCATTTAATGATACGATATTACAGAAATCAACTCTTTTGAAATAAACTCCTCTTTGGAGATACGATATTAAAAAAAACTCCTATTTGATGATGTCAGTCTTTTGCGTTTTCATTTTTTTCGTTATCTACGCAGTCACTTTGAAAATTTAAAAAAAAATATTATTTTTTATTATTTTTCGCTCGACCGATCTTAAATATGAAGGAATTAAAAAATATATATTTCTAAATACTAACCTATGATAGATTATCCAATTTATTTTTTATTCACTCACTTGTCTTATTATTTATGTATATATATATTTTTTGTACAAATCTACTAGGCATATAAAAAAAAAAACAATACAATCTCACGTTTTGAACTCGTTTTGAACAAGAAAAATTTTTTCGGTGAAATAGATTGTAAAGCATAAGCACGATCGAAGTTGTATATTTTCTCATTAAATTAAAGTTAAAAATGTCTATTAAAGATGCTGACGAGGATGATAATGATTATCGTGACACTGTGGTCTGCAAAGAAGATGAAATGAAGAACGAGAATTTTATCTACAATGATTTGCTCGTAAGAGCGTTAGTCCAATTGTTCCCACGAGAAGGTTAAATCTTATTTTATTTTTTCACGTATACATTGATTTCGAAGAAAGTGTAAGAGCTTTTAATGAGAACTCAATAACGTTATGTACTGCTACTTGACGTGTTTACCAAAGAGGTTACGTGTCAAAGAGGACATGCTGATCTGCTTTCGATCTCATTATCAATTTATTCTGGGAACAAGTAATCAGGGTCAAAGTATATAAGTCAGGATCAATCTGAATGTTTTTACAATCATATAATGCGAAGAAATTTAACAGTTACAATTACAGATCAATAATTACGATTAGAGTTAGATTGTAAATAGAATTATTGTATCAAAGAGTATATATATATATATATAGTATAACATATCTCTAGTATAGTATATATATATAATATAACTCATCTCTAGATCTATTATAATTTTGTTCAGAAAATCAGGGTCAATTAAATGTATAAATAAATGCAAGTCATCATGGCCAAAGTACAAGTTCGCATCGATCTCAAAAAATTTTCATAATATAACGCGTAAAGCAATTTGGCTAAAAAATATATATATATATATATATATATATATATATATATACATGAGATCATATATATTTATAGATACGTAAATAAAATTAAAATTAAAATTCAATATTATGATAAGGATTTTCGTAAGATTTTTTTTTTGTTTTTATTTTTTCTTTATATATTTAAATTAATCAAAAATCTATTAATACTTTAACAATAATATATAGATTATTAATGCAATAAGATATTTTGATTTAATAATAAAAATAAGATGATTCAACGCACTACTTATTCTTATTTACAAAGTCGTTTGAATCGTAGCTCGTTGAATCATTTGCATCTTATTATTCACTGATACGACGTCACAATTCGTTATAAACATTTAATCGTCTTTACGGCTGACAGAAAGATCACTTATACATTTATGGCTGGAGAAATTAAAGAATATCCACACAGACAATACGGAGGAGCTTTCCAATCGTAATAATTATATGTGGTTGTTGCTCTTTGTTTTACAAAATGGTAACTTAATCGAGCCATTCGATGAACCACCACCTATCGATGAATTGCCTCCAATCTCTGATATCGTGGCAAGTAACTTTCATTAATCGTATAGGATTATAGTGGATAATATGCATAACAATTAATGTTCATTTCTTAATCTATTATTAGATTAGATATAAATATGTTTCATTTATATGTAACTCACGTGAAATGTTACGAAGTTTTGTCAAAATGCATGAGAAATATTTTTAATTTCATTCAAAACAAACACGTTAAAATATATCACTTTTTATCGAATATCTATTGATAATATATCATTTGTTAAATAACTTATGATTAAAATTTTGTATTTTTTAAAGATTTAAAGAATATTCAAATGATCAAAATGTAATCTTAAGTTTCAATCGAAATCTAAATCATTCAAAGAAAAAATGATAAATAAATTGGCATTATTTAATTTATGTTAAATAGTATTTTTCTAATCAATGAGATTGCCATAATTCAATTCATTTTTCAATTGAACGATTAATACTTGTGATAAACAGAGATAAAATTGAAAATTTTTAAATTAGTTATGGCCAAAACAGTTTATTACATTTATTAATCATTCTGTACCTACATATATATATATATATATCTTACGTGCAACATCGTTCGTATATACAGTTATACATAAATAGTTTATATAAAACTTACTTTTTTTATAAATGCAAAAATAAGTTTAACCTTCTCTATTGATATGGATTTAAATATTTAACGTTTGAACTCGTATTTCTTGTTAGACTGGTAATTAATATATAATATCGATCGATATCCAATTAGCCGGCGCAAATGATCGAAGAATTGATATCGTTGCCGGACATAAATTTCCCTCAAACCAACTGGATCATTTCTGATACGAATGTGATGGACATGAAGGAAGCTCATTCTACTGGTATGCCACCTCACAAATTTCTAGAATATCAGCCTCGTCCCGTTAACGGAATATCCTGCTATTTTTCAATATTCAGCAAACCTTCTTAAAGGAAGAAGCTTTCTTTTTTCAAGCACAGCCATAAATTATGATCAATTGAATGTATTATCAAGGAAACGTAAACTAGATACTTACTCACGTAAATAAATTCATTAATAATGTAAAACCTTTAGAGATACATATCGATAAGCAAACTAGTTTTTGTAAGTTTTTCATTTTTTTCTTAGATCACGAAGTAAATCTGTTTTTTTCTTTTTTTTTTTAATAAACGTAAGAAACGCAATGAATGAGAATGAAATCGTACAGAGCGAACAAGTGTGATCATCAGAGAGCTATGCGCAAATAACAAATAATTAATCATTTTAATGTATTATTTATTTGCTTAGAATACTTTAAGTAAACGATTGTTATAGCTATTGAATAAATAAATATTGAAACAGAAGTAATGGGAAAATTATATCATGATTTTTTTTTTACGAAATTTAATACAAAAATTAAATAATATGATATATGTTATAAGGATTTAACACATGCATTTAAGGATTAATAAATTGCAAATTATTTTTAATAAATTAATAAAATGCGACAAATGATCGAGTAGTTTCAAGTTTTTAACACATTTTATAATTTATAATATTTTATAAGAATAAGTTTATACGGAATTTACAATATCAAGAGAGTATACAATCGATGATTTAATTTATAAACTTTGAATGGTAATTCTCAGGGTGTGGTAAACGGTATTTTTATTTGATAATGATAGAAAAAAGGGAAAAAAGAAATGTACACGGATGATGCAAGACTCGTTTTATGTATACAACATCTGTTTATTTATTTTTTATAAAGTCTTAATTATAATCCTGCAATACGTAATTATATCCTTCGTACGAGACAAGAAAATTTATAGAAATATAATATATACGATTCTTAATATTATTTATCTCACGACCTATTAAAAACAATAGAAGTAAGAAAACCGTCAATGAAAATATTGGAATTTTCGAATGCGCGAAGTCATAGACATTATGACGATAAACTTAAAAGAAAATTTAATTCGTACGAATTTAATTACCTTTGAAAAAGTTCAAATCGATATACACTGCAACTTTGTCACGTTGCAGCATTTATAATGAAGAATTTATAAATTTTCCGTTACCCCTTCCAACTTTCAAAACATTCGAGATAAACGTTACTCGATGAATGTGACACGGACGGTGAATCATCATTGATATATCACGATTATGGTATAATTTTATAAATTTTTGTTCATGATTATCACTTTCTCTTTCTCTCTCTCTCTCTCTCTCTCTCTCTCTCTCTTTCTCCCTTTCTTTCTCTCTCTCTCTCTCTTTCTCCCTTTCTTTCTCTCTCTCTCTCTCTCTCTCTCTCTCTTTCTCCCTTTCTTTCTCTCTCTCTCTCTCTTTCTTTTTCTCTTTCTCTCTCTCTTTTTTTTTCACTTCTATCCGGTCATTCAATTGACAGTTTACCGTAGATATTTTTAAATTTCATAGAACAAATAATAAACGTTTCTTTGTTTGATATATTTCGAGTGACAAGGATTTTTCTAAATGGACATATTATAATTAAAGAAATTAATACGAATTTTATATTTCAATAAGTCACTTGGATAGTCACTAATCAATATTTTATAAACAACATATTGAAGGATGCTAAATAACAAGAGATGTGAATAATTCAGAACGGAAATTCACAGATAGGTTGTGACTCATTACACTCGTGACTTCTTCATATACACCAAAAGTGTTGTCAATTTCAAAAAGATCTACTACCAAATTTGTATGATTCGTACCTTTCTCTTAACATCTTCTCTTCTTTTTTTTTTTTTTTGAGAATATTTATATGTCTTTGCTTTGACGATATGACAGTAGAGAAACAAACTTTGGAAATTTACCGTTGTATTCGGAATTTTTCTTTCGCTTTGTATCTTCATGAACTTAATGAAACGTAAGAAAACGTATAGTGAATTTTTTTTTTCTATCTTTTGTATTTTCACGAACAACGCTAATAGAATTCTTTAAAATAGAAAAGAACGCTATAATTATTTCTCTCTCTCTCTCTCTCTCTCTCTCTCTTTCTCTCTCTTTCTCTCTTTTATTCGAAGGAGTAATTTCAATGTGAAAATTAAGATAATTAGGATTTGAAAATGAATTCCACGTAATCTCGAATTCTTTGTATATTTTCCGTGCTCTAACGGTGATTACATGAGTTCGTATGAAGGTATATAATATCATAATTAGAAAAGAAATGATGATTAGTAATTGTAATTGCTAATTGATTGAACATATGATTCTATTATTAATTTTATATGATTTTAATATTAAGTTAGGACAGAATTAATGTAATTATATTCCTTTTTAAAGTAAATAGGATAAAAATCAGTATGGTCTTCTTTTTTCTTCTTTTTTCTTTTTTTTTTTTTTTATTACTGCTGTTGATGTATTATCGTCAACATCTGAAATAATAAAATGTTTTTCTTTTCTTCATATTTTTCTCTCAATTTCTTCAAATAACGATCAAAAATATTTATCGGACTTGTAGTTTCGTCATCGACGAAACTAACGAAAATTAATCTATCGATTATATCTTTTATAAAAGAGAATGGATTTACTCGCTAACATGGAAAAATACCAGGTTATCTCTGCTGTTATTTATGGGCTTTGGGATGCGTGAAAGAGTTTAGTTTGTTCTCCCGGCATGTGTACAAAAGTTACGCAAAATCTCCTAACATTTCTCCACAGGCGTCTGTCTACCTTTCGTGAGCAGATAGATAACTTCAGGGTAAATCATTTTTCGGGACATTCGCGAGTGCCACTTTGTTCTTTTTTTATTTTTTTTTTGTTTTGTTTTTTTTTATTCTTTTCTCTTCTCGAAGAAAAGAGAGAAAGAGAGAGAGGGAGAGAGAGAGAGAGAAAATTCTTGACACTTCACCCTCAAAAACGCTGATTTCTGTAAGGAAACGGGAATACACACATGAATGCTAAACGTAAGTTATGACAAATGTAAATATAAGGTCAATCAAAAAGTTTTGTCTGTTTAGTAAACAATTTGTCTTTCTTTAAAATTTTATTCTCTTTCCTTCCGTTTTTTTTTTGTATATTATTTTTTAATATAAAAATGGGCAGAACTTTTCGATAGTCTTAATATTTAAAAATATTTCAAAATATTCTTGTTTTTTTCTTCTTTTTCTTTTTTATATAGATTATCTACATTTTTTTTTTCAATTTCTCAATCGTTTCTTGATCGTCACTTCGTAAGAAAGGTATTTTGTTTTCTCAATGCCAAATGATGTTTAAAACTGCTTGTCATCATATTTTTGAAAACATCCTATCACGGAATGAGATTGCGTGATCTTTTAATAAATACTGAACAATGTAACGAGAGCCTTTGCTTTTCCGTATATACTTTTATGGGGACAAGTCGAGGGGAATTAATCAGATTACTTTAAATTTTTTAGAAAGAAAAAGAAAAACAATTAATCAATGTGAGTACATATATACAGGATGTTACAAAACTGTGAAGGGTATATAGGAATGCCAATTCAAATATTTTCTGTTAATCAGTTGTCAAGTTTGTGTCTGTATGAGCAATGTAACTAATTTGTTTTGTTATTGCATTCAATACCTCTATCAAGTCTTCAGTATTACTCGCCACGAGTTGCCGAAAAAAAATATCACGATTTATGTATTATTATTATGCAGTTTTGAAAAATACTGTACGTGTGTATATATATATATATATATATATATATATATATATATATATATATATGCTGTAAACTCGCGAAGAAGCGTTAATAGAACTTTATTAAAACTATTAACGACTACATTCAATCCGGTTTCCCGATAATCTATTTAGTTGGAAGCGTTTACTCGACACGTCTTTCCTAATTAGGCTCCCGCTAAATAAAACAGCTTGTCGTAATTTGTAAATCAATTCTAGGTGCCTGAAAACAGCCTATTTCTGTCCAAGCATCCTCAGAATATGCCTAGATTAATTCGCAACGATATATGCGAAATCAGATTGAAAAATTATTTTAAAGATTAAATAAATGTAATTATCGCATACGTATTCAATTTACAGATGATAATAATAATCGATAGATTTAAAAGTGCATATTTGTCAGCTTGTAACGACGTTCGACATTTACATCGAAAATTCTTTGCTTCATTATTTGTTGCTACTTTATTTGTGTAATTGTAAGTTATGTAATATCTCAAGGACGGAAAAATATTTATTTGAATTTTTGATGTATCATATATCGGAACGATACATTAGAAATCCTATTCAAAAAATCTTTTGACAAATTTTTTTTTCAGGATCATTAAAGAAAATCAATACTGTAAATAATTTCATTCTTTTTCATTTGAAAGAAAAATAATCATTCCGATGATATATTAAAAAAATATTACAATTAATATAAGTGAAAAAAAGAAAGAAATATGAGGAAGACCTGAAAAAGATATAAAAAATATTAAAAGAAACCTCATACACAAATCCTATGCACAAGTATGCGCTTGTATGCATAATCATTTTCAGGTCACACGAAGTCGTTCTTTAGGTGGATGACTTAAGAATTATATTTGAATAATTACGTTAGCATCTAGTTTCATTGACAACAAGTTAAGATAATTTTAGGTCTCCTTCAGAAATAAAATGTATTGAATATGTATGATATTTGTATATATAATACATGTAAAAACATATATATAAATATATGCATATACATTTGATTATCATTAGAATTATTAACCTTAGAACATTTAGATTAATTTTTTATTTTACTTTCCGTTAAAACCTACGTAACATATCAATAATTATTCAAACGGATTGCCGCAGATCGATTTTTGAGCGAAACTGAAATGTAATATATGTAGAAATAATTAAATTAATAATTTCGGCGCAAATTTTTTAACATTTCGAAATTATCCTTTATAATCTTTGATGGTTTATAATGATTTTATAATCACATATTCAATAGAATCATTTGAATAACATGTATTTATTCATTTTTTTTCTCGATTCTTCGGGAAATTACGTGTGGGTGGAATAGCAGACAGAGAGAGAGAGAGAGAGAGAGAGAGAAAGAGAAAGAGAGAGAGAGATTGATTCTTCCCTCTTCGATTCCATATTATTTCACTAACCTGTTCTCAACCCCACCGTTTACCATCTTCGATACCAAGATTGCTTATTGTCAGTTGCTTTTGCTCGAGTATGCTTTTAATGTGAAATCAACAGTTTGACTGACATGTTCACAGGAAAGCGCTGATACATTTGGACGTTCAGTATCCTTCCGTCTTCCGTCTATCTGTCTTTCTCTTTCTCTTTCTCTTTCTCTTTCTCTTTCTCTTTCTCTTTCTCTTTCTCTCCCTTCCTTTTTCTTTTTTCTCCACTTTTTTAATCTTTGTTCTTCTTTTTATGTTCTCGTACAAACCTCTCTTCATGAACAAGTTTTTTGTTGTTCATGAGAAATAAGAAAGAAAAAGAGAAGAAGATAATCGAAAAGTTGAGAAAAACATTGTGTTATCTCTCTCTGTTTTTTAATCTATCGTGACAATAGAACGACGTTTAAAAAAAAAAGCAGAAGAGGATCAGAGTGATATTCGTACAAAAGGATATATTTAATGACTTCAGTAGTACAGCCCAAAGGCAAGTGTTATTCATTTCATCTTTCTTTAGCACTTTATGTTGTATGTAACTATAACAGCACCATTAAAGTTTGACAAAACAATTAGATTTGAATACAACTAAAGTTTATGCAGATTATGACATATATATATATATATATATATAGATATAAATCTAATTGATTTTTGGCGATATAGGCATTTAGGCAAATGACGGCTATAGCCGTCTTGCACATGACGACTGACGCTCAATTTCATATGGCAGTCATAAACAATTGAAAAAAAAAACATGTGTTTCTGAGCACGATTGTCAAATTAAAAGTGTGCGGCAATGTGTTAAATATTTTTATATTGGAAAAAAAATATATGTATAATTTATAATATACATGCTTGTTATCTGTGTATAAGCACGTTTATTTCTATTTCACAATTTCGTTTAATGATACGGAAATAAGTGTACATAGAAAATATAAGTATTTTCAAATAGCTTCTTTCCGTTCTTAGAAACAAATTTCAATTGTTCTCACTATCTAATTTTCACTCGGCGCGTCATGGCACTTACATCGTGAAGCGAGTTTATTCAGTGATTCAAAAGTACGAAGTCAACGTGAAATCCTGTTTATCTCATCAGTTCGAATATTTTGAGAAGACGTCACGTATGTTTAGAATCACGAGTAAATTTATTTCATTACGGCTTCTAACTTCGAAACCAGAGGAATACCTTTCTATTTCACATTTTCGTAATTTTCAATTTTCCATCATATGTGAAATTTTAAACTTATTCTTAGAAAAATAAGAAATATAATAGACATTGTTATTATATTTATATATAGTAAGAATATAATTTCTTATACTGCTTCGTTTACTTCTTAACAAATTACATGTTTATTACTCATTATTATACGCAAAACGTTTAGAATTAGAGACAATTTCCTTGAAAATTTTACAATGTTTTTTTAATTAATAACAAAAAAAAGTGGAAATATAAAACATACGAAATATTTTCTTTTGTGATGTTTTTAGACGAATCTTAAAAGTGACTTTGTGAGTGTGTGTATGTATCTGTGATTTTTTTTAAGCTTTTTTATTATCGTAGAAAGAATTCTACGAACTGAAAAAGTAAATATCTTTGTTCATTACGATAATAATGATTTACTTTGAGAAGATGTATAAGGAATATGTAAAAAATAATAATTAATGATTAGTTACATTTCATGAGAAATTAATTATGTTGTCTAATAATAATAATATAATAAATTTTGCAGCTTTCGTGTATTTTCAAATATTTTTAATCAAATTTCATTACATTATCTGTAATAATTTAGAATTTTCTTAATCTTTCATTATTTGACGAACGAAAAAAATTGGCACATAAATATATATATATATATTTATGTGCCAATAAAAATAAAATGCAGATAAAAATATTAAAAAAAATTGTGACTCATGAAGAATTACAAGATAATACTAATTATTTACTACAACTGATATTTCATTTATCATTCAAAGTGCTTGTCATTTTATTTAAATATAAGCATTTCACGAAACGTTAAGCGTAAATTATTCATTTTCTCAATAGTATTGTGTTAAATTATTTAAAAAGTGGGCACAATTTAATGCTTCTTCTCTGTCAAATTTTATTTAAAGAAGATATAATAATCCTTGATTCATTGAAATAGTGAGAACTACGATAGTTATTCGTAAAGAATTACAAAAAGAGCAGACTTCTTCGTGCCTCAGAAAATATCTGCAAAAGAAGACAATGATTGTTAACGGTGAGATGAGTTCATACGTATTGAAACTAACGGCATAGTAAATATTGATGTATTTACATTACGAATAAATTAATCGAACAAAAACAGGTTCTAGAGATCGTAAGTACGTTCTAGGACGATTCCCTTTCCTTTTCTATTACAGAATCACTTCAGTCAACCGCGATTCTTGTCGAGTTTATCTTGCACGGTCTATATCTATCTATCAAAATCTCTTTTAAGAAATCACTTTTAACCATTCTTTTTAAATCTTTTAAAAATTCAAAATCGCATATTGAATGTACTGAAGAGTGAATGAAAGTGGGAGAGCGAGAGAGAGTGCGAGAGAGAGAGAGAGAGAGAGAGAGAGAGAAAGAAAGAAACAAAGGGATAAAAAGAGAAAAATAGATAGATAGAGATATAGAGAGAGAAAGAGAGAGAGAAAAGAGAGAGAGAGAGAGAGAGAGAGAGAGAGAAAGAGAAAGAGAATTAATGAAAATCTGAAATGGTGTGCGAAATAGAAAAATGAAAGAGAAATAGACGAACAATTAAATTTGAAATAGTTACAAAGAAGTCTGAATAATTAATGTTTTTTCAATTAGTGACAAAATTTATTTGTTTACCGTTGAAAAAGGATTCGACGGAATTGAAACAGAAAAGAAAAGGAAAGATTAATTTTATCCGTGTTCATTGTGCTTGCTGGGAAAGACAATATCCGGAATATATTTATTTCATGTAAAACAAAAATACTGTGATTGGTGTGTCAAATTGTGCTATATACTATATTCGGTAGTGAAGTTAATTATATCGTGCGAATATAAGTATTGTGTGTATTTTTTTTTATTAATGAACGAATGGAATTTCATTCTGTATATAAGCACTTGATAGATTAATGGAATTTTAAAAATCACGATTTGGTGAACTTTAATTTCTTTATCTCTCTCTCTTTCTCTCTCTCTCTCTCTCTTTCTCTTTCTTCTTTTATCCTTTTTCTGTTTTATTTTGCTGTATCGAATGATTGATATTTTCGTGAAATTTCTTGAAATTTCGATAAGACATTGAGCTTATGTAAGACATGAAATGTTGTGAATTCTACAGAAAATTTGTATCGTCTAAACGATTCATTAGTGAGTGAAAAATTTGTATTTCGGCCGTGCGAGAGGAAGACAATGGTTTTTAAACGGATTTTCCAAATGTTCTCGATATTTTATTACAAACGCATGCGTTGTAGTAGGTGTTTTGTTTTTTATACAAACGATTCATATATTTATTTATTAACACTAGAAATCTATTTTTTTTTATCTTTGTCAATTTGACAAAGTACCTGAAAAAAAAAAATTTCTTTTAATGAAATTATTATTAAATTTTGCGGTTAACACTTAATGAGCAATACAGTTAACCTTTCTCTAATAATTATAAATAATCTTATTATTTATAAATAATAATAATATAAATTATAATTATAAATAATTTTTAAAGTAGAAGTTAAATATCTGTCATTTTGACAGATTTAGTCCTTCTGTAGTGTTAATTACTTTTTTTTTTTATTACATTATTTCTTAATTGCAATTGTGAAGAGTCATTTTGAAGAAGAATACTTTTAACACGAATTTTTTGTTTCTTATTTATCAAGTATACATTTCTTTATTGTCCTTTTTTTTTCCTCTTCCTTTACTACATTATGCCCGTTCATCTGTTTCTAACTTGAAGGTGAGGACGTGAAGTCTGCGGATTCTGGACCAGCAGATTTTGAACGTGCGATATGCTCATCAGGTAGGTATACAAACGTTGTATCTTGCAACTTATGTATCTTTCTTCATAGTTGTTATCTTCGACCTAAACGCTCTTTCTCTTGTATAAGATTCTCTTGAATCTTTCGGAGAAACATATAATCATATACACTTACACGTAATCATAAAAGAAAAACGTATAACTAACAAGAGACTGTACGAAAGTATAGTAATCAACCATTATTCCAACCGTGTCTTTATTTCTATTTCTTTTTTTCTTTTTGTTTTTCTTTCTTTTCTCTTTTCTTTTTTTTACAAATTTTTTTTCTCTTCTATTTTCTTTTCTTCGATCTATCATTCGCGAATAATCGAAGAATCGCACGTAACATTTGATAACATATTCTCATTATTTATCGAATTCTTAGGTTATGGAAAGTTCAATTATTTATTACTGCTGGCTGTACTGCCGGCCAGTTGTGCCAGCATATTTTCATCTTCGTCGACAGCCTATGTTCTACCGTCAGCCGAATGTGATCTTGAACTCACCATGTTTGACAAGGGCCTGCTCAATTCCATGTCCTTTGCAGGTGGTACACAAACGAACGTAGTTCGTTTTTTAATTAGAAAAACTAAATTTTATATTCGAAGGATGACAAATAATAAATATATTTATATTGTTTTGATCAGTATCATTGTTTCTAGGTATGATCAGTACTAACTTTCTATGGGGATTCATGGCTGACACGTTTGGACGCAAAAGGATAATGTTTTACGGATATATGCTCACCGGTTTTATCACATTGGCTACGTGTTTCTCGCACACATCTTGGCTATTAATACTTATCAAATTTTTCGAAGGATCGATGTAAGTCGACAATAGACCGCAGACAAATCTACGGATCCGTCTGTATTTTCTTTTCTTTTTAATTTTGTTAATCAATAAAATTTCATGCACGTAATGACAATTGAACTTTCAATTGAATTCTATCATCAATCATTTTCCACGAATTGTTTGACAATTGTTTAGGATGAACTGTGATTTATCTTTTACCAAGGTAACGAACGTTTTCGTTATTGGCAAAAAGTTCGAGTTGGTGAGTTGACGAGGCAGCTATATTTAATCGTCACTTTTCAATTTTTTAGTTAGCGCTTGATTAACTCACCAGTACGTTGAACTTTATTCGACTCGGTTAATGATACGGGCATAGAAGATAATATTTTTTGGAAACCGTAAAACGTTTCATTTTTTGTTCATAATAACGGAATTGTGAGAACTTTCGAACAAGAAAGTTCTTATAGAATTTCAATTATCAATACAGATAAAGATTTTTATCTGTTCAAGACCCTTGAAATGTTTTCAATTATTTATTCAATTTTTAATCCTATCGTCCGTTATTTGCAGCATATCTGGTCCTTATGCAGCGTTGATGTCTTATCTGGCGGAAGTACACGATGAGAATCATCGTTCACGTACTTACATGTGGTTGGGTGTTTTTTTCTCACTTGGAAACATTTCCTTGCCGTGTAAGTAATCGAAATATAAAATAAAAAAAAAAAGAAAAAAAAAATAAAAAGAAAAAGAAAAAAGAGAGAGAAAAATTAAAATCTCTGAAGATTAATATATGCATATGTATATGTTATTCAATATTTTTAGTTTTTTTTTATTCATAACATTCTAATTACTCTTATTTAATTAAAAAACGATAATAATAATTATTTGATTATTTTTTTTTTGCAGGTATAGCATGGCTAATTATACCACAAAAATGGAATTGGAGTCTCTTAAATGGCTTAATTGAAATTAAATCCTGGAGAGTTTTTTTGGCAATTTGCTCTTTTCCAGCTTTTTTGGCATGTATAACAATTTTTTTCTTTCCTGAAAGTCCACGATTTCTTCTATTGAAAGGTCGTCGTGAAGAAGCTCTCGCAATCTTTCAGAAAATATATTCAGTCAACACTGGAAAGCCAGCAGATACTTATCTGGTATGTTATCAAGATTTAATTATGAAAAATATTTCGAATTTAACTATTACGTAAAGAACATCTATCGTATTAAAATAATTTGAAATTATTTGTGAGTTAATTATAAGTCAATTATAAGCTATTTTATTTTTTATTTTATTAAAGTTTTTATCACTTTTCATTATCTTCGATATGTTATCTATTTTAGTCTCAAGTAAATATACGTAAAAAGATTTTTTAAGTTATTAAAATTACCAAATTTTATAGCCATTCAAAAATATTAATAATACTTATGTAATATCGTAATGCACATTCCTATTTTATATCTTTAAAACAGTACAATTGATCGAAATGATATTATTTTATTTTCTAGAGGAAACTCTAAAAAAATTGCAGTATATTCCTTGAAATTATCATTCTATTCAATTACTTATCACGTTTAAAGAATACTCATACATTATGAAGTGTGTGCTGAAATATGAAAGTTAAAAACAATGTACTATAATTTTTGCATACACTTCGATTTTATCCGATTTTTTCTTTCATATTTTATATAATAAGTATAACTTCTGTAATTTTTACAATTTTTAATAATCTTTGCCTGTAGTTCTTTTAAAAATAAAATATTACGATATTTGACTTTATATTAAAGACAGAAAGATTATTTTAAAAAGTAATATATTTTGTATGGAATGATAGGTATGTTTTCCTTAAAACGCGTTACATCGTTTAAAAAACGTATATATAAGTTAAAATTATCAGTAATCATATGAGATTATTATCTTTCGCTCATATGAGATTATTATCATTTCATCATATATCTTTCGTTTAATTCTTTATTCAAATTCTTGGTTATTCGATAGATAAAGGACTTAGAGGACGAATACTCCATAAAATTACCGGGTGATAAATGGAAAGAGAAAATACTGTCATCTTGGAAACAAATCAAGCCATTATTTTTACCTCCAAACGTGTTTAATCTCGTAGTTATATCTTTGATTCAACTTGGAGCAACGATAGGGTAAATAAAAAGATAATTTTTCTTCGAGATAAGAATTATTTTAAATGTAAATTCATTTAACCTTAACTCGATTTCTTAATCTCCTTAAAAATTTTTTCGACGAATGATTTCTCTTTTATAATCAGATCAGCTAAAAGAATTTAAATCAAAATTGAAATAATTAATAATTAATTAATAAATGTAACCAATAACTATATTGAAAATAATACTTCAATATAATAAAAATAATTAATAAGTAATTAATCAATTAATTATTTTAACGCAGATCGAATTCTTTGAGATTATGGATGCCACAATTATTTTCTCTGATAGAAAGTTACAAAGTCAATCACGTACTAAAAGATCAAATGGGTTCTCAACCATCCTTCTGTTACATGTTGAACAGTCCAGAAAAGAGTAATGATAATGTTACAGTAATTGTGAACTCTACTGCCGAGGCCGTCGTCGCGTGTGTTTCGGTATTTTTTACATAAATAATTGAATAATTAATTAAATGGATAAGATGGATCGGGTGATCACTTAATCTTTTCTTTTTTATTTCCTCAGACAGAACTAAATTCGACAGTCTTCGTTAATTCTATAGTCATCGCTCTTACTGGTGTCATTGGCTACACTTTGGCTGGCACGTTGATAACTGTCGTTGGGAAGAAAAAATTAATGGGTATTTAAATAGAAAAAAATATTATGTTAATTCACATAGTAACTCTTCTCTTGATAATGCAGATTAATTAATACGATTCAAAATATTATTGGTTCTTTAATTAAGTATATTTTGATATAATTTTGTATGCTTCTCGAATGACATACAACGTACGTTAATAGTTACGTATATAATTTTTTTGAATTATTCATTATTTATGAAATGATTAATTTGATTTCTTTAATTGAGGTTATCTCTGACGTTCGTTCGTTGGAATTCACGATTCGTGCAATAAACTCTCTCCTCTTGGTGATGCTAATTTGTAACGTTTTCAGGAGATAAATGTTTTTCTCTTTGAATTCTTAATTTATCGAAGAAAAATGACTCGAAAGTTCCAGAATAACAAAGTGGAATTAAGCGGTAAAATAATTCTTTCGTTTTAGCAATATGTTTCCTCGTGGCAGCATCTTGTTGCGGATCTCTTTATTGGGCGGATGATACAAATGGAATATTGGGATTATCATCTGTATTTGTAGCAATGTCGAGTATCGGTGGTGCCACAGTAGTTAATATCATCGTCGACAATTTTCCAACTTGTCTTAGGTAAATATACGAGTTAAGAATGTCAAATGATTTTATTTATTGTTTTAAGATTATTATTAATCAATTATATCTATTTTTCAAATGTTTGTAATATTAAATATCACGCCTAAAGAAGTGCAAGACTCTTTGCTTCATCGATAATGTTGTTAATGAATGTTTTTTAAAACACTTATTCGATCAATTATCAGGATTTAATTGTGAAAAATAAGTTTTATACGTTTGTAAGGTGATAATGAAATCTCTCATGATAGATAAACCATCTTAATACGATTATAATAAAAAAACTTTCTTATATGAAGTGTTGCATATCGTCAGGCGTTTAGAAAAAAATTTTTCTTTTACTCATTACTGTTCGCAAATGACATTATCGGCAAAATACGAAATGTTACCTATCTGCAGGCACCATATTTTTTATTCATATAATGAAAAAATTACAATTATTATAATACTTGTCTTTTCAGAACTATGGCAGTTAGTACAGCCATGACGATGGGAAGATGTGGTGCAGTGATTGGCAATCTTTTGTTCCCAGTTCTATTTGGACTGTCTTGTTTAGGACCATTCATTATGATTGGTTCGGCTTGTTTGTGTGAGTATAAAAAAATGATTTCATTCACGAAAAATTGAATTCTTGAAAAAAAAAAAAGAAAAACAATTAGTTTAAATACATTCCAAAATATATATCCGAAAATTTATTTTCAGTCGCTGCTGCATTGGTCATCCTATTACCTCAAAAACCTTCGACAAACAAAAAACCAAAGGAAATCGTTTAAAATTTATAGGAGTAATTTTCAATCTCGTATTATCTAATCGATCCATTGCACAATCTACAATCGATAAATATATTTATGTAAATATATATTAGGCATAAAATCAACTTTTTTTTTCGCAGACAAGGTCGACATTATCGATCACTTGTCTTTACTTTCATTATGTAAATACGTACACTCATCTTAATCAGCCGCTAAGTAAACTCTTTATTCAGTCGTACCTATTCTTAGGTGAATGTATTCTTGTGTAGAAGATTATAATATATGTATTAATGTACATGTATATATAGTTATATAAAAATATTATAAGTATATACTAATACGTAATAAGTATAATAATAATATTATACGTATTAAAAATGTATACAAAACATGTATACATATATAGGTGAATATTTAAGTATTTAAGAATAGTTTTTTTTTTTTTTTTTTAATGGAATCTCAAATTGCGTCGTTAATATAATTATTTATAAAGAATGTAATCTTTATTATATCGATGGTCGCGTGACAAATATGAATTTTTCTTAAACATTATAATAGAAAATATCGATGATGTAAGATATAATGTATCTCTATAATCTAGAACAAAAAAAGAAAGAAAGAAAATAATGAAAATGAAAAAAACGATAAGCATAAAAGAAAATAGGAAAATATATTTTATTATTGTTCAAATATTATCCAATAATCCATATAATAATGTGAATCAATCATTGTATACGAATCGACCAATCCCGTTGATAATTTTTTTTCCCTATAGATCACGATGAATCGAGAGTTATAGAAGGTGGAATTCATAAAAGCTTTATTTTCAAACAGCAATAAAAAAAAATTATTATATAGAGAATTAGAATATTCATGAAATGTTCTATAACGTATGTTTTCTTTTATAAAAAGAATTTTCGCGCTCTTAATTTTTTTTTTGAATTACGAATATTATACAAATTTTCGATATTAATATATTTATATGCTTTCAATAATTTTTTTTCGCAAATAATATTTCTAAGAAATTTTATATGAAATATAGATTATTTATTAAAAGATAGATATATTCGACAATTAATATTTTATAAGTACATATAGGGTCATATATAACTAAGTGTATTACTAAATTTTACTAAGTATTATCTTAGCACTTAAGTATTACTTAACCTTGCAATTTTTTATAAATTTTCTTTTAAACGCTTCTTTTTCAAGATATCGGAAGATTTCTTCATTTATCATACCTTCGTTCATAATAATTTCAAACATTAATATTTTACATTAATATTTTTTTCTTTTTAAAAAAAATTTCCATAGTGAACGATAAATAGATTAGTTTTTTACTGAATTATTATCTGCTTTTTTATTTACCATTGTTAAGTGTATGAATTGTCGTTTTTATTGGATGAATGGGTTACTTCATATACGTTTGTGTAAAAACAGAAATAGAAAAAGAAATAAAATGAATAAATATTGCTAGTACGATCAGGGAAATTGAAAAGAGAAATTTACTAAAGAAATTTACTAAATTTAACTAACAAAAATAGTTCAGTAAACAGGTCTTTGTTATTTTTATATCATTTATTATTCGACGTATATATTGCATCTTTTTTTCCACACTTCTATATGTATATATATATGTATGTATATTTCATTTTCATTATACAATTTTGTTTGCGATAAAGATATAATTGCAAGTGACAATAAAAAAAGAGTCTTTGTAACATTATTTAAAGCCATCCCCCTTTTCTAGGTGATCTACTCGTAGAAAAACGTGGTGACTTTGGCATTATGTTCACCAATCTCTGTTTGTCTTCCTCTTTATGACTTTTGCTGTCCGATTTATTGATTTTGGGACCATCCACGATTTTTCTTGGACTGAGAGTAGCTCTTGATCGTGATATTATTATTCCAGAATCTCCCGTATTATTAATGTTGGTAGAAACAAGCGCATTGTTTGTTTTAATTTGATTGCACTTCGGTGAACTGGGCGTGACCTTGCTAGATTCCTTCTTCATTGGTATCTTCGTCTGCATTACGTTCGAGGAACTTTGACCTTGAGTACTTACCATATAAATATTTTCATCCTTTTTGTTAGTTGGTTGCGATGACGATACTCGTGCCGGTACGATGGATTGATAATTTCGTTTGGATTTTTCATCGATATAGCCAACAGTCGACATGATCTGCGATTGCTGTTAAATGAAAAATGTATGTCATTTCATTTTGATTTGCACTTTAGTTTAGTTCAAAATAAATTACGGCAAAGGCTAGATAATTGGCTAGATATTTTATATTAATTATGCATTTTAATTACTTAATTAATTATACGACTACTTAAATATTAATTATTCATTTTGTAAATTAAATATATGTTTGTCATCAATGTATTTAACTTGGGTTTGATTAGTAATTGTAGAATATCCAAACAAAAATATGTTTAACCTATTGACCAGGGATGACGAGTTAAGTCGTCACAAAGATTTCGTTTTTATCCTGATAAAAGAATGAATTTGTTTTTTACTCGAATTAAGAAAAACATATGTCTCAATTCTTCATTTTACGATTTATTCAAAGTTTCATATCTCCGTCCTAACAATTTCATTTTTAATCAAAATATATTTCATACGTCTATCGAAAATCTTTTCTGGTTAACAGATTAATGTAATATCATATAAGTCCAGATATATGTTGAGATAAAAAAAAAAGCGTATCTAATTATATTAGCGTAACCCAATAATGCAACGATTAATACCACTATAACATTATACTTATCTACAATATAAAAGCGAATTGATGAGAATTTTAATTTTGATCACCTGATCAGGCTCACCCGTTACTGTCAATATCGGTACATCATTTCTAACATAATTATCAGTCTCAACAATGTCATGAAGTACATGAAGTATCGTTGCTTCTGTACTTTGTGGTAATTGTATTGGTTCAATTGGAGTTAGTGAAGCTTTAGCTGTTAACTTTCGTGCTTCTTCTATTGCTCTCATTAAATTCTGTTGACTTTGTAAAGATGCTCTGCTATAACTTTTACCGATTTGAGAGCTTCGAATCGCGCTATTCACGACCTATTAAATATTTTTTGTTATTATTTCTTGTTATAATATTGTATTTGATATTGTTATTCTATTCTAGAATAGAAATAGTAATTTACATTATTATTTTATGTTAGCAAAAAAATATTTACTTGGCCCCAACGATGTTGAGTTGATTTTAATACCGCCAATCTAGCAACTCTCTTCCACCTAGCAACATTATCCTCGCCTTCGGTAGGTTGAAGAAGAGTCAATTCTTCTTGTGCAGCATCCTCTATTGATTTAGTGAAAGGCCCTGCCACTTGGAAATCCTTCATCAATCTTCTCTCCCATATTCTCATCTTCCTACCCAGTACAGCTGTTAACGAATGAAACAACATAACATTATTTTTTTGGAATTTAAATTGTTTTTCTTTTTTTACTTTCTTTTTTTTTTTCTAAAGTCAAGAAAGAGAATATAGACTTCTCTCTTTGGTATTGATTCCAGCGATGTCCATGCCGTTTCTACGTAAAATATCAAGAAGTTCGCAACGCCACGATGAAATGTCGGATTTCAATTCGTGTACGTCATCCTCTGTAACGGGTTCCGTTTCATGTACGGAATGTGAATTAACCACATATCTCCATACCAAAGCTCTCATTACAATACCATATCTAAAATGACAAAGAAAATAATCATTGTCTCTATATTAACAAATTCAAATATGTTATTATTAATAACAAAAATTTACTTTTGATTTTGTGAACGTCGATTTGTAATATCGTCATGCACGTTATTTTTTTTCTTTGATAAGCCGCAAAATTTGAGGAATAATTTTGGTGGGGGAAAAATATTGAATGGTGGAGGAAGAGTACCACCTTCCTCAAAATAACTCATCCATAACTTCGTTCTAGCAAATTTCCATTCCGTGTCCGCGTGTTCCTATAAAACAATTAATTAAAATATGTTAAAAAAACACCATCAATACTGTTAAATATATTTCGTGGGTTTTACTTCGATGACAGCATAACTGTTGCTCATCATGGCGATCAGAAGATTCAAAAGAACGATTACGTTAATAACCGAGTAGGAACCGAACATTAAGAGACCCCAGAATCTGGTATACGTTTTGATTCCTACAAATAATTACTTAATATAATGAATCCAATTAAAATTAAATGGAAGTTTTAATATTTACCTGTCAGTTCAAAACTATCTATACCAACTCCTCCGAAACTAGCCCAAAATAGACTCTGACAGGTTTCAAATAGATTGCTAAATCTATTAACAGACAAAGACAAAAGTTAATTTGTTTTGTAAGTTTATCAGATGCAACTGTTATATAAAGTATTATTTTTTTTACCTTCTCCATCTCATACAAGAATCACTGCCTGCATCCCAAGTTGGATCAGCAATGTCATTGTAACATTTCTTTCTCTCCAACTCAGCAAAGTACCATAACAATTGATTCAAGCCACAGGCAAAGGAGAATAGGACTAGCGTATAAATGAAGAAGAACTTGATTATGTCAATCACCATTCTGCCCAAGGATATTTGAAGTGGTCCAAGGTGCGGATTCACGCTGAACAGGTGTACCAATTTGAGAGCACTAAACACGTTTGCTGCTGCAAAAAGACCTTCAGCAATCAACTGTGGATCAAAGTCACTCCAGCTTTCTCTTGGTATTAGTGCAGCTGATGGATCCATATCGATTTCTGCTGCCTGTCGAAAATAAGCGGCACCTCGTAGAAATCCTGTTAGAACGTAAAGGGAATTTCTGGTAAAGTCGATGAAGTTCCACATATTTCGAAGATATGCTTTCAAGCCATCGACATAAACCTGAAAATTAACAGCGATTGTAAACAATATGTTTTGTTAAATATATAATTAGTTGCACTTTTTATGTATATAGTAATATTATATATACACATATAATAATTATATACTATATATACAAACATACTCATAAAATATTATATTATGTAGAATTTTATTTTTAAATAAATATTGTATTATTTAATTTATATTTAAAATAATAAATATTATATAAATATTGCAATATATATATATATATATATATATATATATTTATATAAAATAATTAAATATTATTTTCAGCTAAATTCATTGAAAATGAAATTCTTTCTTATTTGATTTAAGTAATATTTTTTACCTCTCTTGTCTCTTGCCATATAAATCCTAGAACGTACAAGACTATCACGAACTCTAGTGGTGATGGCGCTGCACCTCTTTGTCGAGCTATTTGAATCTCAAGATTCTTTTTGGTTTCTTCATTCCCAAAAATTTTCACGACTTCTATTTCCACACGTTGCGATACTAAGATCAGTATAACTAAAACGAAGATTAAATTGAAAAAATGGTGAACTTTACTAATGAAATAATATTCGAATGAAATTTAATTCACTCACATAAGAAAAATAAATAGGATGATGCGTGTACTAAAAATTTGACGAATGGTCTTCGCAAGAGTTGGCCCATCTTTGATTCCGGAGTGAAAAAATATATTATACAATAAAAGGGAAACATGAGGGCTGTTTTCAGTAATATCCAACATTTTTGAACATTGGTCATTCTTCGAAATCCAGGGACACCTTCGTACCTTTAAAAAAGAAAGAGAAATAATATAATAAAATAAGATCGAATTGTAACAAATATCTCTGACTTATCCATATTGATTTAAGAAAACAAAACTCTACCAAATAGCTGCAATAAATTGCTGAACATGAGAATGAGCGACGAATCTCTTCTGTTTAAATTGTATCGCTTGTTCAAGTTTTGCCAATCGTTTAGTTGATAGACTATCTTCCTCGGGATCATAATTCAAAATAACATTTAGCTCTGTCGTAGTTCGTACTTGTTGCAACAGATCAACGGCAAATCTAATTAAAATGTCGAGGTTTAATTATTTATTCGATGTTTAACGAATAAATAGAACTTACTTCAAATAAATACTACTTACTTCTCAACTTGACATCTAAGTTCTAAATATTCCTTTCTACTTTCTGGTTCGGTCAAAGCTAACTCTTTGAGTTCCCAACTTAATTGGAATGCTGTCATCAGAGGATCTGGAGAACTGAGAGATATCAAACTTGGACTAGCCAATGCCTTATACTCGTTTATCCTAGTCGAAGAGAGTCTCAATGGGTCACCTGATAATGAATAATGAAAATACATAAGAACATTGCTCTAGCTATCTTTTTATACTGTTTATCACGTAGCTTTGTTTTTTTGACCTGCAGTCGACCGAAGACAATCTTCGCAACCACATTTAACGTCGTGTGGCATCGGTAAAGTAGCTCCTCTATCCAACAACAGCTTCAAAATCTCATAGTTATTCCGTTGCGCCGCTAGTATCAATGGCGTCATGTCGGCTGGATACCGAGCAGACTCCGGATCGATTTTTTGCCAACTATGAACAACTTCTTTGCCGTCTATGAATTGAACGATCGTACGATTAATTGCAATTATTAACTCTCTGTAACCTAAATTTCTAATATAAAATTATGTAATGTAAAATTTGTACTACAACTTACATGATATTAATATAATTATACTATACTTGAAAATATATTCAATTAATATTAATTATCGAGATATGAAATAACTATGATAGTTTTTTGATCAAAGAATAAAATAAGATTTAGACAAATAAATGAATGAACTTGGATGTTATTAATTGTTATTAGAAAAATTAACAAATAATTCTGAATAAAAGAAAGAAAAAAAAAATCATAATTATTTTCAAATAAGCTCGACACTATATCATATTTTATGATTAGAATGAAACGAAATTGTTCGATTAAAAGAAAATAATCAAGCACCTTTCTGCTCGTTAATCTCATTCGCTGTCAAAAGTTCCTCGTACTCTAATAACAATTCAGTGGCTTCGACAAATTCATGATCGATGGCATACAAAAGAGCATCCTTTGTTTCCACTCCCATTACAATAAGAAGTTCAATCATCTCAAGATTTTCTGCTTCTATCGCTAACGTTAATGCACCACGACCGAGACTATCCATGCAATTAATATCGAGAGTCATACCCTAAAAGAAAATCTTCAAGACTAATTCCATTGACATTGAACTTGAAAACAGCTCCAATGATCACGAACTTACATTGATTTCACCTTTGCTTGCTACCTGAAGAATTCTTTTCACATTTGACAAATCACCTCTTTCGACAGTCAAAAGATATTTCTTTTCTTCTAGATTCAATGGTTTTGTATGATGAAGAACAATGTCTTCCATCTTTTCTGGCGGTGCTTCCATGTCTTTCTCCGATTTTTGACAATCCATTTTTGTTGTATCCTCGATTATTATTCGTTCAATTAAATAAAAACACCAACACTTTTTCGAATGTTTATCGTATTAATTTATCGGCAATAAACGGTATAACAATATCATCGTTGCACATCTTTTTTTTATTTTTTTCTTTTTTTCCTTTGTACGGAAAATAACTGTCGAGATGAACCACGTGTACGAAGAAGTGTACATCTAATGCTTGTCTGAATAGGAGGTCAGCGACAATCGCTATTATATAGGGGATCATGGGAATTGAATTATGGGAATTAACCAAGACCCTGTTTATTTACATGGACGTTTAAGATCACCAAGTATAAGGTATCCGGCAACGTCCGTTGAGGCCATCGTTGTCGTTCGACTAATTTGCTTATCGATATCTCGTTAGCATTCACAACTACTAGGGTTGATTCTTGGTTAGAACATAAAAAAATTTATTGTTAAGTCAGATCAGATTATTGGTTTATGTTCTTTATCTTATGTACATGTCTACATGTTAATTTTTCTGTCATTTATCAATAACTTATATGATATTTATTTATTGTATATATTAATCAATAGTACTAATGTAGAATACATATACATTTTTTTAAATTACTCTTTTTTTATTCAAACAATGATCAAATATTTTTGTATTATTATTTGTTTAACAGGATAAGTATTATAATACATACAAATTAAATGGCAGAATTTCAAATTAGAGATTAGTCGTAAGGAAATTTTTTTAATAAAAAAGAAAGGAAAAAATGTTCAAGATCAAAGGAAAAATAGTCACTATCGAAGAATAAAAATATTTTCACACACTCTATCTCTTCGATCTATCTTCTTTCTATTTACGAGGTACATTTCGTTAGAATAGAAAATTTTACGTTTTGTTCGCTTATGCAAAAATATTCTACATAGATATGAAAATAGATATTCGTCATTTCTTATACTAGTATTGAAAGATAAGAAAAAAATTTTGCGTTTTCGTATATATTTGTATATTCGAAATAAATGTAATTATCAAAGATAATTATTGAACCAAATTCAAAGGCCAACGTCATTGAACCAAAACCATAATATAGATTAACATCAATAACTTTCCTATTATTCTGATCGTCGAACGTAAATACGTATGTTTTTGCTTTTTGTTTTTTTTTATACATTAGACAATAACGTTAAAGTTTCACGATTGTTGTATGAAATCTATTCTATTCACTATTTTATAAATTTCTTTAGATTAAGAATTAGCGACGTTCAATATGAAAGTTATCTTCCACTTCGTGGACAACGAGGTTGCATGCATATTAACGTGAAACATTTCTTTGCTGTCTTTCCCTCTCTTTCTCTCCTCTCTCTCTCTATCTCTCTCTCTCTCTCTTTCCTTTTTTGCTTTTAAATTAAATAAAATCGCAACTTTGAGTGAGTCACTTCCTTCATAAAATATCTCGAACTTAGTAATAACCAAGCGAAGAAACAACTTTCTCTAGCGAATTAATCGATTTTCGTAAAGAATTAAAAAGAGATAGTAATTGTAAAAACCATACCATTTAAAATAATATATACATATGCAAGATGTCCCATTGATCTCGAACAATTGGGATATCACGTGAAAGACTAAATTAACCGATAAAATTATTTTACAGATTTATTTGTTGTGAAGAGACACATCATAAGGTGCCAATTTTATTTTTTTTTTTTTTTGGAAATTGAATAACAAAGGAAATTTCATGGCCAAAGTTATCTTTTTAAATAGAACTACATATTTTTCTTTTCATATTCTTTTCATTTCTTTTCTATTTGATGTAATTTGTTGAGACGAATTTAACAACATACCATACGGTATCATTTATTATTATAAAATATTATAAATTATATTATAAATTTGTAAATTTGAAAAAACAATTCAAATAAATTAAGCAAATATGGAAAATAATAATAATCTAATTATTTCTTCTTTCAGTTGGTCAGATGCATCTCAACGTTATCAAATAAATTCTACATATTTCTATATGATTTGGCAACTGGCAATGACAAGAAATAGAAGCAACACGAAAAAAGATAGAGAAAAAAAACAATGATATTAAAACAAACCTGAATATAAGGATGTGGATCGAAAAAATATGGAAATCAAGAAAAAATATCCGCAACGATATATCGATGTTAGTTATAAATAAAAAATCTGTACAAATAAAAAAATAAAATCCATCATACTTTACTAATCTGTTAACATATACGAATATATATATGTATATATATATATATATATATATATATATATATATATATATATATATATATTATGCATTACGTTATACTGCGATATAAAACATTAAACTATATAACATTGTTTTATATTATATCCCAATTTATTTGATTAAATAAATATTTACACAATTAACGAATACAATTTACTTTATACTTATAAATAATTAAATAAAAATTAATATTTATTGTGCATAAAAATTCAATGCATATTCTTTAAATCCAATCACCATTACACCAATTATTCTTCATGTTAGAATCTCTATTATTCTCCATATTTCCATATCACCTAATTTTTTAAACAGAAACATAATTTACCAGGAAGTGATACTTCTTTGGATATTATGAGATCCTGATACTCTGATTTGATGATCCTGAATCACGATTTATGGGAAAAATTTCTGCATCTACAGAATTTGAAATTTTTACTAGGAATGAATAACTTATCAAAAGGTAATGATTTGGCGTGCCACCTCTTGTCCCATCATATGATCCTGATACAAATCTCTATTTGCAGTAATTTGGAATAGGAAGACCAATTTTTTGGATAAGGAAAATAATGATAAGATTTAAAGAAGAACACATCGGATTTTTATGTTAACGTTTTTATTAATAATACCTAATAAGTACAATTAGTATTTATATAATTTGACAATTATATAAATATTACTTTATATTATAATTTGGGCTATAATATAATAGAAGATAACACGATATAATATAATTTAGTGCAATATAATACAATGTAATACAACATGATGCAATATAATATTATATAATACAATATAATACTACTAGAAATAAAGAACGAACTTGTTCCTTTTATGCTTCTAAAAATAATCGATTTAAGTAAAAGAAATCTATTTCTTAAGAAGTTTGGCCTTCGTTTACAATGCTTGCAGTTTAACGGCTGAAAACCAACGAAACAGGATTGTAAATCTTAGGAACTTACAAATTTATAATATAATTTATAACATTTCTTTTAAAGATACTATATTAACGAAAGGAAATAATAAACAAGATAAAACAGACGATTTATATACTACTACATCTCTTTTATCAAATAGGAGATATTAAGAAATATTCAATATGATTAAATAATGTATTTGTAATAAAGATAACATTTCTTTAAAATGTTTTTAATACACATAAAATTATATTTAATTTATACACTTTTAATTAAATTAGATGTCATTTATATTGAGTATTTATATTCAGTAATCTCAAAAAAACAAGAATTAAATGATTAAATACGATTTTAGTGACCAACTACTACGAACATTAGTATACAATATAATAATATATATATCAGAACTTTCGTAATATACTTACGAGTATTCTTATGACAGATCATTTTAATCGAACAAAAGATTACGGACTTAAGGAAAAGTTCGTCTCGGCGAAATCATGATTTTAAATTCACTGGACAAGCGAGTCAATGACGGTGAAAGTTATTAGAGAAAGATTGTACTAGTCCTATTTTCTTTATCTCATTTATCGTCCTTTATTTTTCTCATGCCGAAATGGAAGAAGAAAGTTATGACAACGTTGTCGTTGATGAAAAAGTTGACACTGATAGAACTCAACCACAAGATTGACGAAAAAAAACTGAGATCGAAGGAAGCGCGATTATAATAAATCCGAGGCATCAAGCTACTTGATTTCAGTAGACTGTTTCGATCTTTACGCGATAGTCTAAAAGGAATCCTTACGAATCCTTTTCGTTGCAAACGAGATCTATTCAAAATGGCGACTGTCGATCGAATGGTTTCACTTATTTTTCTGTGTGTGTTTCTTAATGTGATCGATACAACGTTGACCTTGAAGAAAGTGAATAGAAGACCGATCGCTTTCCGATACGTCAATGATCTCGAAACATCCGCGACTAATAAAGGCACGTAAAGATCATATTTTTAGATTAGTCAATAAATAATATCAAACTTTTTAATATTTTATATCTAAATATAATATAATATATTACTTGTATATAATGATGTAATAATAGTGTAATAATTGAGTTGAACAATAAGTGATGCCGAAATTTGCACTATTTTATATCTCAATAAACAGTACTAGTTTTTACTGAAAAGTTTGCTTAACAAAATAAACTTTTTACAAGAACGATAAGAAAATAAGCAACGACGTTCTTCACGAAAGAGATGGAAAAATACGTTTCGAAAACACGTAGATGTATATATACCAAATATGTATAGTTAACCAAAAAGTTCTGTTCAAATTGAAGGAATTTTTAGATTCCAAGGACTTTAAAATTTTCTATTGCGATAGAGAAAGGTTCTTAATATTAATGCAAATTATAGAAAAATTTGAGCATTACTAATAGGACAATTCAATATCAAATCTGTTAAAAAATTTAATTCGTTTTTAAGTAAAAAAAAAAAATTAATAAATTTGTGCTTATGCATGTTCATTAATATATAATTATTAATATAATTCAAGTTTTGATGAAAGCTTTTGAGTTCTTTTCTGAGATAAAATGGCTCTTGGAAAGCTGAAAGCTATTTGTTCAATGCGAATAAAACTTCTCGGTAGATTTAATGTGTTCTCCAATTGAAATGTATTTTTTTCTCTCTTTCGAGAGCAATGTCGTTGATTATTTTCTTATCACTCTTTCGAAATGTTTACTTTTTAACGCAAGACTTCTTCCGTTACGGTATGTCGCAAATTCGGTTTTTTTTTTATTTTATCTTCAGTAAACTATCGATTAACTTGAGATAACTATGTACATTAAGAAAGAAAAAAACAATAATTTGATTAACCCTTAAATATATTATATTTCATATTGTAGAACTATAACGTGTTGATATTTAATATAATTTAAAGAACAATCGAATATATGTATAGCAATTTAATTTATTATAATAATTTGATAAAAATATTTTATTTATTTAGAAAATATGATTTTATAATAATTTATATATAATTTTACTATTTATTAATTTATTTACTAATTTTAATATTTACTTAACAAATAGTATAATATCATTTTCTTAAAAATTTATAATAAAAACTAAAGGAATAATATTGTCTATTATTAATCTCATGCTGATGATCATGATTATTCTTGTTAACAATACATAAATTGACTTAGATTCAATGCAAAATTTTAATAAGGAAAAATAAATTTTATAAAAAAAAAAAACAAGAAAGAAGAAAGATAGAAACTTTTTCTGATAGTTTTAATTGTGCTATTAAAGAATGTCAAATAGTCTCGTTAAAAAAACGTTCCCCTTTAACGAATAGCTTGAGACTTTATTTGCATTTGATTCAAGCAGGCGACCATGGTGGTGAAGTTGACGTCGACGGTGGTGACAAACACGTCGTGAAAGGTGGCGGTACGAAACAGGAAGAGGACTATCATGAGTCGAAAGGAGAAAAGAACGATGAGGTATGCGTCTACTTTCTTTCTCTCTCTCTCTTTCTTTTTCTCTCTTTCTCTCTCTTTACTTTCTCTTTCTCTCTCTCTCTCTCTCTCTCTCTTTCTCTCTTTCTCTCTTTACTTTCTCTTTCTCTCTCTCTCTCTCTCTCTTTCTCTCTTTCTCTCTCTTTCCTTTCTCTTTCTCTCCCTCTCTCCCTCTCTCTCTCTCTCTCTCTCTTTCTCTCTCTCTTTTTCTCTCTTTATTTCTTGAATTGTTCGCAATATCAATTATCATTTAACATTTATATTGAAATGACTACTTTCATCGATTCATTCATGATTAAAAACAAATAATAAATATGTTTGTCGATTTTCTTATTAAATAAATAATTTATTAGGTTTATTTTTTTTCTGAATGAAATATTTATAAACATATAATTTATTCGATTCTTCTGATAGTTATTTGTTTAAGGATTACAATTCATCTTTTTTATTTTTATATCTGATGATATATTACAAATTGATACGTTCGTTAAACGATGGACAAAAAAAGGGCTACGAAAAAATTCACGAGTACGAGAAGAAAGAGGAGGGCCATCACGACAAAGAGGATCATGAGCGTAGTTATGACGAAAAGGATGGTCATGATAAAAAGAAGCATGAAGAGGGTGGTCATTACAGTGAACATCATCATGGTGTAAAAGGAGAGAAGAATGCGAAATTTGAGGAGGAAGGAAAGCACCAGAAAGGTCATAGTACCAAAGGGGAACATAGTATTTTCAAGAAAGTATGTATTAAGTGTTTTTTAAGTTCCTTACTCTTTCTATTTTTTTTTGTTTTTTTTTTTTTTTGTAAATAATTTCATTAGCCTTAATTTGAAGTTAGTAATTCTGACTTTTCAAATAAAATTTTTTCTCGATCAATTCAAAAGATTTCGATAAATCTGAGATTATTTAATTTCCCTGAAATTAATCTTTAAAAATAGTTCAATAATCTATTTTTTTTAACTTTTTTTTTTAACGAACTTTCAAAGATCTAAAAAAGAAATGATTAATTTGCTTCGATAGGACGAATACGAGAAAAAGCACGATTTTTACGATGAGTTTCACGAAGATGGTGATCAAGAGAATCATGGTGCCTATCATAAGAAAAACGAGGCTAATAAAGGAAATCACGAAAAGAAAGGCCATCATGATTCAGATTACAATGAGGTTGCTACATTGAATTATTATCGCTTTCTTTTTCTCGTAACGAGTTATAAGTTGATTTTTCATGTTAAAATATTATTTTCTAGCACAAACATGATAAAGAATCGAAGCATGAGAAGGGACATCATAGTCACGATCAAAAGGGCAAGAAGTCCGCCGAAGGACACGATGATCATCATCGTCATGATGAGAAATATGGTAAAAAAGAAGGACACTCATCTGGAAAGAAATGGTCGAAAAAGAGCAAACGTTGAATATTGAAAAATTCACTTCGTGCGACGAAAACCAAAGATTATGTATGTGAATTGATTCATAAATCTAAGTGCCGTTATAAATAAGAATTATATTATCATAAAACTTATTTTTGAATCAATTCAATAAATACTATATTATATAACAGGATTTTCTAGTTTGACAATTTTGCATAATTATTGGATTGATTCATAAATAAGTAATATTATTATAATAGTTAGAATTTGATTACAATTTCAAAATTTCATTATATTATTATAAGTAATCAATTTATTATAATAAAATAACACTTATTTATGAATCAATTACATTATTACATTAATGGATTGACACATACGCACACACACACACACACATACACACACACATACACACAAAGTTGAAAAATTTATTTTGTATACAATCTAACGACATAATTTCGTCTCGTCGCTTAATAATTACAACGTGTTCCATGAGCAAAATTTCATTCTGTAATAACCAAAGGACTACGAGAATATTATAATACCGATTTTAAATAGCTATTAAATTCTTAATCGATAATCTCGCATTCGTTAAGATTTGATCATCGTCACTAAAAAACATTTACATAAATTAGATCGATAAATTCGAATTATTATAACATTTCTTATTTCTTCTTCTTATTCATTTTCTTTTTCATCTTTCTCTTTATACAATGACGACATATTTTTTGATTTTGAAATCTGACATAGCAAGAAATCGATTAAGTAAGTCGATATCGCACTAGTAGATCGATCGCACCCCTGTTTAATTCGCGACGTTCTTGCCTGTCCGCCGTGAAAAGTGAAAATCTTAGCGTGAAATTGGCCACGGTCTGCTACTTACACCATTATGTTGAAAGAAAGTATCTATCACGACCCTATCCTCGATGCTTCCTTGATTTATATTTGAATAATCTTAAGAAAATGTGGGCGACTGTAATGATATAAAGTAAATTAAAGCTTATACATTTAAAGTGTCTGTAGTGATTAAAGAACATATTAATATGTTATTTTTTATAAAATCGATATCAATTTAATCTGAATCTAATATATATTTTATAGGAATGAGTTAAATACGTGCTATTAATATATAATATATTTATATCTTACAAGTATATATAATATCATAATATAATATCATTATATATAATTATTATTATATAACATATACTCGCTATATCAAATATTATAATCAATATAAACATTTTATAAATAAACGTGTATATAAAAGTTTATTTATAAAATATTTCATATTAATCCTTTACATAAGTATTTACAAGTGATCATAAATAATCGGCTGTGCTAATACTGTTCTTTCTTTTTATTTTTTATAAGACGAAAATTAAACAATGCTCGTTATTATAGTAAATTACATTTAACATTTCTCGTTGTAAGATAAATATAGTAAGCTATTGAAAAAAAAAAATGATGAAAGAGATAAGAAGGAATATATAATACATTTATTAACAATCTGCATTAGAAGAATAGAAAAGTTTATGGAAAGAATAATAGGATAATTTTTTCTCAAAGAAAAGAAACGAGATCTCTTGAGATAACATATCGAATGTATCCAACCGAAAAATCGATTGTTTATTCAGGATATTACTCGGATTACTCGAATTGAATCCATTTTCTTTCTTTTTCAGTTTACATTTTTGCAAGCGTTATTAAAGCGAAACTACAGCAATATTCGTTCTTTAAATCTATTATTTAATCATTAAGCTGTTTTTTATATTATTATTTAAAATATGTTACACTTGAAAGTATATTGAATATTAAAGAAGAAAATAATATTTATATAACGAGAAATAACAATTTAATGATCTATATAAATTATGTTAAATTATCTTCTTTCGATCTTATTCAAAAAATCATAAAAAAATATATATATATATATCGAAAGAAATAAATAAAATTATTCGACTTTGAACGAAATAATCGGATCAAATTTAAAATTCAAAAAATCTAATCAATTAATAAAAAAAATTGTATTCTTATGTTTCGCATTTCCGTAAATGATTGTAAATATCTTTAGATTGATCGAAATAAATCTTGTGTAACGACAAGAGAAAGGAGGAAGCCAAATTGATCGATGAATTTGATCAAGCGCAAGATCCTCCGATCGCCGCCACGATCCGCGAAGCCGTGATGCGATAAATCGCTGTGAAATTGTCGAATCATTCGTGAACGGTTTTCTAACAGGCGAAATCAACTGATATAATCGGCCGGCTACTTCAGGTTCACAGTTCAGTCTTCGTTGTGGATTCGGAGGTGGAGTCATGGGAACTTATAGAAGGTCGATGGCCATTTGGCTGTCGCTATTTCTTTATCTGGTAATATGATTATTGATTATTTTCCGTGACTAATAACAAATCGCCCTTAGTTATTGATTAAATGCGTGATTTACTATAAAAAAACGAAACAATGTTATTCCTACACAACAAATCAATTTTAATGTACATAGTGGCTAGTTAAATACTGTCATATAAAATTATAAATCAATTATAAAAAAGAGATTTGTCATTTTGTTTTTTCTTTTTTTTTTTTTTTATTATTGAATGTAAACGATATTTAATGGTAAATATATAAAATAAGTGAGTATTGCGATAGAAAAGAAATGTATAGGATTAATTTGGATTTCAGTGTTACAAACATTTTTAAATATCAAATATAATTGATGTAATTTGTTTTATTCATGTATATCGTAATAATTTAATAATGCATTTTTATACAAAATTATCGTATTTTTATAAAAGTAAGTTTATTATAAAATATTTGGCATCTTATGTGTGGATTTTAATAACTCTGCTTATATATAATACCTTTTTCTAAAATTCTTCAATTTGATCAAAAGTAAATAGAAATGTAAATTCTTTAAATTAGAAAAAAAGAAACAGAACGTTCCTGAAAAAATTTTTTTTCACTGTAGAGATCTGCGATCTATCAAAAATGTCATTTAACTTTTGAAAAAAATTTCTCGCTAACGGCAAGGTAGCATATTCAAATCATCCGTCAAGCAATCTTTGAGTATTCCCACGACAACATAGTGATCGCAGTCCCGTTGGAGAAAATTATTTACTTGTTTCTTGTTTACACGGTATACATTTATCCAGATAGGAAAGCAATCGAAAATTTTTATAGCTGGGGCAATCAAGGACATCAAATGCAGGAGTGCAGAGAAATTCAAAAAACGGAGTAGAAAATATCTTACTGGAAGAGATTGTTCTTGCAAGGAGAAACAACACGACGAAACTTCTCGGTGCAGCTGCTATCGAAAACCCTATTAAAGCAAATGAACGAATCCTCTCTTTGATCAATGGTAAAAGCGACCTTGTTTTCCCGAATTATAATCCGGTTCAAGATCAAAGTATAGCACAATCTCAAGCCGTGATCGTTAGCTTGAATGATACAAAGGATTTGGAAAATCTCGATCATGTTTTGGCTTTCTCTGGATACGAGTCTCAAAAAGTAAATCTTAAAAAGGACAAACGTAAAGTTTTGGACAACTTCAATAATGATCAAGGTGTCATACCTACTTTATTTAATATTACATTTAAATATAATCAATATTAATAATTTTATTTATTCGGATTAACCATTAAAGAGATTTTAACAGAAAATAATTCATTTTACTTGGGTAATGTAAATATTCTTTTTGATTTTATAGCCACATCAAGTAGACAAATTAAAACTACGGACTCAACTACGGTCTTACCTTACGTGAAAACGCACTACGATGTTCCTCGAAGGTTTCAATTGAATAGGAGAAATTCTAACGAAGGACATCCTCCTGCAACGGTTTCCTACCAGAAAGTATCACAACCTATCACCCAAATAGATCCTAATATTATTGTTGTTAATATGGAAAGATCGACCAAAAAGTTCGCTATTAAGAATCGCGCGTTACCTAGAGTGTACAAACCTGAAGAAGAATTGACCTTGAGTAATATCGAAGTAACAAAACCGACGTACCGTGTCCCAATGCGTAAAATAAAGAACGATGAAACGAAGATTAAAAAAAGTATCGAAGAAAACGTGAGTGACCGTCCGAAATTACAAAAGATCAAAAAGAAAGTGAAAATGTTAAACGTAGCAACGTTACCGCTGGTCACAACGCCTTTGAGTGTTTATAATTATACAGTATTAAACAAAATGATCAACAATCATAAATCATTGTCAGAAAGTCCAATAGTGCAACCTGTTGCTTTTCGAAAAAGTAATAACATTGTTTATCAAAACGATTCATTTGTGACCGATAATCAACCTGATTTAAAACGACAAGAATCAGCCTCAAAGTCGGATAGTGAGTTCGGCTTATCGAAAAAGTATAAAGTTATACCAGAGGCTTTTTCCTATTCGACAAAACATTCTGGAAATGCTAAGAAAGTTCAAACCGCGACAATCAATTCTGTAACTCCGAAAAACATCATTGGAACGAAAGAAAGTCTCATAGTAACTGATTCGAAAGTAAATCCTATATCGAATTACGAAGATAAAATAAATCTTCTCGATACTAACCAGGAAACTGGATATAAATACAGGAAGGAAAGTCCAACTGAGAAACAAAGAGAAAATCATGAGAAATTTGAATCAAATATCGATGACACGTCATCTTCGAGATCTAACTTAATGAGCGAGGAATCAATTGACGGTGATAAAAATATCGAAAAATCTAACGAACGTCCTCAACGTAGAAATGATTCGTACGAAGTATCAGAATTGGCATCGTTTGAAGATGACTATGACTCTGACAATACAGATTCTGATCATCCTCAATCGTACAAATTTCCTAAAACTTCCATAGAGGATGATGATTACTACAATGACTACAACAAAAAAGATGTACGTCATTCACAAGATTTAGAATATTATAAAGATGATCAAGATTATGAAACGAGTAATTTAAAAAAAGTTGATCGTGATAGTAATAATCAAGAAACTGAGCATAAAGAAGATCAGGATCATGTTAGTGAGAAATACCAAGTGAAAAATAATGATCAAGATGATAATCAAGATGAAGGCGGTGCTCATAATTATAAATATATGGAAAAAAGTGAAAGTGGTGGCAGTGGTAATGGTGGTGGAAGTGATAGTGGTGGAGGTGGTAAAGGTGGTGGTGGTGGAGGTGATGGTGGAGGAAAAAAAGAATTTACAAAAGGTGGTGAAGTTGAACAAAAGGAAGATTATTATAAGAAGCAAGGAAATAAGGAAGAAAAGGTGAGAAAATCATTCAAATCTAAAAAATCAATTTATTAGTATCGGAATATTTTTATAGGCCTACAAGATTTGGCACGAACATGACAAAGCCAAGAAAGGTCATCACGACAAGGAACAGCATAATAAAGAGTACGAAGAGAAGGATGTAGAAAAAAAAGAACACGGAGAAGATGCAGGATACTATCAAGATCATTATCAAGACGAGCAGGGTAAAAAGGAATCAGAATTTAATGAAAAAGGTGAACACAAGAAGGGTCACAATACCAAAGGTGAACATTCGGTACATAAAAAGGTAAGAAAGAATGATATTTTTAAACGATAGGGAATCTAGAATTTTTCATTTACCCATATATGTATCTCTTTAGGACGAGTACGAAAAGAAAACCGAATTCTTTGACGAGTTTCACGAAGATGGCGACAGTGAGAAAGATGGAGGATATTATAGCAAGCATGAAGCTGAAAAAGGTGGTAAAAAGAAATCCGGCCATTACGACGGAGCTTTCAAGGAAGATAAGTATGGAAACTCCAAAAAATACGAAAAGAGTGAACATCATGATGAAGAGAAGGACAAGGGCAGTAAGGAAGGCCAGGAAAATCACTATGATCACGAAAAGAAGTATAAGAAAAAAGATGCTCATGAAAGTGGAAAAAAGTGGATGATGGACAGTGGCAATGGTGGTGATGGAAAAGATGGAGGCGGCGGTGGCGACGGCGGCAGTGGCAGTGGTAATAAAAAAGGTGGCGGTGATGATAAACATGGCCTCTAATTATATGAAGATCATAGGCAGATAGTTAATGCAAAGTGATCGATAGGATAAATTGTGATTATCGTGATCGTGTCGATGAACTTGAAATATTTTCACAAGCGATCTATGTTATTTCTTCTATCTCGAATGATGGATTATTGTTATATTTTTATTTAAATTATACAGGACACGTGCCAGTAATTATGAAATTGGTCGAAAGTAAAAAAAAATTAAAACAGAAAAAAGTTAAATTTATCACTCACTCTATGTTACGATCTATCACATTACAATATCTATAATGTGGAATTATTAAACTAAGTATATTACTCAGGCCACTTTCATAATCACTATTTATCATATGTTATAATCGCCGATAACATTTATCTTAATGTTGCATTTTCAGTACCAATGGTGACGTAAGTTTAATCGAGAAGCCTGAATTTTTTCTATTATTTTAGAAAATCATCATCTATCGACAAATAAAATATTCACGACGTCCGTTGTGATTCGTTAACCTAAAACTTTATTCTCTTTGGACGTATTTGTTCCATGGATTGCCATTAATACACACACACACACACACACACACCACACACACCACACACACACACACACTTCTAACGATTCTACGAATATGCATAGAAATGGGCATCGTGCTCTCCTTACAACGCTTCTATAATTTAAGAAAAAATTACTTCGACGTTTTAACAAGGCAAACGCGAAAATGAATATAGTTACATACTCACGTACACATATGATCTTAAGATCTTTTATTAATTATTAATAAATTAATAAAGCTATTGTTGATCGTTAAATTTACCCATACGTTTTAATTATGAACTCAATTATCTTTGTCCTTGGAGATAATCATCAAATCCAAATATATCAAGACGATATAATCCTTAAATCTCCCTAATCCTTATTCAAGATCTTAATAAAGAAATTCTCGAGCAATCCTACAATGATTGGAGTTCTATGTAATTACACGTAGCTATTTAACTGTTGAGGTGAAAACATATCTATACACAAAGAAGGATTCTATCACAGTTTCGAGCCCGCTATTATATTCTCTACCAAAGAGAAATATCGTATCTCGATATCGTCTCGCACTAATACATAACATAAACGTAGCTATGCATATATTTATGGAATTACGTGTTGAATTTAACGCATGTTATATAGATGAATATAGAATACATAAACGAAATATTGGTATTATCGAATAACAATAACAATGGATACACAGATAGATATGTTATGAATGCATTATGAATCGTATCGATCATGAAAATATAGATTGCAAAATGTATACTTCTCAAGACGTTCAACGTAGCAGATATCTACGAATATTACGTATATATAGAAATATTCTTTCTCAATCCATTCATATTATTATTATTATTATTATTATATATATATATATATATATATATATATATATATATACACATCGTATATCTCCATATATCAAACCCATATATACATTACAACTCGTTTATCGTATTCTTTGAAGCTTTTTTCTATAAATCCATTTCTTTCTTTCAAAACAGTCTTCTTGATTTCTTTTTTTCTTTCTATTCGCCTACTAGATTTATTCTGAATCATAATAATGCTGACGCATTTATATTTCGAAATATATAGGACAAAGTCACGGTCATACATATATAAAAAAGTGTTTTACTCATCGATAATAAATGTTATTTCAACATGGAGATGAAAATTAAGTCGGAATGAAAAAAGAAAAAGGTAAATAAAAAGAAAAGAAAGAAAAAACGGGGAAGAAAAAGAAAAATAGAGAACGAGATAAAATAGAGAAAGAGAAAACAAAGAGAACGTTTTGATCGATCGTTCTTCGCAGCAATAACCGGACACCACTTTTCAAAGTGATAAAATCAATACGTCGGACGCGACGAATGTTCCTGTCAGAGGATTTACGATCACGGAAGCTTTATTACTTAGTCAACGTATCAATAATTAAAGGAAAAAAAAAAAAAGAATAGATAAGGTTCTTGTCATTTTCCATTGATTTACGTTGATATTGAAAAGGTTTTTAATAAGTGAATGTAAGAGAAAGACAGGTAGATAGATAGATATAATAGATAGAGGAAAACAGAGAGATAGATGGATATCAAGAAGCTCTATATTAACATCCGCTTTAGGATTGTCGCAACGATAAGTATTAAATACTATGCTTATATCTTCGTGAGAATGAACGGATCGTGTCGATTGCCGACGGACGTCAAAATCGTCACGTATTTAATACAACAAATGATAGATCAACACGACGATACGTTTATTATAGGTTTCTAAAAAATGGATTACAATTTCCGAAAATTCCATGGATGACTTTAAAGATCAATTACTTTTTTATTGAAATTTTTTAAATTGAAGATTTTTTTAATTAACTTTTTAGAATTTTTTTCAGATTGTAAAAAACTTCGTCGATTTGTAATATTACAATACGAAAAAAAAAAATATTAAGCTTGAAAAATGTCTCGAAGTAAAGTAATTGATCTTTAAAATCAATTAACAACTTTTGTTCTACTTTGTATTTTATAAATGTACAGAATATTGGCAGATTGATACTTCATAAATTAAAAGGGATTAAAATTGGTAAGAACTGATTCGTCCATATAAACCAAAAATCTCAGCATTGTTTATTGTAAAAATTCTTAATTTTCTTAATGTATAATATATATATATATATATATATATATATATATATATATATATATATATAATATATGCATTTACTTTTTTTATTTCATTAGAATAATATAAATTTATTGGAATAAATTTAAATGTAAAATTTAAAATTTATTAATATCTCTTAAATGAAATTATAAAAATCGAACTTTATCTAAATTAATGTTTAATAAGTATCACATAACTTCCGATATCTCGTATTTCTTTTTTTTCCTTTTTTTTTTGTTATTATTATTAACATCTAACAAGTGCAGTTATATTTTCATGAAAGAAAAAAGTTCAAGCTCGATTGCAAACGCAGAGGATTAAAGTGCTGTCTTACGCCTACAGGATATAAATTGACAACGAAAAAGAAAAGTTCGTCTTATATTCAACACAATACGTCTACTCGAGCAGGATATATGAGCCCACCGTTTATTTACCAACCCTATCCACTCGAGATTGTTACACTCCCTATTTTCCTTGTGTTGCTTCTGGTAGCAGGCTTCCTACATTTCCGTATTATTACAATCGTATATTGTATACAACGTTGCTAATAATGTCGTATTATAAAAATAGAACAGGGAGATTATTGTCGTTTAAATTAATTACACGATTGATTTTGACGCGATCGAATATCCTTGATTTTGCGATCTAATTTACAGGAATGAGAAATAACATGAATTTTTACATATTTTACATATAATACATAATTATATATAATATTTTATAATATATCTCTTTTCATTAATTTTGAAATTTACTTATTTTCTTTTTTATCTATCTTTTTACTAAAGAGTTCTTTTTTTTTCCTTATGACAAAGACAAACTTACGAATAAGTAAATAAATAAATATAAAAATGCTCAAACTGGTTGAAAGTGATGAGTATCACGAAATAATTGGCAGAATCATATATATATATATATATATATATATATATATATATATATATATATGTTTGTATCTATCGCTCTCTCTCCCTCTCTCTCTCTCTCTCTCCCTCTCTCCCTCTTTCTCTTTATCTCAAGTGATTTAATCAAGCAAAAAATTATACAATATTCAAGTCAAAATGACAAATCTCGAAGCTGTTAATTTTCTTCGGTAATTTTAGTGATCCTTATCTGCTTCTTCTTCTTCTCTTTTTTACTCTTCCTCCTCCTTCTCCTCTCTCTCTCTTTCTCTCTCCCTCTCTGTCTCTCTCTGTCTTTCTATCTCTTTCTCTCTCTCTCTCTCTCTCTCTCTCTCTCTCTTTCTCTTTATTCATTAATCTCTCCATTTTCTAGAATTTCATTAACACGAATCGATCCCGAGAACTTGCTTGCAAAAAGGTACGACGTTTTTCTAATAAGATAGAAAAATAAATGAATCAAAGAAGGTGCGAGCGATGAATACAAATAACTATAATAAATTGAAGAGTTTTTGATTTATCTTATTCGATGTGGAAGAGGGAATAACCCAAAGGATTTCGAATTTTGATGGTGAAATAGTAAATAATGTTTTCGATCGAAATTTTCGAAACAAACGAGAATAGTTTCCGGTCAGGTATTTCTTCTTGTAGACATATCATTCTCAAGAGATTTGACTTTTTCGATTTCCTTTTATACGGGGAGTTCCTTTTTCAAAGTCTCAATGTCGATTCATTCTGTTTCTCTTTCCCTTCGTTCACCTATCGTTACTGTAAAATTCTACTTTCTTTTATTATAATTTTTATTGGATAAGGACACGTACCAAATGTTTTTCAATAAACGACACAGGGTATAGACGAAAGGTGAATATACTCCAAGATAATTGGAATTGTAAGTTTCTCAAATGTTCTAGCCATTTTTCACTATTCCATTATTCCATTAATGGAATTTTTATGTCTTTCAAAGACATCAGAAGAAACATATAAAATCGCAAGGGAACGTACTTGTGCGTACGCGCGTGTTTGCGAGCGCGTATTGTGAGAAAAGGAAAATTTTATTTCAATTCTTTCTTACATTTTACATGTTCGCATTTACAAAAGTATATAATAAAAAGTTAAATGAAAAAAAAAGAACAAAATAACCAAATAAAAGAAAACAGAAGAAATAACAAAAAAATAAAGTTTAATAATAAACGAAGTAGTAGAATATATGTAACGGCGGTTGATGTTCAATTCGTGTTGTAACATCTAAATTTTCTTTTTCTTTTTACTTTATTCTCTAGTGCTTTGTTTTTAGAATTTGTTTACTATCCACTTCATGAACATGAGTATACCATCAAGAAATAAAAATGTTTACCTGTTCCATCTCACGATTCCATCTGACTTTTTGACATTTCTGAAGATCTAATCCGTTTTCAAAAAAAAAAAAAA